AAGTTAATAAGTGGGAATTTTCCTGTTAAATTTCATGTCAATAACTCAAGATAACTTACGAATCAGTTGAAGAATCAAAATTAGCACTGTTATTTTCATATTAATTGAGAATCTATCGATTATTTTCTAGCGATTTAAATCTTTTGTAGTTTCTGGTAAACATAATAGTTTTTTCTTTGTTCAGTTTGACATCTGTCTTTATTGACGTTACGATCTCTCTCAGATAACGAATTTAAAAATAGAAATCTGTAATTTAAATTTATTTCTTTTCTTTTTGAGCGTGAACTCGCTAAATTATTATTTTGTAAAAAAAAAAATAACCCTGAAATAAAAAAACTAAAAAGCTTAATTAATAATGAAAATATTTTTTTTTTTACAAATAACCGTTTTTCATTTACATTTGGCAGAAACATTACAATTTGGCACCATAACGTGGAGCTTAAAAGCGTATTAACAACAGTATATTAACAAAATTTATTTTTTTGAAGCTGTACTAGCAGCCGAATAAACAGTAAATAATAAACCAATAGAACAAAAATAATTGTAACCCATCCACTTAAAACTAAACCCAACCTCACACACAAACCAAATTCAAGATTCAAGCAAGATTGTGATCAAATAAACACAATAATTCAAAAACGGCTTATGTTTATCAGAAAAATAGCCAGATAGGGTTGCCAATGACCTTTGACTTTTTATAGCAATTTTTCTTCCATTTCTTGATCACCCGCTTCCATTCCTCTTAATAATTCACCACCTTACTCTTCATCTCTCCTCCTATCCATGTCATTTTCTGTCCAGAACTTCCTCTCAAATTTTTCGCTAATCGCTTTTTGGGGTTTCCTCTTCGGTAGGCAACAAAAAAGTTAACCCACTGTGAAACGACCAACTCCTTACCCTCCTTGTCGTTTCATTCTTCACGTTTCCTATACTCTTATCTGTCCAGTGTCTCAGCAATGCATCTTTCCTAATGTTCTGTCATTCTCGCTCACCGTTACAAGTGTTCGATCAAGTTATTTTCAGATCCTCCCGAACCATTTCCCACCTAGCTTACGCCCCAACATGTTCTGACAACAACTTCATCCCTAGCGTCTCTTGATTTTGCTAAACACTGCCCCTGATTTCTGCCAATATCGTTTTTGTTTCTAACACTCAACATCAACACTTATGGTATCGCTAAAGATTGGGTTTGATATTCTCCAAGATCTCACATACTACCTTGGCCTCTCTCAAAAATGAAATTATATGTAATGATAAGAATTAATAGGTTTAGATTTTGGGACTGAGTTAAAGTTAGCTTAAATAGATTGAGTCGATATATCAAAGAAGTGGTGGTTTAGTGTCTCGGCGTTTAATCATCCCTTAACACATTTCTCACCTTATCTTGTTCGAGGCGCCACTCGGGAGCGTCGAGACGGCGAGCTGCCTTAAAAAAGCGCCACTGAAAAATTCGATAGCGCGTAAAATGTTCCTCCGGCATCCATCGGATGGCGGGGAGAGGGCCATCGATTTAATACGCGGATCGCGAACTCCTGATCAATTTTAGATTCCGTCCGATTTATAACTTCCTCCCCCGGCCGACCAGATACCGGTTATCGATAGGTTTTTTTGTCATTTTTTACTGATTTATAGGTAATTATATTAATGTTATCTGATTGACGTCTCCTTCAAAAACCTTTTCAATCTTTTAGTGAATGGTCGAATCGTTAATTATACGGAGTTATCTAATTAAGGCGACTTATCCGGTGATAGGATTTCCTACGAACGTAACCAAAGTAGAAGTAAAAGGAAGAGAAGGAAAAACGTCCCCGATAATACAAAACACACCGTGTGAATCAGCAGCTCGGGCAAAAGTATCATTTATAAGACGCGTCGCTATCGACGATGTATACGAGCCATTAGCATCAGAACGATACAAATTGAGGATCGCGGTCGCGTTCGTATCATCTGGTTATCTTTCTGGCCGAGGCACCACTTCTTCATAACCATATCTATATGGACGTTCCTTTCAAGGTTCAACTTATCTATCCACGCATTTTAACGCGTTTTACGAAGAAGGAATTGAAAAGATTAAAAATAATCTCGACGAGAGTTTCGATTAAACCTACTATAACGCCAAAGATTACTTGGTTATGCTCGAGTTCCTTTGAAAGATTCGAAAAGTCGATTGTCGGACCTTATAGATTTGTAACCGAGCTATCTTTAATACCATTAAGCCTACTTTTCTCACAGCCGGTTCTCTCTACTCTCGTTCCTTTTGTTCTTATACGCGTTTTATGTCACTTCTTCGGAAGACCATATACCCGGTTAGCAGTCGGTTATTGACCGAGTATTGCTGATTGCTCTGTACCGATACCGTACTGGGATTATATACTAGAATTGTATCCTGTAAGATGTAAAGTAAAAAATTCGAGACACGCACACTCCTAACTAAGGTATGCAAATCAGATTCAAATAAATTCTGTCGCGCTATATTCGCTTATAAAGGTCATCAATCAATAAAATAACAACGGTTAAAACCCGTTAGTTATGTTTTTTTCACAAAAAAGTATTAAATTTTTTTTGAATGTCACCTTAACCTAAACGATATAATCAAATTTTGTATTTCTGATATAACTTTGTGACGACATCACTTTAGTATTCTTTCCAAACCGATTTTTTGATCATGTGGTTTCTTTTTGATAAAACATATTTATAGTTCGTGGTCTGTGCGTTCTACTTTTGAACGATCTGGTAAGTTCGTTCAACTTTTGCATTTTGCACCGATCCTATCGTTATACGCTATCGTATGCTAATTTCTCGGGATAAATCAAAACGGGCGTATATTTACTATTTTTTATTTTTTACAGTTTGCATACAAAATGGGTAATATTTTATTTTTCATTAGGTTCGTTCGTTGTTTAGATCCTAAACGTTTTTAAAGATTATTATTTGAAATATTGTTATAATACCAACATACAAGCTCATTCTTCTTACACGTGGACGCGTGTCATCGACGCGTTTCTCTATCAAAGACCGGTGTCAATCATGGTCTCGTTCGATTTGACCTCTTCGCTTATCGGAACGATCGCAAGCCAGACCGTATTCCTTTGCTGCGAGCAACCGAGTCTTTGATTGACACGTTAATGCTACCGGATCGTCGCCGATCCGAACGATAATTGAACCCAGCTGCTGACCTCTTCTGCTACTGTATGCTGAGTTAAGTTGAAACATTTTCAATTCAAAGATATCTAAGTTTTTGGAAAACATTGTTGTTCATTTTTGGTAGTTTTATAGAATGCGTGGAAAGTAGTGTTTAGAATGACCGATTGGACGTGTACCGGAATCTATTGACTTAATTAAGGAACAGGAACGAGTAGACCAGGTAGTATCGTGCGTCACGACCTCTCGCCCCGGTCATTTGCATATCTTTTGCGACGCCGAGATTGCGGCGTCGCGTGGTCCGTCCTTTCGTTGGATAGGCGTCGCCGCTTTTTGATATCAGCAAAGCGTCGTTGTGCACTTTTTGCAGTTTCCTATTTCATTCTATTTTTTTTATTCCCCCTTGGGTAAATTTCCATCTTAGATTGGCGTTTCGCGTTACCTTACGACCTCCATACACGTGTACACGTGCTGTGTATAAGAGGAAGGAAATTAAGGATATCCGTTCCTCGGGCCAAATTTTTAATAAATTGTTAACGATCGTATAATGGTCTTTTATAGTCTTTTTGGAATAAGTATATCGGTAGGATCGTTAATATATTCATTCCGTCGTTAAAACCGTCCATAACCGACATAGAATTTACACTCCTGGGTGGAACATGTCGCGGTCGCGATAGCATCTAGAACGGCCGCCATACTTCTTCCAGCTCCGGAGCCCCGGCCGAAAGAAAGCTAGAAAGATTAGTGGACATGCACGAACGGCAATTAGTTTCTTTCCCGCGGCGAGTAAATAACCTCGAGTGAGAGAGAGATCGGCGGGGAACGGAGGCGGCGCTTTTCCGCACATCCGAACGCCAGACAACACGGTGGGGCGCAACACGTGTTCGACAAGAGCGCGGTTCGTGGAAGTGCCGATAACGCGGCTCGTACAGGTGGCAGGGGGCAGTTTATAATGATTATTGATTGCATGGCGACAGTGATACGTCGGCATAGTATCTACGTGTGACGTATGGAACTGTACACGTTCCTCACCTTTACTCAATTCAAGAAGAACCCTCCTCCTCTTATTCCTTCTTAACGATCCATTCCCAGGGTCCAGAAGAAGGATGAAGGGGATTCAGAAGAACCCGAGCAGACGCGTGGGCTGCCGCTGACGGACTGCTTCATTAGAGGCCTTCCTCGGTACATGAGCGAGACTTGTCTCCGAGACCGCTTATCTCAGATGCATTTGTAGAAGACCTGTTCTTCATCAGTTACGGTCGACGCAGGGGCGTCGCATTCTGTCGACGACACCGGATTCGACGCGTTAAATAATCAATTAAATGAATCCCTCAACAAACAAAAACAACACCATTCAACAAATGTTTACAGAACAAACTAAATTTAACTCTCGTGTTTCTATAAATAATTGACAAGTATAATTTTTTTATTTACTTTTTTCAGTTTAAAAATCTTAAACATTAATTTTATGATATTCTCAATCTCTACAATAAAACCTTTGAAATGAATCCAAACACGACGTATTTTGCTATAAAACTTTCCGAGATATTTTGATTTTGACATATTTTATAAAATCCAAGATGGCCGAAAATTAATTCGTAAATATTATGATAGAAAATTAAAAAATGTGTGAAATGAGTACAAACTCGACACATCTAAGTGTTATAACTCCCGAGATATAAAGTTTTTAAAAAATCAAGATGGCCGAAAACAAAACACTAAAAAAAGTGCTAGCTATTCTTTTAAATATGAATTTTATGATAGATATAGGGTGTGATATATCAATTTAGGTTAAAATTTTCTGCTTATTAAGAAAATCGTGATTATTTTCAATAATTTCAATTTTAATTTATTTTTAGGTGAAGACGAGGAATGGGGAGGCGACGCAGACGCGATGACGACAGATGAACCGCCTACAGCTGAAGTAGACGAGAAAAAATCAGTAAAAGACGATGACGAAGAAAAGAAAGAAACGAAACCCGAAGACGTCACCCCGAGGATAAGGTTGAAAACGAATCTAGCAACGGATCCAGCGTTACAACCACAAGCAGTTTCCGTAGCAAACCTAAAAACGGAACGACGAGACGACTCTCAAGACTCGAACGTCGCGAGTACCGGGGATTATTTGTCCATACCCCAAGCCATACAATCGGTGTTAGCTAGAGGACTTTTTATTCCGGCAAATTTACCTTTACCCGAAACGTCTCCAAGAAGTGAAAGTGAAGTGAGGTCAACTCAACCGACCGTCCCAATTTTTATTTGTCCTCCATGCGGAATCAGGTTTTCTTCATTAAGTACTTTAGAAGCGCACCAAACATATTATTGTTCACATAGAACTAATAAAAATACCGACGATGACGCTAAATCAGTAACCGGAAATGAAAATAATAGTGGGAACCAATCGGATCAAGATCCAAGTGAAAATCCCACGAAAGCGCCCAAAACTGGGAAACAATACACTTGCACCCATTGTTCTTACAGTGCCGATAAAAAAGTCAGTTTAAATCGACACATGAGGATGCATGCTGTCAGTCCAAGTCCAGCGAATTCTGTCCCGAACGTTAGTAATGGAGAAACGAGTAACGAGAGCATCCAAGATCGATATTGTGCAGAATGTGACATTCGGTTTAGTTCGCAAAAGACATACAGAGCTCATAAGACCCATTACTGTAGTTCGAGACATATGGTGAAACCAACGGCCACATCAGTTACCAGCACGACTAAAACAACTTCGAGTTGTACATCAGGTTCAACGCCAACATCACCCGTAGATACTTCTTGTAGAACACCACCATCCCCCAACCAAAACGTCCCACCTCAACAACATTTATTAGCTTTACCAACCAATCCTATCATAATCGTGCCATATAGTCTCTTTAGAAGTGCTAGTTTACTTCCAAACGTTATTCCAAGTTTATCAGGAATGACAAACACGGACACACCATGTTTTTTATATCCAAATGGAACCCTCCAACCCTTATCCCAAGCATTAGCATCAACCACAAATACTTCAACAAACGAAGTTTTAAAAACGGTGAATTCAAAAAATATAAACACAAAAGAAATTGTTTTGCCCAAGGATAACTCATCGAGTAATTCCACCCCGTTGGATTTAAGTATAAGAAAATCACCAGAAATTAGAGATTTAGTCATAGATCTTGGGGATGATAACGAAAAAGAAAACAAAAAAAGGAAATCACCTTCACCAGAAAAAATCGAATGCGTTCCCTCCATAAGGGGATCACCACCGTTAACCCCAACGTCAGGTGTTTCCCCATCGTTTAGTATATCTCCAAAACGAAAGCACGACCAATTGGATGCTACTTCAAGAAGTAATAGTCCCAGACAACAACATTCACGATTAACACCAAAATCCGGCTCGGATCTCGATCGATTACAATCAAGTCCAGAAACAACTCCTCAAACCACCCTCGGAGTCACTCCTTACCCATTACAATCTCTTTTAAGATCCGGAGGACCGTTATCTTTACTCTCACCGGAACTCCAATTGAGACTGTCATCAACGGAATTTCCTCAAATACCAGTTGCCCCTCAAGTTTTGGTTAAACAAGGCGTTTCAAAGTGCAAAGAATGTAACATCGTTTTCTGCAAACACGAAAACTATGTAATACATAAAAAGCATTATTGTTCGGCGAGAACTCAAGAAGATGAAGCTTCAAAAAATGCAAGTCCGCCGACTAGCCCAGGAAGCGCGGGAACCAGTAGTCCTGCCGGTCAATATCAACAATTGATCTGCATGGCTTGTGGCATCAAATTCACATCTTTGGATAATTTGAATGCTCATCAAGCTTACTATTGTTTAAAAAGAAACGAAGTGGATACAAGAAGATGCGGGCGATGTCGTGGGGTCGCCGAACCCGGTCATCAATGCGTAGCCGCTTCTAATATGGGGTATAAATGCCCATGTTGTGATTTCGTTAGTCCTACTCCAAGCGCAGCACAAAGACACATGGAATCACATTCTGGGGTGAAAGCCTATCGATGTACTATTTGTAGGTATAAAGGAAATACTTTGAGGGGAATGAGAACTCATATTAGGATGCATTTTGATAAGAGATCACCTGATTTACAAGTAAGTATTATTAACTTTGAACTAAAAGTAGAACTAACATTAGACTTAAAACTAGAAATATTTAGTTTTAGCCGTATTAAGCTTAGTACTTTAGGACTAAACCCGAATGTTTCTAGTTCTAGTTTTCTTCTATTTATTATTTTATTTATTTTTTGTTAACAGGAAGAAAATTACATAACATATATAATGGATGATGAATCCACAACGGAAACTTTACCACCACAAATCCAATCAACACCAAACTCTTCCATAGATGATCGAGCAACTTCCCCAAGTTCAGAAAATTCAAAAGACGCCATTCATCAATGTAATTTATGTTCATATAGTTCAACTTATAAAGCGAATGTTGTAAGACATGTTAAGCTCGTCCATGATGTTGTCCAAAGTAGTGGGCCAATGTCAAATGGTTCCGATAAAAGTCGTAACGCGAAAGATCTGGATGAAGAAGAAGAGATAATCATAAAAAAAGAAGCGATGGAACCCGAAGTGATAATAGCACCGGTTGAAGAAACGGTTAAAGAGGAATTTGTTGAAGTTGCTAAAGATGTGAAGCCACCAAAAATTTCTTTGGCGGAAGAAGCGGATATTTTACAAGAAGCCGCGAAACCCGGTCCGAAATATTGTAAATCTTGCGATATTTCCTTCAATTATTACAATAGTTTTGTGGCGCACAAGAAATTTTATTGTTCGAGCCATGCTGGAGAAATAGCCGTTAATAATACTAATAATAATAACCCGACGACGAGGGCCGCGGAAACGTCGGTTTTATGAAAAAGGAAGAAAAGTAATAATAATACCAAGGGGAAGTGTAAATAACGACGATTATGAGTAGGAACTTTTTAGTGTTAAAACTGGCCAGTCCTAAAAAAAAACGTATACGCAAATTCGTTGTTTTAAAAAAAGAAACATCTCAATGTTGTTGGAATTTAAGAAAATTAAATAATTGATATTAATTTTTTTTTGTTGATCTATAATATATATACTGTGATATTATTTGAAATTTAAACACCTATAAATTTTATATTTAATTAAAAATTTCGATTTCATCAATTTTTTTTTCATAAATTTATAAACAATTCCAACAGCAAAGTCGAGTATACCATTTTACCTAAACAAAAAAAATCTAAAACAACAATCTAGTATAAATTATATCAATGTAAACTGTAACATATAGAATCTATTAGAAAGAAAAGTGGTGAATGTGAAAAATAAAAAAGATCGGCCACATCCTGCAATATCGCAATGATACCCTTATGTATGTTGGTTATAAATAAATGTATGTTATATTGTTTTCTTTTTTTTTTAATTATTAATTATTATTATACACAGCTTTTTATTCGCGAAAAATTCAATAAAACACAATTTTTTTAAACAAATAAAAGCTGTGTATAAATCAAAAGTTTATTATTATAATTATTAGAATCGGTGTTTTATTTTCTTTTTTCAAAAAAAATTAATTAAAATTACTTTAAAAATTACAAATTTCGTTTCAAATTAATATTACGTAGATGTAGATACAACATGCCAAAGTCAAGAGAAGAAGATTTAGAGGCCAGAAGGATCTTAAACTGACATTTTTAAATAGTGGATACTGTTTCTTTCGTATTTTTTTTTTTTTAATGAAAATAACTTAGTTAAGAGGTAAAGGTGGAAAAAGGCACCTTTAAAATAAAACGTACATCGTTAAGGTATAAACAGTGATTAACCCAACCGTTCTTGGAGACAATAAATTATTTATTTGTAAGTTTTTGAGTTTTCTTTCATAATTAATAATCATTTTAAAAGATATAAATTATAATTTTTCGATATCTATGCTTCTAAGAGCAAAAGAGAGCAATATTGTTGATTTTACCCATACTTTTATAAAAAACCTTGGGCGATTTTTTTAAACGTGCCAGCGCTGAGTAAAATAAGCAGCCGTTAATAAGTGCTCAAATAATGTCAATATCATCCATTCCTGAATATTAACATCCTTGAATATCGACATGCACATCTTTTAAAATTATTCATCTCATAAAAGTATCTCTTAAAGTATATCGATTTTATTACAGCTCTTTCCTGGAAATATAATTCAAATATGTTCCAAACTAATAATTAGTTAAAAAAAATTTAGTAACACAATGCATGTTTACGACATAAAAATTATATGTAGTAACAAATGGGACCTAAAGTATTAATAGAGGTTGGTTATCGAATCTAGGTAATCTGAACGAGTTAGGGGAACCCTACATACACATACATTCGCTTAAACGCAGCTTAGATAACTCCGTTTTATTTATTATGGCCTTATGCAAATGATCTACCCGCTATCGCAGCAAAAATGCACGAACTACCCTCTATACACGACCCGATATCTGCGATATAACTTTTAACTTTATTAACCACGATAAAATTTCTTACTAACCTCTGCAAAAAAAATCGTTTGGTTTAGTCTAAAATAACAATCAACAATAAATATATACCCGTAATTGATACAGCTTTTCTTATCGACAGTATGGAAGAAATTCCGTTTAGGTTGCAATTTCTTTTCACTATTCATTTGGGTTTATTCTGCGACTTAATAAGCATCGTTTTATTAAGTGTATTATCTTAAAAAATGTGTTTTCAAATTTTTGACTATATAAGAACGAAAAGGAGCAAGAGGGAAAGTAAAAAAATTAAGAAAGATGTAGTTAAAAAGTTAAACGCATCTGAAGTTCAATTAAAAAAGACAATTGTACATTTGGAAATGGATGAACGCGCCCAAAGACGGGGAAGTACACGACATAAATTACATCTTTTAAAGAAGATCCAGGCGGACACTCAAAAAGAAGTTAAAAAATTTAAAGATATGGAAATATAAGGAATATATCACAATGAGAAGTGTTATAAATATTATTTATTCGAAATAAGAAATTGTATTTAACACTTTTCTTTATTAAACTTACTTTTTAGTATCATTTTATTTATTTATTCTTAAAAAAACCAAAAAATTAATCCTCGAAATCTTCATAATTCCACGCGTTTTCATCGCCAGCTAATTCCTCACTTTTCTTAACCCTAGCTTTAAACCTAGCGTACATTTCGCCATATCGTCGAACATCGGTAGGATCGATGTCTTCTTCAAAACCGGCGGCATCATTATCAATACCATAAATATATCCTTCCTCTTCATCATCACTTGATAATTCTCTATCTCCATTTATATCCATTTCGCGAACAGCCGTTAAAATATCTTCTTCTGTGATGTCATCGATTTCATCAGGATAATCATTACGCCAGTTATTTTCAGCGTTTGAATCAGAATCGTCGGTTTCTGGTTCTTCCACTTCAAGCCCATTATCTCTAGCTGAACCATAAATAAGTTGATCAGTCCAAGGAAGTACACTAAAAAGTGAATAATTTTAATATTAATTATAACATAACCTTTAAAAGTTAACCTACACCATATTTTCAACATCAATATCTGAAAAACCTTTTGTGTTTGTATAATATAAATCGTAAACATATCCTGGTTCCTTTTTATCTGATGTTTGAGGGGTTTCTTTGTAGTCCGTTTCAACATCAACTAAAGTTAAATCCTCATTCTCTTCGGACGTTTCATTATTATCAAATCTACGTAAATTTACGACTTTGTATCGGTTCTTTTTAAAAGCAAGTTGGCATTCATCACGTAATTTATCATGTACATTGATATTAGGTTTTTTAAATTGTTCTTCGATGGTGGTTTTCGTAGATTTTTTTACATGCTCAAAAACGTTTTCATCCTACATTTATAAAATAGTCAATTTCAATCAATAAACGACGAATAACCTTACTTACAGGGTCGTTTAAAGTTGCCGTTAACTTTAAAACGGTTGCGATAGGTTCTTCTTGATTATCATCGGTTTTACGCTTTTTACAGTTTAAAATTAAAGCGTCAAGAGGTTCTTCGTCTAATCGACGTTTTATTCTTATAACAGCAGCCATTCTAATTTAAAGAAAAATGTTATTTTCGCTTAAAGAAACACTTTTAAAGTAGTGAACATAACCTATAATCATCTTTTTATGTTTTTATAGGTTAGGACATGGAATAGTAGCGCCCTCTACATCGATAAAATCATTTTAAATTTTAGTTTATTTTAAATAATAACGATTTTTAATTTATAAATATCTATATTTAATGTTGGATTTAGATTTAAAATCTGGAATTAATATAAACTAAAATATTCAAAGTTTAGGTTAAATCAAAAATTATTTTATATGTAAAAGCTCCATCTATTGAGATATTAACGAAAAATTAAATGAAACTAATATAAAAACGTTGTTTAAATAGCGATCTTAAATTAACCAATAATGATAATTACGTTTTAATATGCAATTAAAAAAGGAATTAGTTCAATAAATATATAGTTAAAATCATCGTAGAAAAAGCGCCATCTGCTAGAGATAAGTACAAAGACAAATTAAACGTCACTTTTGACGTTTAACGGCATTGATTGAATCGATTCTCTTTGGTGTTTTTCCATTATAAACTCCGGTACATAATTGTATTGTGAATTCTTGTTGAATTATCTTGTTATAAATTGTTTGTGAAAAGGATAAAAATGGCTGATGAAACATCTTGGCGAACCCCAACATTTCGCCAAAATGTTGTTTCGAAAATGTGAGTGGATATTTGTTGTTAAAATTATTTATATTAATAAATTGTTAATGTTTTAATTAATTATTGTTAGCGATGAGGCCATTCGTCAATCTGGAATGTCGACTAGCAGAAATAGTATTGATATGGAGAACCATGTCTTTCAAAAGGCCAAAACTCGAGAGGAATATTTGGGGTTTGTTGCAAGGTTAATTCTTCATGTACGGGAAATGAGTAAGTCTCGTATAGTTGTGAGTTTTCTTTTATAGTCAAGGCTAAGTTTGTTTGTACAATGTATTGTGTAATAAAGTCTGGAAAAACCCTGTTTAAACATAAACATTAACCCGTTTGTGAACATTTAATTGGCTGGCATGGTATTTTATTGTTGCTTTTGTGTATTTGAATTATTTTTGGTACCCAGTTGCCCTCCATATAGTGGCTTTCTTTGTATTAGAAGGTAAAAATCAATAAATACTTCTTAAAAAAAGAATAAAATTGATTCAGATGATTTTAATTGATTTTTTTTGAGAAATATTTCTGGATTTATAAAAGCCTGATATGACGTAGTTTATTTAAATATACAGCGGCATTAAAAATGATATTTAAGAAAACGTAAATAAATCGGAAGATATAAAATAAAGTATTTAAAAAACATACAGAAAAAGTAGGTAAAATAAATGCGAATATTGCTTATATATGGTATAACTGAACCGTCAATAGATACGAAGAAGGGTGCTGGTATGAACGGTCCCGGCGGGGGCCACGGGGCACCTGGAATGCCTGACCCTATTAATGCTCTTCAAAATTTAGCGAGCCAAGGGTCCCGTAATAATCAGATGATCGGAATGGCTCAACCGGGGCAGATGGTTGCCGCTGGACCACCACAACAAGCGATGCCCTCGCCCGCCACCAACTTATTGCAGTCCCTAAATCAGCGTGGGCCTGAAAATGGAATGGTTATGCAAAGAAATATGGCAGTAAGAATAAACTATTTAATTTTAGCAATGAGGTTGATTAAAAAAGTAATAATAACGGGAATATTTTAAATAATTTAGGTCAACGTGATGCAACAAAGACCACCAATGGGGATGCCTCCAAATGGGGGTCCAATGGCAAATCAAATGGGAGGTCAAATTCCTAATCAGATGGCGGGACAAATGGCAAATGCAAATATGGGTCAAATTCCGAATCAAATGCAGAATTTAACAAATCAACTTCAAGGTCCTGTTCAAAACCCGCTTCAAGGTCAAATGACCGCTCAAATGAACCAAGGGCTTCAACAGAACATGGGTGGCCCAATGGGTGGTCAAATTCCAAATCAAATGGGAAATCAAATGGCCGGACAAATGGGGAATCAGATGGGCAATCAAATGGGAGGACCAATGAGTGGCCAGATGGGGAATCAGATGAGCAATCAAATGGCTAACCAAATGGGGAATCAAATGAGTGGTCAAATGGCAAATCAAATGGCGAATCAGATGGGGAACCAAATGAGTAATCAAATGGGAAATCAAATCAGCAATCAAATGACAAACCAAATGGGGAATCAAATGCAAACTGCAATGTTAGGGCAATTAATGCCACAACAAAAAGGGATGAACGCTCCGAATACAAATTTTCCAAGAAACCCAACTCCCACCCAATTTTTATCTCACTCCCCATCTCCATCGGTTCAATCTCCAGTTGGGATGACCGGTCCACCAACAAATAACCAGATGGTAGCCTCACCAGCTTTAGCACCATCACCCGGATCTCAAATCAGTTTAATGGCCGGACAAAGATCAGTGGGAATGGCCCCAAGTCCTAGTAGTTCATTAAACACTCCAGGACAACCAAACCCCAGCCCTATGGCTATGGCCGATGAACAAGCTTATCGAGAAAAAGTCCGCCAATTAAGCAAATACATTGATCCATTACGAAAAGTCATCCAACGAATCGGAAACGATGGCGAAAATAATGACAAAATGACCAAAATGAAAAAATTATTAGATATCTTATTGAACCCATCTCAAAGATTACCTCTTGATACATTGGTAAAATGTGAACTTGTCCTTGAAAAAATTGATTTTAAGAGAAGTGATGGAAGCGTACCACCGATGACTACAACATTTAAAGAACAACACGCTTTTAATCCTTTTATAGAAGCGTTGAGTAATAATATTCATTCCCCCGTTATTAATCATACGTTACATAGAACTTTTGGACCCACATTGGAAGCGTTATTTGGACCGGAAATAAAGTAAATTTAATAGAATTATTTTTTTTTTATCAATTTAATTATTTTTTGTATAGATTAGTCCCTCCATTAAAACGAAAGAAAATTGAAGAACCCACCAGTGAAATTCCGGACGTTTTGCAAGGTGAAATAGCTCGTTTGGATCAACGTTTTAAAGTTTCTTTGGATCCCAATCAACAATCTGGTTCAAAAACGATCCAATTGATATGTTGGTTGGATGATAAATATCTTCCGTGTGTTCCACCGATTTCTTTAACAGTTCCAGAGGATTATCCGGTGACTAGTCCTAAATGTCATATGGCCGCTCATGAATATAATGCAACAGAATTTTTGTCTGTCGTCCAATCGGTTTTGTTGGCTAGGATTAAGAAGTTACCAAAACATTTTTCGGTGTCTCAACTTTTGGATACTTGGGAGATGAGCGTTCGTCAAGCTTCAGCTCCTGTACAAAAACCGATTCATTCAACACCGATATTAATGGGATTATAAATTAAAAAAAAAATAATTTTAACATTTTTGTGGACGTAAAAGTTGTAATATGTAGATGTTGATTGTAAATGAATCATGATTAAATAAAAATGATTTTATTTATATTTCCGTATTTGATTCTTCTTGATCCTTATTAAAAAATTTATACATTTCTAGGAATTATTCTGTATATATTTTGCAATTCTGTTATCATCAAAAAAAAAATCAAAAATAAGTTTAAGATATAAATAGGAAGTATTATCAACTGGTTGTTATTCGCGCGTTTCATCATTTTGGTATGCATTGAAGCCAGGGGCTTGTTTGCGTTTGGTTCAACAAAGTTTTTGAAAAAAAGAAGTGAAAAATGCTGGAATTGAGTGATTTATTTTGGTTAATAATTTGGTTACCTGCCTTAATATTTATTTATAGCGTGGCTATTATGATAAGGGTCGAAGTAAGTTTAAGAAAATTTCAGTACGTTCCTGGACAACCGATTATTGAAAATTATCATTTATTATCTAACTTAAAAGGTAAGTTATCTTTAATAATAATTAAAAAACATTCGTATTAATAATGTTAAAAAAAAAAAACGCTAAATCATTGTTTTTATAAATAAAGAATACTTGAGAAAATACTGATAAGATAATTTATTTATTTTTAGATTTATTGAAATCGCTTCTTAAAATTAAAGAGGAGTATGGAAAGACTTTTAAGTTAAATATTTTTTCGGGGTTGTCGTGTATTATGACAACGGATTTAAAACTTATTGAATACATTTTGGGTACTACGCAGATTTTAGATAAATCGATAAGCTATAATTTTTTGAATAGATGGTTAGGAACTGGTCTTTTAACCAGTCCAGGTATTTATCCTCAAAATAAATTCTTTATACAGAATCTCTCAAAATTATATCCACGAACAAGAACGATATAATTTTGGGTTAATCTGTATATACGTTGTAAAATATGGTGTGCCAAACGAAAACTACAACGATAAACGTTTTTAGAGTTTTCGTTTATTAACATACATTACATAAATTACATATCGGGTAGGCGAATCAATCAACCTTGCAAGACCCTAAGGATCAATAACGTTATCAAATTTCAATGCTGTTAACGAACATTAAAACCTTGCTCGGTAAAAAGTCATTCAGATCCTTTGGGGAGATAAACTGCAACCCAAAAATCGAGAATCTGATACGATTCATAGTAGGGCAGTGGCATAAAACATGCTCAACCACCAACAATTGAGGTGTATCTTCAATCGGCAGTGTCCAGTAAAGACACCCATTAGAACTTTAATGCGAGCAACTCCTAAAATGACGACCAACTGCTGGCCCCCCACAAACGCTTTAGAGTCGTCCTATCTCATCTGCCGCTTCATTGCCAGCAACCTCAGAGTGACCTGAGACTCAGATTAGAGAAACTCTGTTATCACCATCCAGTGTGTTCAAAGTTCTTTTACAATCATTAACCAGAGCCGACACTGTTTTCACGGCCTGCAGCAACTGGAGAGCGGCTTGACTGCCTGAGAAAAATCATACTGTCATGTTCTTCACCCCTCTCTCAAGAAGGATTTTTGCACCCATGTCAATAGCAAATACTTCCGTCTGGAATACATCTGGGAATACATATGGGAAACGTTTTTCTCTATCACCTTTAATTTTCTACTTATAACAGAATTTAACGCAGATTATTGTCAATTTTGATATTTTGAGAATTCCTGGCTTGAACCTAAGAAATGGTGATATCTATGGTGGCATCGGTTATGGATTATGTTATCTTGATTCATTATCATTAATTTTTATGGGAAACATTTTTCTCCATCACCTTTAATTTTCTACTTATAACAGAGTTAAACGCAGATGATTGTCAATTTTGATATTTTGAGAATTCCTGGCTTGAACCTAAGAAATGGTGATATCTATGGTGGCAGCGGTTATGGATTATGTTATCTTGATTCATTATCATTAATTTTTAGGGGAAACGTTTTTCTCCATCACCTTTAATTTTCTACTTATAACACAATTTAACGCAGATGTATACTCGGAACAGTTTTGAGTATATTGTTTAAATCGGTAAATGGTAGTTCTAGCCACTTTCTCTATATGCAAATGCAAAGGAGATAGGCCACGCAGAATTTACACTAGAGTTAGCGTTGTGCTTATCGCACCAGAGATTGCCAATCCAGCTACTCATTGAATTCGTGAATTATTAACATAACCTCAACTGTATTATGTTTACGATGTTACATTGCAATTTTATTAAGGACAATTTCAAATGTCATAATAATTAATAAATAATTACTAACTAATTAATGAACATGTATAGAGATAAAATAACTCAATACCCAGTAAACTGGAGCATCAAGTAATTTCAAAACAGTCTAATTACATCAAGGAGGAGTGCTATTTTATGATAGCGACTACAATGATTCCCGAAAAGGTCTTACAAAACTAATTAGCATATCGCAAAATGAAATGAGCTACGTTGTTTGACCCAGTCTTGTGTTAATATGGTATTGAGTGTAGTGCCTCAGCTTAATCAGGTAACATCGTATATTTCAGTGCATTTAGCCAAGGCGGTAGACTCTTTTACACCAGTCTTGTAGAGTCTTGTGTTGATATGATATAATCTGTAGCCCCTCGGCTTAATAAAATGACATTAGACACTCCAGCTTATTAACCTGAGATGCTACGTTGCTTGACAACAGTCTTTATGTTGATGGTATTAATGTTGATGGTATTAACTGTACCGTTTGGTGTTATCAAATTTTCATTTGGCACATTATATAATGAATCACTTCCATAATATAATAATTTATTAATTTATTATTTCTTATTAGCTGAAAAATGGAGAAAAACTCGCAAAATCCTCACGCCAGCTTTTCATTTCCAAATCCTCGACCATTACATCGAAACGTTTCACTCAGCGTCGACGATATTAGTTGAAAAATTCCAAAATCTCGTCAATAAAGGACCCGTAGACATTTATCCTTACGTCACGTTATGCACTTTGGATATCATATGCGAAAGCGCGATGGGCACGAAAGTACACGCCCAAGAAAATTCGGAGTCCGAATATGTAAACGCGGTTAGAGAATTGTGTAGAATCTTTATGGAACGGAATACGAAACCGATTAAAACGTTTTTACCGACGTACATTTTTACCAAAGATTTTCAAAAGGAATTGAAAGCTTTGAAGATTTTACACGGGTTTACTCGTTCAGTTATAAAAAGTCGAAAAGAGGAATTAAAACAAAAAGGAAATGATGAGGGTGGAAAGAAGCGGTTGGCCTTTTTAGATTTGGTTTTGCAAGCGAAAATTGATGGGAGAGATATGAGTGATGAAGAGATTCGGCAGGAAGTTGATACTTTTATGTTTGAGGGGCATGATACTACAGCTTCAGCGATTAGTTTTATTCTTTATTGTGTTTCTAAACACCCAGATGTTCAAGTATGTTATAAATTAAAATATTTATTAAATTATGATGATTTATTATGATTTAGGATAAAATTATTGAGGAATTAAATGACATTTTTGGGAAAGATAAAGATTCCGCAGCCGGTATGAAACAATTAAACGAAATGAAGTATTTAGAAAGAGTTATTAAAGAATCATTAAGGATTTATCCATCAACACCATTTTTTGGGAGAGCTCCTCAAAAGGATACTAAATATTGTAGGTATAAAAAAAAATTATTAATTAAATTAAATTAAAACAATTTTTAGATGGGGGTTTCTTTGCAATGTACACCCAATTGGTTGTTTTTGCTTATGGAGTTCATCACGATCCAAACATTTACCCAGACCCAGAAAAATTCGATCCAGATCGATTTTTACCCGAAAATATCTCTAAAAGACATCCTTATAGCTTTTTGGCTTTTAGTGCTGGACCAAGAAATTGCATCGGGCAAAGATTTGCCATGTTAGAGATGAAATCAACAGTTTCTCACGTTTTAAGGAATTTCTCGTTAAAACCCGTCCATGGATATGAACCCCATTGCGTTCCATTGGCTGTTATGAAATCGATAAATGGAATTCGAGTTCAATTTGAAGAAAGAATTTAAAAGAAAAAATTTGTTATTATTATCAAAGATTATTGTTGTTATAATTTGATTAATACATGAAATTTAGTAATCTATTTTTTAGATCTAATAAACAAAATAGAAAACCATAAATAGATATTGCAAAAGTGTTGTTGAAATTATTTTAGTTTCCGTATTTGCAGCACGTGAAAAATAATAATAATAATACTATGAACTTGGAAGATATTGACACGATCTTATTGCAGTTTACGTCGTTTCTGTTAAGATTATAAATAATCTTGTGACATCAAATCGATTTTCAGTACTCTCTATCGATTATTTCGGAACAAATTGTTACGATAATAAGTCGCGCGAGATGATTTTAGATACAACATGGTTGGTATACCTATGTTTGAGCCCAATTGTAATCGTTTGGGCAATTTTCGTAGTGTTATCTTTTAGAATGGAATTTAAATTGTGGAATTATCGAAAAGTACCTGGGTTGCCAATTTTCGAAAATTATTTCGTTCTAACAAATCTTAAAGGTAACAAACTTAAACTTAAATAAACAATTTGATTAAATAATTTAATTCACTTAGATGTTTTAAAAAACGTTATGAAGTTTAAACAAAGATATGGCGATATCTTCAAAATAAACATAACAATAGGAATGCCAGCTTTGGTAATTTCGGATTTGAAGATTTTAGAATTTCTTTTAGGGACAACGCAAATTTTAGAAAAAAGTTATACATACAGTTTCTTAGAGAAGTGGTTAGGACACGGTTTATTAACTAGCCCACGTAATTTTTTTAATCATTTCGATTCTAAAACCAACTAAAAATATATTTTTAGCCGAAAAATGGAGAAAAACGCGCAAAATCCTCACCCCAGCTTTTCATTTCCAAATTTTAGAGCAATACGTAGAATCGTTTCACTCCACCACATCCATTTTAATCAACAAATTAAAATCATCAATTTCAAAAGACCCAAAAACTCCAATCGATATTTATCCTTACATAACCCTTTGCACTTTAGACATAATTTGCGAAACGGCCATGGGCACCAAAATAAACGCCCAAGAAAACACTCAATCAGAATACGTAAAGGGCGTAAAAGAATTATGTAGAATTACCGTAGAAAGGACGGTTAATCCAATGACGATGTTTCCAATCACTTACATGTTCACAAAAGATTATCGCATCGAAAGACATTATTTAAAAATTTTACACAACCATACAAACTCGGTTATTAAAAGGAGAAGAGAAGAATTAATTAAAAACGATCACCCAAAACAGAAACGATTAGCGTTTCTAGATTTACTCCTACAAAGTACTTTAGATGGTAAACCAATGACTGATGAAGAAATTCGAGAAGAAGTTGATACATTTATGTTTGCAGTAAGAAGTTTTTTTTAATAAAAACAACTTTGTCGTAATCATTATTTCTTTAAGGGCCATGACACAACAGCTTCTGGAATTAGCTTCATTCTTTATTGCATCTCAAAATACGCTGATGTTCAACAAAAAGTGTGTGATGAAATCGAAGAAATTTTAGGAAATGATAAAAATTTTATCCCCACAATCAAACAATTAAACGAAATGAAATATCTAGAAATGGTTATTAAAGAATCATTGAGGTTGTTCCCTCCAGTTCCCATTTTTGCAAGAAGTCCTTTAAATGATACTTCACATCGTAAGAGAATCTTATCTTATTAAGAATCAAAATGATTCCTTTATATTTTAGCCAGTGGATTATTTCCAACTTGGTCCCAACTTTTAGTATTTGTTTACGGGGTTCATAGGGACCCCAAAAATTATGATGATCCAGAAACTTTTGATCCAGATAGGTTTTTACCTGAAAATCAATCAAAAAGGCATCCATATAGTTATTTAACTTTTAGTGCTGGACCAAGAAACTGCATAGGTATATTTATTAATGTAACAACAAATTTATTTAAATTTATTTATTGTAGGGCAAAAATTTGCTATGTTAGAAATGAAATCTACGGTTTCTTTGGTTTTAAGACATTTTATATTAAAACCTGTGGAAGGATTCGAACCAAAACTGATTCCATTAACAGTTTTGAAATCACTAAATGGCGTTCAAGTTATCTTAGAAGAAAGAAAATGAAAAATAAGTTTGATTTATTTATTTTACTTAACGCAAATGTCTAACTTATTTTGATTAAACACATTAAATAATAACGAAATACGTAATTGATTTGATTTTATAAACTTTTTATATACTTACAGATAACACAACTAAATAAATTTGTGTTTGATAGTGATAATATTGATGTTTCCCTACTTTTATCTCTCCGGCTCATAACCCCAAATTTCTCGACAGCTTATTAATATCTATTTTAAAACGTTACATTTTTTTCACTTTCATTACATTTTAATCAATTCATGTAGATTTTAAAGTATTTCTTATATTAACTTGTATAAATTGTTTCATTTTAGAACATTGGTTTAACGAAGCGATTGAATGTGAAAAAGACGGTTAATATTTATTATTATCGGGCGATTAGTTGAAAATAAAGATCAAAAACACACTTTGTATTTACTTCTTAAATCGTATTTTTAGGTTATATCACTTTTTAGGTCAAAATAACACTAAAATTAAAAACTTTTGCGTTTCGATTTTTCCTAAACGATTTTTAACTTGATTTATCTTGTTTTCACTCATTTTCATTGGAAAATATTAATTATTCTTGAAAATAAAAACGATATAACCTCAAATGATTTGTTGGTGATGAAAGTTGTCAATTAAAAAAAAAAAGGAACTAAATCCGGGAAATGTCTACGTTTTGAGATTATGTTACACCCTAATTAACATAGAAATTAATCATTAACAATTAAAAATGAAAAATTAATATAATAGTAATATACAAAGTAATTAATTTAAATTAAAATTGTTTAAAAAATTTTATTTAAACTTAGTGACATTTAATCATTTTCATTACCAACCTCACGACTGCTTTTTTTTTCGGTATGTTTCGTTTTAAAAAACCAATAATTTTCTTCAATAAGCAAACAAAGCGTCTTAAAAGGTACAAAATAAGAAATTTTGATTTATTCTGAATAAGATAGAACAAAACTCGTCGTTTTTTAGTGAATAGAAAAGTTTAGGTGACCACTTTGAAAATTGACATGCACTTTTTATGATAAATTATCCATAAAAAAATAATTTTACAAATTTCGAGTTTCTAGGTTGGTAGTCCCGCAAAATTAATTGTCAAAAAAGGTTATGTTTTAACGTTAATATTTATTTATTTAAATATTAATATTTATAAAAATAATTGGAAATAAGTAATGTATAAACAAAATTAATTAAATAAATTAAATTTTTTTCTCTTTTAGATATATTAAGAGTCGGTTATTTAAAAAAAAATCACGGTACTCGAGAAATCTTGGAAATTTTATTACAAAAAGAGGAGATTTTATGGTTAATGGGGGCTAAAAGTAAATGATTAGCCGGTGGTGTCTCCACAGCATGAGGAATCTTATTTTTAGCTTTCTAAGCTAACCCAAAAAGCGAAGAAATTTGGTTGGCAGCCATAAAATTATGAATATTAAAGACCCTGGGGTTCAGCCCCAACCCAACCTAAGGAGTGATGATGAAAAGTGCTAAATTAGAGTCATCTTTAAACGATTTTGGGGCTGGTGGAACATATTTAATCATGTAACAAGCTTATTAATGTATAAAAATTTACTTTATTTACAAATTTACTTTAAAACTTAAGCGAGATATTCTTAATAAAGTATTTTCAATTTTATTACCCCTTAAAGACTCGGAAGGTTTAAAGACTCAGACAGCCAAAGTTCTTAAAAAAAGGTTTTATGAGTTAATCTTAAATCTGTTAAACACTCAGATACCTAGTACTGATTTGAATTTATCTACATCAGTATTTCTAACTTTGTACTTGAAGGTCTTTTTAATACTTAGGTTGAAAGTAATCCACTGAGATTTTAGATATCTAATTTAGCGTCATTGACCATCAATTCATAGAAAAAGCATGTTGATGAGAGTAATTAAATCGTCTTAATTTTACTTTAGAATTTTACTGCATGCGCAACATGTGATTATGAATGCAATATTGCGAGATATTTTTCAGTTGCGAAAGTAAATAAGTCAACATTGATGATAATATGTTTTTCTATAACTATGTTAGATATTAAGGACATGGTAATTATTGAAGTAGGAATATTTATGATTGAAACGCAAGCATAGGTTTTTTTTATTTATTATTTTGTCTTATTTAAATTTAAAGTAAAAGCGAATAAGATAATATATAAATGATAGCGCAAAAAAAATTGCTGATACCAGTCGATTCTAAAATGTTATCTCTTGTTTTCTTTTCTAAAAAAAATCAGTTAACGTCACGAGATAAAACGTCCGAGTATTTATAATCAAATATCAATCCAAAATTTAATTCAAATAACTGTATGTTAAACTCTTAATTTATGAGGATACACATAAAATGTTTCTTTTAACGATAATTTTGGGATTTATTTTTTTGGTACCGTTTATTTTAATCGTATTAATTTGTTATAATGTGTTTAGAATCGATTATAAATTATCAGGATTTAATACCTTACCAGGATCAATGTATGATAATTATTTTAAATTAACCGATTTAAACAGTAAGTAAATCATTAAAATCATTACTTTTCTAAATACATTTTCTTTTAGATATTTTAAAGACTTTATTAGAATTTAAAAGAAAATATGGTGACACGTTACGAATTCGAATCGCAGGATTTCCTGCGATTATCACTAGTGACTTAAAGATGTTGGAATATCTTTTAGGAACCACACAAATTTTAGACAAAGCGATTATGTATATTTATTTAAATAAGTGGTTGGGAAACGGTCTTTTAACAAGCAAAAGTATTAAAAAATAATCATAAAAACATGACAAAAATAATTTTTAATAATTTTTAGCTGATCAATGGAAGAAAATGAGAAAAATCATCACCCCAGCTTTTCATTTTCAAATTTTAGAACATTACATTGAAACGTTTCACTCAGCAAGCTCAGTTTTAATTGAAAACTTAAATAAACACGTTAAAAAAGGTGGATTCGATGTTTATCCTTATATAACTCTTTGCACTCTTGATATAATTTGCGGTAATTAATTAATTAATTAATTTTAATTAAAAAAAAACGTTTTAATTGTTTTTAGAAAGCGCGATGGGTACAAAAGTTAACGCCCAAACTAATTCTGAATCATCTTATGTAAAAGCTGTGAGGGAAATGTGCCGAATAGTGATCGATCGAACGTTAAATCCGATGAAAGCGTTTGAATTTATTTATGTTTTCACCAAAGATTATCGAAAAGAAAAGAACGCTTTAAAGATTCTTCATGGGTACACCGATACGTTAATTAAAAGCAAAAAACAAGAATTATTAGCTAATATGGGTTGTAATAAAAACGATTTGGGATCGAATCGAAAAAGATTGGCGTTTTTGGATTTACTTTTACTATCTCAAATTGATGGGAAACCTTTAACGGATGAAGAAATTCGTCAAGAAGTTGATACTTTTATGTTTGCTGTAATGAATTAATTATTTATTTTGTTTCGATTTTGTAATCTTTTTTTTGTAGGGTCATGATACCACGGCTTCTGGAATTAGTTTTATCTTGTACTGTTTATCTCAACATCCTCATGTTCAAGTAAAGCTCAAGTAAAAGCAAATAACTTATTTTTATTTATGATTAATGTTTCTTTTAGGAAAAAGTTTTTGAAGAAATCCAAGAAATTTTTAAAAACGATCAAACTAAACAACCTGGTTTAAAAGAATTAAATCAAATGAGATATTTAGAAATGGTTATTAAAGAAACATTAAGATTGTTTCCCCCGGTTCCTTTTATTGGGAGATGCCCATCAATAAGCGATAAAAAATATTGTAATTGAAAAAAAATAACTTATAAATTTCAAATTAATTTATTTTTTTAATTTTTAGATGGTGGTGAACTTCCACAATACTCCCAATTAGTTCTTTTCACTTACGGAGTCCACCGCGACCCCAACATTTACGAAGAACCCGAAAAATTTGATCCAGAAAGATTTTCACCTGACCAATTAACCAAAAGACACGCTTATAGCTATTTGGCTTTTAGTGCTGGCCCAAGAAATTGCATCGGACAAAAATTCGCCATGTTAGAAATGAAATCGACGGTTTCTCATATTTTAAGAAAATTTCTTATTAAACCGGTTCAAGATTTCGAACCGAAATTACTCCCGGTGACGGTTTTAAAATCGTTAAACGGAATTCAAATAGAACTCGAAGAAAGGAAGTATTAATTTTAAACTTAATAAAACATAGTTATACAAAAAAAAATTTATTCAAAAATCACAATATACAAAAGAAGGTACTAAGTAGTTAGATGAAATTTGATATGATTTTGGGGGTGAAATTTCGATGAAATCGTGCTGAGTTGTTGTTGAACCGATTACCACCAGCCTCCACCGCCGCCTCCTCTCCATCCACCACCTTTAAATTTAACAAAAAAATAATTAATAAGTACATAATTTAATCTAATCTAAGTTTTGTAATTTAAACAAATTTTTTTTATTAAACTGTATGATTCAGAAAGTGGTCTTGATGATTTTAGTATTTATTATTTTGTAAGTGGACTAAAATTATCTTAAAAATGTGTGAGTTATCTTTAATAGCCTAGCACGGTATGTTGAAGAAAATGGGTCTATTTTGTGAGTGTGTTTATAACAAAGAGAAGTACTGTTAAGTTTTATTTCTCGACCTATCTAAAATGATGAGATATAGTATTATCCTTTTTCACATTCTAATTTGTTGATAACAAGCAAATCGGACAAATTTGTTTATTTGAAGACACACTTATCGTATTTAGTAGTAGGTTTTGGGGATTTACTGAAGAAATCAAGGTGATTCTAATTGTTATAATGAATTTGTGAGGATTTGTACTGAGACTAGGCAGTTACTAGAGTTTGCGTCAGAACCTGTCTGTTCGGGTTATGTCAAATTCTAGCAAGTTGCCATACTTTAATACTCCATTTATTAACGAGATTTATAATACATAATAAAGTAGAGGCTGATTTTCAGTAGAATAAATCAAAAGAATTAGTTTTTGAAGTAACGACTTGGTTTCAAAATGCGTCTTTATGAGATATGGATAAGGATAGAACCAGATCTGAGTCAGATAAAGATCTTCAATACTCCAGTAATGAAGTTACTTATCTCATAGACGCAGTTTTAGACACAGTTTTGATGCAGACTCGATAGATCTGATTTTAGACCATCTCATTGGCTAAAAGTTTATTTTCAATAGATTGCATAAAAAGTTTTACCTCCTCCGCCAGATTTGAATCCACCACCTCCTCCATATCCACCACCACCTCCTCCGTATCCTCCACCACCACCTCCATATCCTCCTCCTCCTCCACCACCTCCTCCAGATGGAACAATAATTTTGATGATTTTGAATCCTCCACCACCACCTCCTAATCCACCGCCGCCGCCTCCATGTCCACCTCCTCCAAATCCACCACCTCCTCCTCCAAATCCACCGCCGCCTCCACCGAAACCTCCTTTCCATCCACCACCTCCTCCTCCTCCTCCATATCCCCCACCACCTCCTCTCCAACCACCTCCTCCTCCTCCGTAACCACCGCCGCCCCCACCTCCATAGCCACCACCACCTCCTCCAGAACTAAGAAAGCCACCTAAAAATTGAAAAATAGATTAATAAAAAAAATTAATTGATACATAAAAAATTAATATATAAAAATTTACTAACCGTTGACGGTAACAACGGAAATTAAAAGTAAACACACGAAAACCTTAAAAAGAAAAAATTAAAGTTATTATAATATAGTTAATAAAATCCACATATCACTAAGTAATTGTATTCCATATTATTGTACCTTCATATTTTGTGAGTTAGAAGACACCACTGAAAGTTGACTGACTATGAGGAGAAGTTAGGCACCTTATATAGTAAGAAGAAACGGTCATCCACCACCCGAAATCCATGGTTTGAGGTTCTCTTCGTCTTGGTTCATTGTTCCCTTTCAATAAATCTGAGTGCACACGTTCACAATTGCATCCTCTCTTATGATGCCGATGACGAAACAACCGGCGGCCGCTTGGATTAGCATTGCTTTTGCTCTCTTTGAGCCCCAATTCACTTCCACTTATTTATTATTATCTTATAATAATCATGAGTGCAATTTATTTCTTCACACGGTGTGTTATAATATTTATAAAATCTATTACGGAAATTATCTTTTCTTTTTTAATTCAAATATGGAAAAATATAATAAAAAAAAATTATTTTATTTAATTTAATAGAGTTAAAGAATTTTTTATATGGACAATATAGGGTTCAAGGCTGTTTAGAGATGAAACGAAGGAACTGGTTTTCTAGGAAGAGAACGTTTAGGAAGTAAAAGTCGTCCAGTTTAGGTTTATATTTATTTTAAAACCGTACAAAATTAATGTATGTACATAGTTTTGGATTTTCATCATTGATTTTGACATTTTTATGGGTCGAAATTGAAAGGGATATTCTTGATTTTTATGAACTTGATTGCATTCAATTCTACTTTCTAATAATATGGGTAACCAGTTCTGATTGCTCCATATCCATTTCTATATGGTCCATATGAATACCCTGAATATAATAAAGCTCTCCCGGAAAGACCTGCTGTTGAAACATTATTTAATTTGTTGTGTAATTTACTGTAGTAAATTAAATCTTTTAAATACCTTTCTGGCTGTCCCTTAAACCCCAATTATTTCTCCCCATGTTGTCATAAACTCCAAAATTATTGTTGCCATATCCACTCAATCCTCTATAAGCATCGGATACACCATAAATGTTATTGCCATATCCGTTTACTCCCCTGTAAGCATCATAAGCTCCATAACCTCCTAAATTATTGTTACCATAACCATTTAATCCTCTGTAAAGGTCATAACTTCCATAACCACCATATCCACTGTTGCTACCATATCCACTTAATCCCCTGTAGTAATCGCTGGCCCCAATTAAATTATTGCCTGCACCTAATGCTCTGTAACCGTGATAAGATCCATAACCATTGTATCCTTTAGCCGATCCAAAGTTTGCTAAAGCTGAAGGATTATCAAAAGGGTATACTCGCCTGTAACTGCTGTCGTAGCCGGCGAATGCATTAGATAAGCCACGTAAGCTATTATCACTTAATGCTTTGTTTAAAGCATCAGATAATAATGCTCTATTACTACTAGCATCGGCAACACCGACACCTCCAAAACCTCCATAACCTCCTAAAGCTCCTAAATCGTTTCCTAACATACCTCGAGAAGAAGGATCATGTTGAATAATTTGCCCTAAAAAAATGTTTCATCGAAAAATTTGTCTTTAGGTGTTAATTTAAAAAGTAATGGTTTAATGATTTGAACAAATAATGGGGTTTGAAGGACGAATAAAAATGTACGTAACATATGTAAATAATTTTCTGAGTCGGTTTAGTGTGGAATTTCCAATTATTTAAAACGTGAATGGTTTTTTTAAATAACTAGGTTTCATGGGAGCTTGGTAAGTAATAAAAATGTAATAAAATGTGTTTTTATTTCTAATGCGTGTATCGATGATGATGCAGCATGATGTAATATGAATGTTGCNTAAATAACTAGGTTTCATGGGAGCTTGGTAAGTAATAAAAATGTAATAAAATGTGTTTTTATTTCTAATGCGTGTATCGATGATGATGCAGCATGATGTAATACGAATGTTGCATTAAAAATCGTGCCATCTGGATTTATGGGCATAAAGAAATAATTTTCAATGAGTTAAATGCTAAATAAATTTGCTTTGTAATGTTTTTTTTATTTCATGATGATATCTCAATTAGTTTTTGAGATACGATTTTTTTAAATTGACTTTGTATCTATTTAGCTTTAAAAAACGCGGAGGATTGTATTTAAAAAATCGTGCCAACAAGATTAATAAGAATGAAGGAATTAGTTTAAAACTAGATTAAATTTGCTTTAAAATGTTTTTTATTTCATCTCAATATCTCAATTCGTTTTTGAGATATGATTTTATTAAATTTTATCTTTATGAAATTAACCTGTAATAAGTGTCTAAATTTAAAAAAATCATAACATCCAGATTTGTAGGAATAAAGAAATGATTTTCAATGAGTTAAATACTAAATAAATTTGCTTTAAAATGTTTTTTATTTCATCTCAATATCTCAATTCGTTTTTGAGATATGATTTTATTAAATTTAATCTTTATGAAATTAACCTGTAATAAGTGTCTAAATTTAAAAAAATCATAACATCCAGATTTGTAGGAATAAAGAAATAATTTTCAATGAGTTAAATACTAAATAAATTTGCTTTGAAATGATTTTTATTTCATGATGATATCTCAATTAGTTTTTGAGGTATNAAATTTGTCTTTAGGTGTTAATTTAAAAAGTAATGGTTTAATGATTTGAACAAATAATGGGGTTTGAAGGACGAATAAAAATATACGTAACATATGTAAATAATTTTCTGAGTCGGTTTAGTGTGGAATTTCCAATTATTTAAAACGTGAATGGTTTTTTTAAATAACTAGGTTTCATGGGAGCTTGGTAAGTAATAAAAATGTAATAAAATGTGTTTTTATTTCTAATGCGTGTATCGATGATGATGCAGCATGATGTAATATGAATGTTGCATTAAAAATCGTGCCATCTGGATTTATGGGCATGAAGAAATAATTTTCAATGAGTTAAATGCTAAATAAATTTGCTTTGTAATGTTTTTTTTTTTATTTCATGATGATATTTCAATTAGTTTTTGAGATACGATTTTTTTAAATTTAATCTTTATGAAATTAACCTGTAATAAATGTCTAAATTTAAAAAAATCATAACATCCAGATTTGTAGGAATAAAGAAATGATTTTCAATGGGTTAAATACTAAATAAATTTGCTTTGAAATGATTATTATTTCATGATGATATCTCAATTAGTTTTTGAGATACGATGTTTTTAAATTGATTTTGTATCTATTTAGCTTTAATAAACGCGCAGGATTATATTTAAAAAATCGTGCCAACAAGATTAATAAGAACGAAGGAATCAGTTTTGGTGTGTTAAAAATAGATGAAATTTACTTTAAAATGTTTTTTATTTCATCTCAATATCTCAATTCGTTTTTGAGATATGATTTTATTAAATTTAATCTTTATGAAATTAACCTGTAATAAGTGTCTAAATTTAAAAAAATCATAACATCCAGATTTGTAGGAAGAAAGAAATAATTTTCAATGAGTTAAATACTAAATAAATTTGCTTTGAAATGATTTTTATTTCATGATGATATCTCAATTAGTTTTTGAGGTACGATTTTTTAAATTGAATTTGTATCAATTTAACTAAATAGTAATTTGGCAAGAATTTTTTAGATACGATTTTTAAAATTGTAGAACTTACCATTAGCTGCAGAAGCAATGGCGACAAGAACAGTGCAAATAAAAACCTAATGATTACAAAAAAAACCTTTTAATTGACTTGAATTGATTAAAAATTTGAAATTTCTGACCTTCATTTTGGATCACTCACCAATTTTGTAGCGACTAATTTCAACAATTTGATTTCTCTTTTTATAACAAAAAAAATCTTATCGAAATGATTTTTTTATGAGTTTATATTGTCTTTTTGAATTAAAACAATAATCATTGTGAATCTTTACGAATTGAATACCTTAATTAACGCTTTATTAACAAAAGACTATTAATTTTTTTTATAAAATACAACAATTACCTCATTAAAAATTTGAGTTGGAGTTTATCCAATTATTTAACATAATTTGTGGGTTGGGTTTAAATTTTTTTTGGGGATTGATTAAAAAGATAAATTGTTTTTAAACGGTGGCAGTGCGGATTTTATTTATTAAAGTAGACATAATATTTACAAAAATCACAAAAAGACGTTTAAGATAAGTTGAAAACGATCCATGTTTTGAAGAAGTGGGTTGATTAATGTTGATGTGGTTTACCACCAACCTCCGCTTGATTTCCAACCACCTAAATGATGAAATTTTTGTATAATCAGTTTGAAAAATTGGTTCAAAATTTACCTCCTCCGTATCCACCTCCACCTCCATAACCACCTCCTCCTCCTCCAAGTTTCCATCCTCCACCGCCTCCACCGAGGTTCCAACCTCCTCCACCTCCTCCAAGTTTCCATCCACCGCCACCTCCACCATATCCACCTCCGTATCCACCCCCGAATCCTCCTCCACCACTTGGAACGACGATTTTAATCACTTTAACGGTTCCACCACCGAATCCACCACCTCCTCCATATCCACCCCCGTATCCACCTCCGTATCCACCTCCTAATCCTCCTTTCCATCCACCTCCACCTCCTCTCCAAACTCCACCACTTTGCCAACCACTTCCTCCTCCTCCATAACCACCCCCAAATCCACCTCCATATCCACCACCGCTTCCAGACCAACCGGAACTAATGTAACCAGCTAAAATCAATAAGATACAAAAATTATGTAAACATTTTTTAATTTTTATTTCTTTATTTACCATTGGTTACCGCAACAAGTACTCCAAGTAATAAAACCACCTGAAAATAACAATTTTTTGTTAGAATGAATGAAGTCAAGTGTTAAGTGTTTACCTTCATGGTTGAAAAATCTATGACTGTGAAGATCACGTACGGTCGTATCTTTTATAGTAAATTAAAGCCTTGGGCCTCCCTTTCGAAAACTACTAACAGCCGCCGCCTATTTGGCGGCGGTCATCCTCTTTTCACGCGTACAAGTTCGCTGAAAAAACGACGAAGACAACACGATGTTCGGAAGAGACGTGGTGTTGCACAAGATCTCTTTGCTCTTTGCTTAACTTTGGCCTTACATAGGCCTAATATGCAAATAAAAGAATTTAAATGCGTTATATGTAATGTTAGAATCATCTCAAGAAATAATTCGATTAATTAAAAAAAATTATTTATTAATAATGGAATTCCTTGACATATTTATATTTTTTAACAAAAAAGTCGATTATCTTATGATGACCGTATTCATAGAAAAAAATTCGCGTTAGTTTCTAATCGAATGATTTCGAAACGAATTTTCAACCTGTTAAATTGCGTAAATTGTAAATACATCATTATCCATCCGGAGGGGAATCTTCAAGGTGCCCCTTTTGCCATTTTTCATTGTCCCATCGGATTTTCGTCCATTGTTTGTGTATTCTCGTTGAAAAAGACGTCGTCATTGTGTTTTCCTGTTGCTTACAAACCAATTCAGATGTCAAGAGAAACCAATTAAAGAAAAAAATTAAAACTTTTCGATTTTGTAACCAATCGGTAAAGAAAAAAATAAAAAAGTTTTTGTAAATACTTCTTGACCATCACTTTTTAATGGTCGCTCTTCACATTTTGCGTTCGACATTTCGAAAATTATTGGGTTGAGTTCGAAATGGTAGTAGAATCCTTTCTAAAATTATTCGAGGATTTCTTTTTTAACTTTTGTTTCGATATTTCTTGGGTTTTAATTTTTTTTTTGATTGAAGTGAAGGTTAATAAAAAAACACACGGGAAGTACATTTTAAGATTTTTCTACATCATAATATTATCCTTGAAGCGTCTTTTCCTTTTACCATTAAGATGATCATAAATAATAGACAAAGATTTAGATGTACGATGTATAATAGATGAGTAATTAAAAATTACGAAATCTAACAAAAACATTAACACAAAATTCTTTCTTTATTTATAGAAATAGAATTAAATGTGCTAAATAACAGTGTTGTTTCTTTAGAAGCATGGCTAAATCCGAATGATTCTAGCGCTAAATAATAATTAAAACTAGATCTAACACGAGAACTAGAACTAGAAACTTTCGGGTTTAGCCGTCTAAAGAGATGTATGGCTAAATCCGAATGTTTCTAGTTCTAGGTCTAGTGTTAGTTCTAGTTTTACACTAGCGCTATCACTAGAACTAACACAAGACCTAGAACTAGACTCATTCGGGTTTAGCCGTCTTGAGAGACGTGCGGCTAAACCCGAATGTTTCTAGTTCTTGGTCTAGTGTTAGTTCTAGTTTTACACTAGCACTATCACTAGAACTAACACAATACCTAGAACTAGAAACGTTCGAGTTTAGCCGTCTTGAGAGACGTACGGCTAAATCTGAATGTTTCTAGCTCTAGGTTTAGTGTTAACTCTAGTTTTAAACTAGCACTATCACTAGAACTAACACAAGATCTAGAACTAGAATCATTCGGGTTTAGCCGTCTTGAGAGACGTGCGGCTAAATCCGAATGTTGATTGTTGACACTATGTCTAGTGTTAGTTCTAGTTTTATACTACCAGTATCAGAAGAACTAACACAAGACCTAGAACATTATCTATAATCACAAAATTTTTGCTAGATAAATTTTGCAAATTAGATTTTTGTTAACACAGTTGTAAAAGATTTGGATATTCATCGTCTTGTGGTAATCTTTGTAAGTATTCTTGCTATTAAAAAGTAACAACCTAATTTCTAAAAAGCCACCTCTATAACCTGCATGTAGTACAAATTTACAACAATTTGGCAAGTATCACCCTCTAGTGCTAATCGGGAAAATTATCGAATTTTACGCAACCGCTGTAATCATAAATGCAAGTATGCTAAGAGATCTTATTTCTACCAGAGGCTGTCTGGAGTCGCGCCCAGAACATTTTGGAGAACTATGAGGTCTCTCGGAGTGATTGATTCTCCGTCTGTCCAGATGGATCTTGATTGTGAGTCGATGGCAAACTTTTTTGCAGAGCCTCCCCTGATCATCGATGACGTAACTAAGGCGGCTACAATTAATGAAATTCTTACTTCTCTTAAATCTTGCTTCTTCTCTCTTACGCTTGTGACCGCGATCGAAGTAGGCGATGCTTTGACTTATTCGAAGTCCCCTTGCGTGGGTTCTGATGGTATCAGTCTCAACCTTCTTCTTCCTATCCTGGATATAGTGCTTCCTCCCTTAACTCATATCTTCAACTTTTCTTTTGAGCGGTCTTTATTTCCCTCTGTCTGGAAGGTTGCTCATGTCGTTCCCATACCCAAATCCAAGTCCTCTTCATGTAACACTGATTTCCGTCCGATTTCAATTTTATCCGTACTATCAAAAGCTCTTGAACGCTTAGTTTATTTACAAGTCCAAGGATTTCTAGAGAGGTTTAATTTACACAATGAGTTGCAATCGGGTTTTCGCAGTGGGCATAGTACAACTACTGCTCTCATTAAAGTTACTGATGATATTAGGTATGCCTGCGACAACAGATGTGTTACTGTGCTGGTACTGCTCGATTTCAGCAAGGCTTTTGATTCTGTCGACCACAGCCTTCTTTTAGCGTCTCTTTCTGCCTACGGATTCACTCCCCCCTGTGTTTCTTGGTTTCAATCCTACCTTTCCCATCGCTCCTTGTGCGTACGCGCTAACTCTTCAATTTCTTCTGCTTGTGCAATCAAATGTGGTGTTCCTCAGGGCAGTGTATTGGGTCCGTTACTTTTTTCTTTGTTCGTTAATAGTGTTACTAATTATATCTCGTGTAATTATCATTTGTATGCCGACGACCTGCAGATATATACTACTACTACTGTTGCTGAATTTCCGGCAGCTATTGTGCGACTTAATAACGATCTATCTAACGTCTTGAACTGGTCTCGGAGATACGGACTTAAGTTGAACTCAGTTAAAACGCAAGCTATTGTGTTTGGAACTCGTCAATTACTTGGTAAGATTAATCCATCTGCCTGCAGTGATCTGATGCTGGATGGTAATGTCATACGGTTTTCTAACACAGTTAAAAATCTTGGAGTCCTTATGGATTCTGCACTGTCTTGGAAACCGCAAATTCAACATGTTTGCAGAAAAGTCTATGCTTGCTTCCACTCTTTAAAAAGACTTCGCTGCTCTCTTCCTCCTGTGGTGCGTCGTAATCTTTGTTACTCTCTTATATTTCCTCACTTCGACTATGCGGACGCGGTTTATCCCGATCTCTCGGTGACTCTTCTGAGTAAATTGCAGCGGCTACAAAATAATTGTATCCGGTTCATATTTGACCTAAATAGATTTGAGCATGTAACGCCGTATCGCAATTACATTCAGATGTTAACCTGTGAGAGACGTAGATCCTTTCGTTTATTAACCATTTTATTTAAAATCCTTCATAACTGCACCCCAAAGTACTTATCAGATAGGTTCCAGCAATTATCAACTCATGAGCTTGCTACTCGTTCACGTTCTGATACTATTCTTACATTTCCCGTTCATAGCACTGAAATTTATCATAGATCATTTACAGTACAGTCGATTGCGCTGTGGAATGGACTGCCTTCTGAAATTCGTAATATTTCTAGAATTACTAATTTTAGACATGTTTTAAAGAGCCACTTGCTTGCCCTTCAACTGGCTGTTTCCTGATTCTTTGTTCTTTGTCTTTCTCTTTTTTTCCTCTCTTCAACTGCTCTCACTTGTTGGCAACTGATATCCGGCAGATTCTTTTAGTTTCTTTTAGTCGCTCTCTATCTCTCTTTTTGTGTCTTTTCTTTATTTTTCTCTTTGTTTTTCTTTTCTTGCTTAATCTTATTTGGTGATGTTAATAATATCTAATTGTCACTACTTGCCATATTCAGCAAATACTATTTTTATTTTTGTTTGTTCTGTTGGGTCATTTGGCAGAGATCGCTTGTGCGATAAAATGATCCATTTGCTGATACTGTTTAAGTTAAGTGTATCTTATGTAATTTTGTATTTTTGTCTGTGGCAATAAATGATAAATAAATAAATAAATAAATATTATAGAAAAAAAAATATGATTCATCAAATTTAAAATAATAACATAAACATTTAATTTCCTTTTGATTAAAATTTCACAACAGAAATTAGATTGTAAAATGATTATCTATAGATGGATAGTTGTATCTATATAATTTTCGGTTAAACTAATTTGTTTAACCTCCGAGCTGTGAAAGCATTTCCTGATCCATTTTCATTATTCAATATCCACATCACTTTAACTTTTCGATTATTTAAAAGTTACTTAATCTAAACGAGTGAATTACCCGAAGATAGGTAATTAAATATCACAGATGAACAATAATGGACCGGGACTTTCACCCGAGAGATTCGCGCGGATAATTGTATCCGTTATTAGTTATTTCGGTTCTTACAAACCAAGGCTTGAGACGAGAAAAAAAAATAATCGAGATAAAAATGCTTTCTATTTCGCCCGGAACGTTGTAATGTTGGGTAATAATCGTTTTGAAATTTTCGTGCTATAGTTCACACGACCATTAATACACATGGGAACGTTTGCGGTTTAAACTAACAAAAAAAAAATAACGCACTCACCTTTTTATCTTTTATTACTTTGTAGAATAACAATAAATAAATAAGGTGATTATAAGTTTTGGTTAAGATAAATATAGAAAGCAAAAAATTTAATTTAATTACTTTAGACGATATTTTCAATTAAGAGATTAACTTATTACATTATTAGAAAAGGTGGTTTTACGGTTTATGGTATGTTATGTAATCCAGTTTATTTTTCACATAGCGGTTTTTAATTTCCGATTGAATGCTGATCGCTCAGTGGAAAATTGCGAGTGTTCTGCACTCCGAGAAACGTTTAATTATAATCGTTAATATCGTTATATGGTTTATTGTTGGATATGGAATCTCCTATAAAGCACGTTCAAAACAATTTAATCCGTTATAAAATTAATTGATCGATAATTATTAACCATAAAAATAAATTAAAAACTTAAAAAGAAAAATATTAGTTATTTCGCGCCTTTTACACAATATAAAGAATATAAATGAAGTCCGAATTAAAATAATGTCATGGGAAAAAAGATTTTGCGCAAATCTTCCACCTAAAGGAAGGTTTGCATAATGAATCTTGCGCTCGACTCGGCTCGGTCCATCATCCTCATGCAAAGGTCGAAGTGATTTTAATTAATTTTTCTAAAGAATCTCACGTTTCCTCTTTCAACATCGCCCAATAAATTCATCCAACGCAAAAAATCTTAACAAAATGAGATAATATCTAAGCATTATTAGTCATCATGGTTAAGATATCGCAAGATTTGGGTCACATTTAAAGATCTTTAGATCTCCTCAACACATAGTCACACAGTCACGGTTCGATACATTAAAAAAACGAACTAATTGCTGTTATGTAAGTATAAAACAGTTTGAACTACACTGAAATTGAGGTGATCTAAAGACTTCTGAAGATTTAACGAAAAAAAACTCTTTAAAATAGTTTTGTAAACAGACAAATTGTTAACGTTCTAATTTACGTAGTTTGCGGTCAATTATTCCCCATTTAATGTCATTCCTTTACTTTTTTGCATTACGACAAAGACGTATCAAATGCACCGCACGCATTCCATCAATGGAACTGAATCTACTTAGATATACCGTTTTCGATTGCCAGTAAGACTTTCTCTTCTCTTCCACGACTCGCGACGTTTTTATTAAATTGGATCGAAAGGATTTTATATGGGTGGTTGGGTTACTTTTAATTTCTTTTTTGCTTAACTTCTATCTGTGTGAGAACATTTTAGTATGTATTTTGTATTTAACGTTAAGACTTAGAAATGTTGCAATTTAAAACGCTGGTTCGAAGAGAGGGGAAATAGAAGCCGATCCTTGTTTTAATATTGACTTTTTGAAATTGCAACATCGAATTATGGGGTGTGGTTTTATATTCTTATATTGTAATAAATGCATTAAATAACAATAATTAAATGACAGTTCATTAAACGTCAAATCAAAAAAAAAAATTTACCAACATAAAAAGTCAAAATAACTGTGATACTCTTAATAAAATATTTCATCAATATTTTACGAAGTAGTGAATTGATTACGAACGGTACAATCTCAATGTACGGTCGCTTTTATTAATTGTGAAATACATTTTTTAAAATATTTAACGCAAATTATTAACGGGCGACTTAAACTTGACACTGATATGAAGTTATCGCGGGTGTGTATCACACTTCACACATCTCAATTATTTCAAGTGACAGTAATATTTTTCTAACCTACAAATAAACATTGTAAATAATTATTATACACTTTAAATTTTCTCTGTTATTGCTGTAAACAACGCCTAAATTCAGCGAGACGGCGTCACGTGTCAAATAACTTCTCTATTCTACATCTTTATCAACAAAAATAATGACAAATGTCATTAAACGTCAAATCAAAAAAAAAATTGTTACCAACATAAATGACTGTGATGCGACTTTTAGTTTCTTTTTTACAATAAATCTGATTTTAGAGATAATATTCTTGATATAATAAGCATATTAAACCTTAATATTATTATTAATCCCTGTTAACATTAATTTGAAATAAAAATGATTAAAATACTTTTTTGGACAAATTAAACTTTCTGTTCAAACCACAATTTCTCATTTGAACTCGATGCACTTGCAGCAATAACTCAAATTACTCATTGGGCATTAACCTATTTCCCTCTAAACATTTCAAACGCAAAATGACGAAACTACATCTTTCGGAAAACACTGAGAAATCGAAATTGCCCAACAACACCCAGTCTAATTTATGTTTTAAAACCAAAAATAGAAACTAAAAATTAAATACAATCTTGTCTTGTTGTCCCTCTGATCGTAAAGAATCTTCTTTTATTTAAAAGAGAAAAAGTGAAAGTTGTTGGAGATCCACCAATTTCGTTATTGTTAATTCTCGCAATCTGCATCGTTTTGTCACAAAAGGAATTTTATTCTCGATGTGTACGAGAATGTTACGTAATTTTCCATTTTTGCGAAAGAAGAAGTAAACAATTTTTTTTTTAATTTTGAGCCAACAAAATCAACTTTATTTTTGTTGTGACATCATTTGTTCTTTATAACTTCCTGTTATAAATAAAATGCCGTCCCCTGATAAATAACAGAATGAATCGTTTATATTAATCGCTCTTGGTGTTTGATAAAGCCTGGTTAATTGTAAATCTAAATGTCTCGCTTTTGGGCCAACTCCTTGAGTTTCTTTGTGAATAGCTCCAACTTCAACGCAACCTTCTGATACTCTACAATAAATTTCATCGCGAGGAATCGCTTTGAAATCGGCTACAATCTAAAAATAAGATTGAATAAAAAAGTTTTCTGTTCAAATTTATTTAAAATTTTATTACTTCATAAATATCATCGTTAAAGAAAATTGCTTCATTTGGAGAACCTAAAGTAGTCGCCTCCTCTGTGTTATTACTTTTCGTTGCAACTTGGGTTGTTTCGTTTACATCTTGACCATCTTTTTCGTTGGGTTCTTTCGATTTCTGTATATTCTCGCGGACTTTTTCAAATTTTTCATCTTCGTCAAATTGCCCGCGTTGTTCAACGATTAAATCGATTACTTTAATATCTTTAGTTACTTGGTTAACTTTAGTTGGTTGGCTCATTTTTTAAAACATCTTCATTTAGCAAAAATAAAAATTTCAATGACTTTGATTACATCAGATTTTATTTAAGTCAGTTGTAATTAACAAATTAATTTCCCCATAAACCCGAAATAAAAAGCATCCCATTCGGGCACAAATAACATTTACTCATATTTGGATTAATATTTTTCGGCATTTGAATCTTTTTACACATTTTACAAGCTTTTGCATTGCGATTTATTCCATCGAATCGATTTTCCGCCGTAATTTCAACGTATTCATTCGTTATCGTACACCGGATATCCTGTGGCTTAAATTCCTTACAATCGGTTAATATTTCAAAACAATCATTTTTAAATAAAATACCCTCTTGTGGTGTTAATAATTGGAGATAAACGGGTTGGTTTAAATTGTTAATCATTGAAACGTAATTTTTAAAAAAAGATATGTCAAAATTTGAAGTTTCAATTTTATTGCGCCATCTATGAGTGTATTTATAAAACGGTTTAACTTTAAAATTTATTCCTTTTTACTGTGATTTGAAATAAAATATTTTCTTAATACACATATGTGTTTATTTAAATTGTTAATCATTTAAAATATATTTATTTTTATAAGACTTATAATAATTAAAATAAACAAATTGGAATTAACACACCTGTTCATAGATGGCAACAAAAATTGCAGATTTCTCTATCATAACTGCCTTTTCCACGCGTGAACGATTATTTTCTATAAATATTGTTAATCTTTATTAAATAATTACCCAATATTTCTAAACGAGGTATGTAAATCTTCCAAAATAACTTAACAATCTATAAGTTAGTTAGATTTTTATCAGATTTGGTCATCGTTTCTTGTGTTTCTGCCATTACAACATCGTCAGCGCTCGACTAACAACATTAATTTTTATACATTATAAAATGAATTCCTTGGAAATTAACACTCCAGGTAACATTTAATGATAAAAAAATAACTTAAAGCACCTTAATTTTCCAATATTAATTATTTTTTAGGAGTTTCAACTCAAAAAATAAGATTGAGGAGAGGTTAGGTTTCCGTTTTAGTCCTTGATAATTCTTAACACTTTCTTTTTATTTTAGTGCCAACCAAACGCGAAATGATACAAAACAATCTTTTGCAAGTAAAACAGAATGCAATTAAAAAGCGGAAAGCTCAAATGGCTTATTATTCAAACAAAGTTCAAAATCAGAGCCCGTTAAGAAGAGGTGTGCAAACTAAAAACGTTCAAAACCGTTTGGGATTAAAAAAATCCGTTATTTTTACCAATACAAATAAGAACCAGCAAGTAAAACAACAACAACAACTCGTTTTAACAACAAATAAGACAAACAACAACAATCGAAATAATTTTCGGAGGCAGTTTCGTCAAATCGGGAACCAAAATTCCCAACAATCGATGAATAAATTTAATACAAGGAATAATTTTGCAAATCGTAATCAGAAATTTATAAGAACAACTTCAATCCAAGAGAGATGGAACCAAATTAGACAACAACCGAAATCCGTGAAAAACTTTAGAAACCCCCAGCAACAAGCGATTACAACAAATGGACAAAATAAAATTAAATTGCGACGACCATTAAACAATTACAAAATACAAGTCCCCGCGAATGTTCAACAACAAAACCAAACAAAACTAAGAACACTTAACCCACAACTCCAAGCGGAAATTAAAGCAATACAAAGTAGAGTTCCACAAGAAGAAGATATTGCTGCACCAATTGCGTCCAGTAAAATCGGTGTAACAGGAATTACATTGAATGATAGATTCAGCCAGTTGATGTGAACCAAGTTATTCTTTTTATAAAATCTCATAGTTTTAAAGTACACTATTTCTTAAGTTAATTATAATTAATCTTTCATTTCTGCCTTAACATTTATTAATTGTAACATTTAGTTTCATTTATGTAATATAACATTTAGTTTCTTTCAAAACACTTTAGTGTTATTAATACAGTTACATAAATATTTAAGTTTGCATAGTTGTGTGTTCTAATTAAAAAAATATGTTCTAAAATACACTGTTTATGGTTATCTTTAAGAATTATATGAAAGAAAGAATAGAGTGAATAAAACATCAAATTTGACGTTTGTGTACATGGTTAGAAATTGAGTGTTGAGGAAACGCTCAAGAAGAAAGGTCTCATTTTAAGGTAATCATTTAAAAATTATTAACATTTGTTTTATACATCCAGTCATTGTTTTTATTAATTTATTAGTATTGGTTAATTGGCTTTTGCTGCACCTTATATAATAGAGGTTATTCTTCAAACTCTTATTCTAACTGCAGAATTAATTTAGAGGACTTCAATTTGCCAATAAATTAAAATTGATCGATTCCTTTGTTGTAAACAAAACTAACGTTAAGCTAAGTTTCCACATGCATAAATTACTGATATCAGAAATTGGTTCCACATAAATGTGATAATTGTGTACTGCCACAGTAATAAAAATGTCGTCAAGTGATTTACTTCGTGGCATCAACGTGGTAATGCAAATGTGCTCAAGAAAATTAGAAATAGGAATTACCTAGATGCATCAAGTACTTGAATTAGAGAAAACCATCTTATTTCGCAGGGTTTCCAGGTTACACACATAAAATGTCATAAAAAGTCATGAGAAATCGTGGTATGTTGAAATTTGTTTAAAAATCACTCAATTTTAATAATATGTATTACATATAGGCATAGGATTCAAATAAAATAATGATAAAGTTTCTTCCAGCTTCAACGTATCTCAATAGGTGCTAGCACCGAATTTAATAAGAAAATAAAATACATCGTTTAAGCCAAACCTAGGCTTTTATTTACATCAAGTAAAACAATTTAGACAACGTTTATATATAAAAGTAATATAATTAAAAGGAAATAAAATATTAGTTTAAGTAATTTCTTGGCGCCACCTAGCGGCGAATAGATGTAACTAATAGAGAAATTTACAGTAACCTACAATTCGAGTTTGATTTTATTACACTAATTATTATATTATTTTTGTAATAAAGTTCGTGAGACCTGGAAACCTTGTTGGCATGAAATGGTCATGAATATACATAATTATACACATTATTACCAATGTCATAATTATACACATTATTACAAATGTCATAATTATACACATTATTACATATGTCATAATTATACACATTGTCAGCTGATGTCAGCTTAAGGTCTTGTTCTTTTATGTCGGTAGGTGTCAAAAGAGCTTTACTGAAAATTGTGTGTCTTAGGCGACCTCTGGCAATGTAATTACACAGTATATGTTCAGCCGTTTCTGAGTCGTCGTTGCAAAATCGACAAGTTTGATCCTCAGCTTGTCTAATGTGGAAGAGGTGGTATTTTAGGGGCGCATGGTCGGTCAGGAAACTTGAGAAGGTCCTTAGATTCTCTTTGCTGAGGCATAAAACCTCTTTGGTTTTGTTTTGCGACGGAGTTATCATACTCTTCGCTTGTCAGTGACCTTAAAGGCCTCCCAATTGTTGGTTACGTGTTTTAGGTGGCTTTTTTGTAGTCAACAACCGGGTTGGGGTCCAATGAAGGGCGTTTTCGCTGCCTCTTTGGCTAGCTCGTCCGCCCTCTCATTGCTCTCAATGTCTCCGTGACCTGAAACCCACCATAGAGTAACATCATTGCCCCTAGCAAGTTCTCTCAGGTTGCTGGTACAATCTCTGATCAGTGTGGAGGCCTCACACATGTAGGCCTGAATTGCCTTTAGCGCGGCCAGACTGTCTGTGAAAATGTTTATAGATGCACCTTTCTGTCCCTTTTGTAGGTTCAAAGCGGTGAAGAAAGTTATAGCACGAACTTCTGCTCGAAAAATTACGCAGAAAAAAAAAGACGCGACGTCCAGTCTATGTAGAACACATACCAGTTCTATCTTTTTCGATTGGACGGAACCCTCTCCTTCGGGAAATTTATTTTAGTTTTTCTTTCATTTATAATTCGCTGAACTCGATGCTTCTCATATAGAACAAATCAAGGTACCAACTGCTCAAAGTTGAATTTTTTTTGTCAACTAGATTTTGAGAAAAAGATATCGCAAAGTGGAAAAATTCCAATTTTTAAATTCACACATGTTACGTAGAAGTGTTCAGAAAATGGTAAACAATTTTGTAAAAGATTATAGCTACAATAATACTAAGTCATAGTAATTATTGATAACCTAAGTCAATAAACAAGCAAATATAGAACGTCTATATGGACTTCAATGCACATCTTATCTTAATCCTTTTTAATTCTAAAAAGCAATACTTTTCATTCAAAAAACTATTGTTAGGCACATATTTTTCGAGTTTGCGCTTTAAACTGAGTCGAACCCCACAATCATTATCTGTTGATAACTTGGTCGGTGGCGTCGCGACGCCGAATAACAACGTCCACGACGACGACCCTCACTTCAGAACTAAAAACCTGCGCGCCATGAATAAACACTTCTCCATTCCAACAACGTTTTCCAGTCGAGTCGTGAGGGTCACACTTGAGCGGTGTGTTTAAACCTATAAGAGAAATAAAATTAATAAGTAAAATTAAGTTTTATCGAAATTGATGAGTTGTTTAAATAAAAAGTGCAAAATAATTTGTGCGAATGAAGTGAAGTTGTTTGTGATATCTGTTGCTTTTGGGGTAATAAAGAAGTAGAAAAAGAGGGGTGGAAATCAATAACTATCAGAGTAACTTGTTTTTTTAAGACTTGTAAGTATTTATTTATTTTTATTAAACTTATCATAATGAATACAAAGTAATAAATTAGTTAGTATTAAAATTATTTGTAATATTTTTTTTAAATCAAGTTCATACTTATCGTGACGTCATTTTAATTTCTTTTTAATCGCAAAAACTCCTTGGAATTTCCTTGATATTTGACTCATCTGATGTGTTATATGAAGTAAACAATCTAATAGTAATAATTATTATCAGGTTTTATTTCATTCATTACAAGGTTTATAAATAAAACAAAAAATTGGGGAAAAACCGTGTTGTAAATATCTGATTGCATCAGGTGAAAGACCTTAAAAATACAACCTTTATCTTAAATAATCTTAAATCTATACAACGCATGACAGTGTTAAAGTTTAAAGTTGTTATTATGTAGGATTGTAAAAAATATAATTATAGGCTAAAGTTTATGTAGATTACAAACTGAGTTTTTTAAAAACATTTTAACCTACTTTTTCTTTGAGGAGGCTAAAAATGATAACTAATTATTGTTGGTACTTTTTTTCTTGTGTACACGTGTATAGAGGTGATTTAAAAAGTTGTAGAGGATTCGTCTTGACCTACATTTCTTCCGACTCATTCATCGTTACTCTCCTTAAAATTTATTTGTTTTTATTCATAACTTAAAATAATACTTCTTAAAATTAATTTTCAGGATTAAAACGAAATGGATATCATTAAACCGACAACTGAAGACAATTGTAAAACTTACAAAATCCGTTGGCTAATTTTAATCCTTTTCGTTTTATACTCAGCATCTAATTCGTTACAATGGATTCAATACTCGATCATTGCAAATGTTATTGTTAAATTTTTCGATGTATCATCGGTTGCGGTTGATTGGACATCAATGATTTTTATGATACTTTATATTCCATTCGTTTTTCCTGCCAGTATGATTTTAGATAAATTTGTACGTAAAATAAAAAACGTTTGATTTTTATTTATTTTATAGTTATTTCTTTTAGGGGTTAAGAAAAACTGTGTTATTGGGTACAATTGGAACGACGATAGGAACGTGGATTAAAGTCGCTTCGATTCGACCAGATTTGTTTTGGGTGAGCTTTTTGGGGCAAAGCGTTGTGGCTCTTTCGCAAGTTTGTATTTTATCGGTTCCGGCACGATTAGCAGCTGCTTGGTTTGGACCTACTCAAGTTTCTTCAGCTTGTAGTATAGGAGTTTTTGGAAATCAAGTAAGTAACAATTAATTATAAATAAATAATTTTTTTTTCATAGTAGCTGTCAAATTGACGTTTGAAGTTTCGTTTTGACGTTTCTAAAAATAAAACCTGTACAGGTTTTTATTATAAAAAAAAAAAAATTTGGGGTTTATTGAAAAATAAGAAATTTTTAAAACAATTATTGTTCCAATTAAACAACTTTCTTTTCCTTTTTTTGATATAAGTCAAAATTTTTAACTTATTATTTAAAATTTCATATTTGGGGTGAAAATACATTGACATTTCTTATTTCTAGGTTAGACCTCATAACTTATTTTTTCGTTATCCTCGTCGCAAATTATGTGTATATTTCAATTAAAACACAACTTACTTTTAATTTTTTATCCACTTTTATTAATCACGATCCATACAACACTTTCTTTTCTTCTATTTATTTTTATATTATTAACTCACTTTCTTATTGACAGTTACAGAATCCTACATTTTCGACATTATACATTATTGCCAATCATATAATTTTAAAATCAAATATTTTTATAATAATTATCTATAATCTATTACAACTTTATAAATGTATTAAGGGGTTGAAACCAGAAGTGTAAAGTGAAACAATCATAATTAAGTTATACAAACCTCAACAAGATATTGTATTCATTTAAATCCCGCTCTTTATTTTTTTAAGTGATAAATTACTTGTGATATATCCCCTAGTTTATTCTAGATGAATTAATGAGTAAAACGTTTTTGTAATATATCTTTTTACGGATGTTCTATTTACTAATAGCTTTAATAAAGTCTTTTTTTTATTTATATTTTTAGTTGGGAATAGCCTTAGGATTTTTAATACCACCTTGGGTTGTTTCTGATGGAACAACTGATGAAGTTACATCAGGATTGTACAAACTATTCATAGGAACAGCAATTTTTTCTTCAGCAATCACAATATGCACCTTTTTACGTAAGCAAAAATCGATTTCATAATTTAAATTTTAACGTAATTATATTTTAATACTTCTTTAACATGCAACTATTTAAAAAAAAACAGTTTTCAAGGATACACCCCCTACACCACCTTCGATGGCCGAAGTGTTAAAGAAAACCGAAAGCGATACCAGCTTTAAAGCTTCGTTGATCGCGTTAGGTTCGAACCGAAACTTTATCCTTTTAATTTTGGGTTATGGAATTAATGTGGGGATTTTTTATGCGATTTCAACACTTTTAAATCAAATTATTTTAAATTATTATCCGGTAAGAAATATATGATGTGGAAATTTGTTTTTAATTATTTTTTTTTTTGATAATAAAGGGAAATGCAGTTGATGCTGGTCAAATTGGAGTTCTTATCGTTTTAGCCGGAATGGTTGGATCTGTTGTTTGTGGAGTTGTGTTGGATAAAACCAGGAAATACAAGTAACAACAAAATTTATGATTTTATTGATTTTTAAATAAATTATTTTTTAGGGAAACAACTTTAGCTGTTTATATCTTATCTTTAATAGCGATGGTTCTTTTTACGTTTACTTTAAACTCGGGGATAATCATAGTTTATGTAACATCAGCGTTTTTAGGGTAAAATTTCTTTTTAAATGTTTTTTCTTTTCTAAATTTTTTTTTTAGATTTTTTATGACGGGACTTTTACCGGTTGGATTCGAATTAGCGTCTGAATTAACATATCCAGAACCGGAAGGAACATCAGCAGGATTATTAAACGCTGTGGTTCAAGTTTTCGGGATCGTTTTAACATCGGGTTATTCAATCATTTTTAATAAACTAAACGATCTTTGGGCGAATGGAATTATGTGCAGCTTTTTAGTAGTTGGTTGTGTTTTAATAGCTCTTATTTCATCCGATTTACGAAGACAGGCAGCTCATAACAAAAAATTTATTGATATACAAACACCACCTTAAAGAGAAATAAGAATATATTTTATATACAAACGACAATAACACGAATTTTTAATGTGATTTAAGTTTAGATGCAGATTAGAAACACCACTCAAAAAGCATTTATTAATAATAGAAGTTTAATTTATAGATATGTGATAAAAATTAATACAAAGAATTTTTTTTGGAATTTTTTACCTCGAATCATGAATTATTCAGTTTAAAGAGGTTTGAGGTAATAGTGGTCATAACGCATTACTCACAAAACATATTTTTGGGAAAAATTGTTGAATGATCTGTGATGTGGAAAAGTTGTAATCGAAGCTATTTTCCGAGAAATATGTTGCACTCGTTGATCTGCACATCAAATAGATGCTTTATTTTAGAAATAATGAATCAAAGTAAAATAAAATAATGTATGACACTTTAAAAATGTAGAAAAACCAATAATTTTAAATTATTTATTAAATTTTCGATTTTTTTTGTAAATGTATTTTAAGTTCCTGCCTTTTTAGACAATAAAAAATCAACTTAAATTAATTATCTATGATTCTTTACAGAAGCTATACCATAAAGATAAAATATTAATAAAAATGTTTTAAATAAATCTAACAATGCAAAAGATAATCTCTTTTTTAACCATATATCACAATTATTAATAGTATTATTTTATACTTGTTGATAAGCGAATTTGGGTTAAAAAAACCATGCGCATCTTGAAACGAACACTTGTCCAGTTACATATATTTCAGGAGTCTCATTTCATTGCTCAATGTGTTTGTGTCGTTAGATTTCATTTAAAAAGTAAACGGTTTTTAGTGTAAATAAATTGAGGTGGAAAAATTATATTAATTAAATAAATATTTGTAAGTACAATATCTAATTAGTAACTTTTATGAAAAGTTAATAACTTGAAATATTAATGATTATAAAATTAGTAATGTAATTATCAAAATTACGATTTCTTTAGTCATAGATTTATCAAATTCTTGTTAAATTCACCGTTGTAAAAAAAATTATTCAAACCTGCTTTGTTTAACGTCACAGACATTGCTTCATATACCATTGTAAGTAATAACTACAAAGTGCATTTTAAAAATGTTTAGAATATATAATAGTATGTGTTATTGTGTACATTAGATGGGTTTTTTCTATGCTACTAATGTGCTTGAAATAATTGAAGCATAGACTTATTTTTTTAAATTATAACTTTAATAACTTACAAAAACGGTTTCAAATCGATCCTTAAATTTGTCCTAATATGCAATAATTACTTAATAATCCAAAAATTAAGCGGGCTTTTGTGATTAAACAAGATAATGTTGTTATCTTATAAAACTTAGACAATTTTATCTTCTTAAATCTTCCTTTAATCAACATCCGCCGATATAATCACCAATTTATTTGTATAAATTTTTTTAATTTTTTATTTATAATCAATTTGTTAAAAATTTCTGTTGACGTCATCGAAGATGATTAAATCGCACCACTAGTAATTCGAGTACATTATAAATATATTCAAAATGTGTATGTGGCATTTAGTCTTTAATATTTGATTGATTGGGTTTGGGTTAATGTGGAAGCCAATTCGAAGGCTTAATAGGATTGGGTTTCAATTCAAAGTAAATTTGTTGGCTTTAATTTGAAAATGTATCCGTTAATTAGCCCTCTATTTAAGATTCGAATTCCAAATTAAGGATATTAATTATACATTTCCTCTCCAATTTATCTAAATCCCTAATTTTCATCACATAATATAATTCTTTTAATGCATTTATTTTTAAGATTAATTAAATTAATCGAATCGAAATGGTTACGAAGCCATCATCCGATGATGATTGTAAAACCTATAAAATTCGTTGGTTAATCTTAGGTCTTTTCGCAATTTACTCCGCATCGAATTCATTACAATGGATTCAATACTCGATTATTGCGAACATTATCGTCGAATTTTACGGGGTGTCTTCGGCCGCTGTCGATTGGACTTCGATGATTTTTATGATCCTTTATATCCCGTTCGTGTTTCCAGCAAGTATGATGCTGGATAAATTCGTAAGTATATCAAAAAAATAATTTATAAATTATTAATAAATTATTTTCATAGGGTTTAAGAAAAATCGTGATAATAGGTACAATTGGAACAACGATTGGAGCTTGGGTTAAAGTTGGATCGGTGAGAGAAGATTTATTTTGGGTCACGTTTTTGGGGCAGAGCATCGTTGCCCTTTCACAAGTTTGTGTTTTATCGGTTCCGGCACGGTTAGCGGCCGTTTGGTTTGGACCAACTCAAGTCTCCTCAGCTTGTAGTATAGGAGTTTTTGGAAATCAAGTAAATACAAAATATTATAAACCAAAATATTATTTTTATTAATTTTTTATGTAGTTAGGCGTAGCCATAGGGTTTTTAATACCACCTTGGGTTGTTCCTGATGAATCAATCGATGAAATCACAACAGGATTGTACACTCTTTTTATAGGAACAGCAATTTTTTCGTCTCTAATCACTATTTGTGTCATTTTCTGTGAGTATAAAGAACATTTCAAACTTTATTATTTTTCTGTTTTTATTTAGTTTTTAAAGATACTCCTCCAACACCGCCTTCAATGGCCGAAGCATTAAAGGAAACCGAAAGCAAGACTAACTTTAAAGAGTTTAAAACTTCTTTAATTGCTTTAGCTTTAAATCGAAATTTTGTTTTATTACTTTTAAGTTATGGTATTAACGTAGGGATTTTTTATGCCATTTCAACACTTTTAAATCAAATCATTTTGAGGTATTATCCGGTAAGATTTAATTATATTTTTTTTTATAAAAACATTTAAAGCACTACATTTTTAAGGATAACGGAACCGATGCTGGTCAAATTGGTGTTCTTATAGTTTTTGCTGGGATGTTAGGATCCGTTCTTTGTGGAGTTGTTTTAGATAAAACCAGAAAATACAAGTAACAACAAAATTTATTATTTTCTTATTTATTCTTAAACATTTTATTTTTTTAGGGAAACAACTTTAGCTGTTTATATCTTATCTTTAATAGCGATGATTATTTTTACGTTTACTTTAGAAATTGGAATAATAATTGTTTATATAACGTCAGCACTTTTAGGGTAAAACATTTTTTTTCAATCTTAACTTTATTTCCTTAACATTTTATTTTACAGATTTTTTATGACTGGTCTTTTACCTGTTGGTTTCGAATTAGCATCAGAATTAACTTATCCAGAACCTGAAGGAACATCGGCAGGATTACTAAACGCTGCTGCTCAAGTCTTTGGAATCATTTTAACATCCAGCTATTCCGAGATTTTTTATAGTTTAGATGATGTGTGGGCAAATGGAATTATGTCCATGATCTTGGTCATTGGATGTGTTTTTGTTGCATTTATTTCATCTGATTTACGAAGACAAGCAGCTCATAATAAACAAACTACCGATGTACAAATTCCTCCTTAATCAAAAATCTTTAATTATTACACCTATTAATTTATTCATTTTATATTAAATAAGTATTAAGACTATATTAACTTTTCTTCGTTAATATTGAACAAGAGTATTAATAAAATTGATCTGATATATTTTGTGACAACTTTTTAAAAAAAATAATATATTTTTACTAGTGGTGGAACGGATAGTGATTGCGATATTTGAATAAAAATTAAATTAATAAGAATGCTGATAAGATATGTCAACTTATTTGGATCCAAGATACAAAATGAACTTTTTTAATGCTGATTTAACTCACGAAGTAACTCTAAAAAGAGGATACTTTAATTAATAATTGGCGATATTTCCACGAGAATCCTTCAGAAATTAATTTTATAGCGAATTTTGAAAGTTATCGATGAAAATTGCAACATCGAAAATTTTATCAAAACTTCAAATATTGTTTTCTCAAAAACTAAAAGCTATTTTTTAAAACGGATTGGTTTATTCGAAAGAAGACACTTTTATTAACACTTTGGGAAATTTTCATACTCATATTCCAAGAACTAGATTTTATACGAATTTTTAAAACTTAATCGGCGGAAATTGAAAAATTCGAAAAAATTGTCGATTATTTCAAAAATTTATTTCTCAAGAACTGCACGTGATTTTTCAAAACGATTTTTTACATTAAAAAGAGGATACTTCAATTAATAATCCAAAGTGATAACAGCGACAGTTCTGTTAGTAATGAATGTGATGATGAATTATAAGCGAAGAGAAGAAAACTAGACGAAACTGCAACAAGAGATTTTTTTTCGGCCAAAGCCGGATATTTGGTAACTATCCGGCCGGATTTTAAAAAATTACCGGATAGGACGTGTAAAAGAAAGATTATTTCTTCAACTACGAGATGGCATAACTTTTATTTAATTCTTTTCAACGAGAAGACAAGTAATTGTATGTAAAGACAAAAATGGTGAACTGCCAACCTAAGAGAAGGAACTCATGAAGCTTATAGCTGCAGCTAATCCAGAAGCAGAGATAAATTAATAAAGGTTCGGATGAAAACCGGCCTGTTGGCAACACTGTAGCTGACGTTTTTGACACATTTTTATTATAACTCCAAAAACTCAAAAACTAAAAATGCTACGAAAAAATGTTATGGGTGAAAATTGTTGGTAATGAACTTACAAAACATTATTCGCAAACGATTATAACCCCAACTATGACATTTACCAACCTAGAGGGTTTAAAATCCCCAACATTTCAAATTTGAGGCATTTAACAACTCAAAAATTAAAAACTGTTCATGGAAATGATGTTAATAAAAATTCTTTATAATTAAGCGCAAAATCATTATCCACGAATGATTTCTTTGTAACTATTTCGCATTTTTAGTTATAAAGCTTAAAATGTCAAAATCTCTAAATTGACAGATTTCCAGGTTTTTGACAGATTTTTATTATAATTAAAAAACTAAAAATGCTAGGAGAAAATGTTTATATATTGAAGAAAAGGTTGTATATTGCATTAATAACATGATTACACCTCAAATGTAATAATTATGCACGTTTTATCAAAAATTGTAACTTTGGTTGCATAATACTATGTTTTGTATCCGAATTATCGTTGAATCATATTCAAGTTATTAGTTAATAAATAAGATTAATAATGGTTTATTATTAGTATATTTTATATTAAAAATGTATAAAAATAATTTATTTTGAAACATAATGTAGGAATTCGTATAAATATAAGTTGTAAATTGTTATTTTTAGTAACTATCAGTATTAAATTCGAAGGACATCATTAAACTGACCCACATAAGAAAACGAGATCAGAGAATCTCAACTACTGAAAGGAGAGAAAAAGATGTGAAAAAGAAAAGGAGGGATGTTGTCCAGTTTGAAAAAGGTTGAATTAAAAATTGATCCACCCGCGCCTATCGAAATACACGCATCTTCTCAAACCCAAACGGACCAACGAACGAAAACCACCAGAGGCGAGCGAAAAATACAAATATTATTCACTATTCTATAAATAAAGCGCGGCTTTTGCCCCACTACCGCTTCGGACTTAACCGGCGAGTTACCGCGGACTCCTGCTCAATTTCAAACTTGGCTCATTTCAATACAAAGTCCCCGAGAGTGAAAAAGCGAGTAACGAGAAAAGATCAACTCGTTTTCGACCACAACAACAAGAAAAAAATTTCGAATAAACGTGGATTCTTAAGTGTTTATATTTTTTTGTAATATAATTTTATTGTAAGAAAATAAGAAAAAGATATAGTTATGGCTCAACTGGTTAATGTGTTATTAAATAAGGGCGAAGCGCCTAGTTTGGGGTTTAGAATTCAAGGTGGCAAGGATTTTGGTACACCTTTAATCATTCAAAAGGTAAGTTTTTATGGTTTAATAAAAAATTTAAATAAGAAACTTGGTGGTTAATTTTAATTTCATTCGCGCGGTTTTATTGGGGATTGCGAAATTTTTTTTACGAAGGGGGCGAAGTTATTTGGCGTGCGTTGCTTACATAAGCTGGACGAACTGGAACCCGAGATGCTTTAAAAATAAGTTGTGCAAAATCGCACGGTAAAAATAGAGTCTCGGTGGAGTTAGAGACGAGGCTACTTCTACTCTGCGGAACACGGATCTTTAAAAAAAATGACACCACTTTTATCCGGGACGTCTTAAAAACTATTTTTGCAAAAACAAATAATGAAGAAACAAAATTGAATTTAATAAACAATTTTATTAATAAACATTGAAGAAAAATGCATCATAAAAATTCTTTAGATAACATTTTTAAATGCACACGCAATTTATTATTTTTTTTACGGTTGAGTTAAAAAGAAAACAAGGTTAATTTTAATTTTAAATTGTTTATTATACGAACGGAATCTTCATGGTCATGATCGAAACTCGACGAAATTATTGCAAAAAGAATTTTGATTTTATCAAATTAACCAATTAAAAAATCATATTCAATGCAAAGAAATTGCTTTGAAGTGCTTACACGCCGAAATTTCATTTTTAATTACTTCGTAGATATTAATTAATTGATTGGAAGGAAAGAATTTATCAAATATCTAATGAAATTGTTATCAAAGTGAAATAAACAACTTCCAAATGTCGGCGTGTGGCTGTATTGGTTGATTCCGTTACATCAAACACCAAAAGATAAGAGTTATCATGAAAATATTTATTAAAATATATTGAAAGTAAATATTTAATTAAATTAAATTAGTAATTAATTAAACATAAACACTAATTAATCTTAAAAAATAATTTTGTTATTAAATATTATTGTATTTTTGACAATTCTTCGCAATTATTTATTAATATTACAAATTTTATTAGTTTTTGTTATAAAAATTTGATATTTTTTGTGTTGGCAAAGCTTTAGGGAAAACATTTTTTTTAAGTTTGGCAACTGCGAAAAAAAGGATCGATTTTAACCTTGTTGATGGATAAAAATAAAAACGAAAGTGAAATTATTTAACTTATTCTTTGAAACTTTCCCTGAGATGATCCGGAATCATTATTGATGATGATTTATTTCAGTTTTTGAGTAAATCTTTGGTAATGCGAATGAGGTTATGGACTGCAATGAAGAAATACAAATAATGTGGTGTTTATGTTTTTAAATCGGTTGTAAGTGTTTAAGTTTTATATAAAACAAGCTATCCTTTAAAAGTTATGTTTTACGAATGAGTTATGAAGCAATTTTCAGCAAATAATAAGTGAGGTTATGTGAAACTGTCAATCAAAAATAAGTCCATAATTAAGTTATGTGTGTAATTAAGCTTACGATAAGTTACAACTACTATGAGGGTAATTTATAAGCTAAACCTTTTTAAACATAAATTTTTAACATGAAATAAACATTTTTGCCTAATAAACATCAATGTATTAGTTAAAATATTTGTTTTTAAGGGGTTGGTAATAGGCAACAAACGTCAATATAGAGATAACCTCACTTAAATTCACAACAGGAAGAAATGTCAAAATCGAATCTAATAGATATTATAACTATACCAGGAATTTCATATAATTCGCAATATATGAATGCAATAACTATAATTACGAATCTACTATGCACTTCCCACATAAAATGCAATATAGCGTAATAGTACAGGTATTGGGTACTTTTGCAAAGGAACAGTTTTGCTTGGAAAAGGTGATGTCCTTATGATAACTCTGAGTTTTTCGTCTTAAGAGACACACGGCTAAACCCGAATGTTTCTAGGTCTAGTGTTAGTTCTAGTTTTAATTGTTATTTAGCGTTAGATTGTGGTATATTTTTATTGGACAAAAAATAGAACTAACAGTAGACCTAGAACCAGAAACATTCCGGTTTTGCCGTAAACAATTTTACTGTATACTCATAAAGGTATTAAATTATTTACACAAAATAATTACTTGCTATATCAAATGATGTATAAATTAAAGAGTTATCACTATATTTTATTTAATTTTAAAATAGGTGAGAAAAACACCCATAACCATTTCTATTTACACGATAAATATTAACTTTCCAAGATGAAGATGAAACGTTTAGAACGGTTTCAAAGATAAGAATCCTCATCCGTTCGACAAGATCTCTCTTTAAAATTCATAGTTTTATTTATCTAAAATCTTTTAAAACTGAATTTTAAAATTCATACAATACTTTTTCGATTAAAAAATTAAATTAAATGATATAAATATTCGTTTTGTATATATTAAAAAATGGATGAGCGAAAAATATTTCTTTTTTGCTTTATTTAGCGTCTACTAAGAGAAGAATTCATTAAGATTCGTTGACACATAACACACTCACACACGCTTCATCATCAATTCAAGAGAACCTAACGGATGATCCCCGAGCATCTTCTTCATCTGAGTCTTAGTATCAGGTGACTCACGGTTTCTTCTTCTCAATGGTTTCATATGAAGAAAGAAGACCCGATCCTACCGGGAATCGTTCACGTGCCATAAACAGGCACGTTCCTCTTTCGTCGTTCATTTCTTAACAAAGAAAAACCTTCTAAAAGAGTGTGTCATCGTTGAGTATTAATTAAAGATAATCTTCTTAAAAATTTTATTCCTAAAACAAATAAAACAAAAAATTTATGACGATTTTCCCCAACAAAGAAAAAGATTAACTTTTAAAGAATTTTTTTTTAAAACTAATTCATTTCGGTGACTCATTTTTTTTGTCGATTTGTTCTATTAACCGAGAAAGAATGTCCAAACACTTAAAAACAAACCAAAACATCGGTCAGCGAATTTTACTAGTAAATACCGAGAAAATACGGTCAAGAAACCCGAACCCGATAAGTTTCTAGAATTTAAAAGCGGTCTTGAGTCACGTTTCAAAAGAGAATCCGTGTCCTTTTTACGTTTATACTTATTGGAAATATTTTTTTTTAACGTTAAGGTTACGATAATATTTGAAGAATAATTTCCTTTGGCCCGATCGTAAAGTTAAATCGCTTTAAATGAGTCAAGGACCTTTTCAAGAAGATTGAAACTGTATAGTGGTGGTATTAATCGTTTACGATTACGCTTTGATGGTTTTGTGGTTGGTTAATCAAGTACGAACAAGAAGTAAACCACTAATTTTATTTTATTTTGTTATCATTTATCATGTTAATGTAAAAATTAAAAAAAAAGTTTTTACTGGAATTACAGCTTTTCATGGAAAAGGTTAGTTTTATTGTTGCTAAACAATTAATAAAATTAATTTATCTCTATCAGCTTATGAGATTACTAAAACAAATATGACACATTTGTTTTTGTTGACTGAAAGAAATTTGTGATTGCATAAGAAGTCTTGTTCCACTTTCTCCGAAGAATTCGAGAAATTTAACTCTGATTCATCTCATTTCACTATTAAATCGTCAAGAACTTACTCAATGCCAACCCAACCCAACCCATCATTAAGCTATTTATAAAAAAAAATTTTTACCTACAACTTCTGTTTATTTTAGAAGCGGGGTATAAATCATTCCTTATCTTATAACCTCCATTAAATTTACTCAAGTGGATAAAAGTACGGGTTTTTATTTCTTATGGATTAATCACGTAATGGATAAAACAATTTCTTCTTTGTTTAAGGTTTCATAAAGTCATTGAACAATATAATGATAAACAAATTTCAATATTTCGCGTTAAGGTAAAATAAAACTCTCGTTCTCTTTACAACAAGGTTTCATAAGGTTCATAAAATGACAATGAAACGTTATCGCGTGATATACGTTGTTACACGTGCACCACATTTCTTAATGGGTTGGTGATATAGATTATAGGTTCATTTTAACAATAGCCACAAAGACAAAACCTTTGTTTATTTCCAGGCCATTTCCGTTTTGTGTTTTTTTAAGAATTTGTTTTTTTAAAACACCAAAAAAAGAAAGGTATTGAATAAAACATTAGGAACATCTCAGTAATCTTTGTAAATAAAGAAAGTTGTATAATTTAGAAAGTTTTTCGGTATGTTTTGGCAATTACACAAGTTATTATTATTACTCTAAAATTTTTTGGCTTGAAGCCATTTCGAGAAATTCAAAAATTAAATTTTCTTTTGTAACCTTTTTGTAGTTTTGAATCAACTTTATAGACACCAGCTTCTTCTTCTTCGTTAACCTCGCATAATACAAGCAGGAACGGGTCTGGACTAAGTATGCTATTAATAATTACACGGGTGCAGACAAGAGCCGTGTGCACTGACGACGGACATTGCGGATTTTGCGTCGCGACGTCTTAAATAACAAGAAAATAATTAAATCCCATTATTTATTTGTTGATTTATTTTCAATTTAGATGAAATTTTTAACTTTTTATTCTTTTCTTATTTCCATTGAAAGTGAAAAGGTCAACAGTATCGAGCAAGGAAATCAAGAAATTCTCTCTTAAACTTCTTCTTAAAGAGGCGATGTATTTTTTTAAAGAGAAGAAACGCGCCGCATCCGTGCTCAGAGACGCAGGATATCCGTCAGACAATAATCTCCTTTATTAGCGGATTGCGATGAGGACGATATCCTTGTCCGATGCTTGGTGCTGTGGCGAGTTCTTGAAAGAAAAAAAAGCAGCGATTCTAAAACTTCCAACTTTATAGAAACATTTATGAATCGCCCCTTTTAATTTGTTTTGATAACATTAAAATTGTATTTTATTTAGAAATTGTTGTAATAAACAAAAAATTTAACCAAATTTTTAATGAAGCCTCTTGAAAAAGTGGATTCTGCAAGGTTTTTGTTTGGAATCGCTGTATTACCGGTCGACATTAACCCAAGTACCTTGGGAATGCTGGAAGATTTATCGAGCACAGACACGGGAGGACGTCCTTCCCCCGGAGTTTGGCCCCCTTGTTCTACAACAATGACCGTCGCCAATTACCGTACCCAAAAGATACTGAGAAGTTGATAAATGACCATACATTTTCATTACATATATTTCTTCTTTTATTTTTAACAAAACAATTATTAAATGGAATAACAAGGTTTATTAATTTTTTCTTTTTTTGCTTAATTAAGATTGGAGAATTTAAACTCAACCTGCTTTTTTGATGACATTTTAATTAAATTGTTTTATTTTAATTAATACATATATCAACTTAGGTTGGGTTGGTTTTTGTAACAATAAATTTTTTTAAATCTCTAGAAAAGAGCTCAAAGAGTTAATTTTCCTCAATGTAACTTTATGAAAATGTAAAAATAAGAGAAATTGAAGTAAACAGGAAAATTTTCGATTCTTAAAACCTCTAAGTTTATTCACTATATCTAAAAGATAAAACATTTTTTTCAAGCGATAATCAAACAACATAAATCCTATATCCGTTTTACAAACACACCCAATTTAAATATAAAATTTACGTTTACAGTTACGTTAACGTTTTCAATTTAGATTTTGTAAATCGTCAGAAAAAACTATTGCGTCATTTCGATCGTCATCGCAAGACTTTTTTTGCGTAACAATCTGTATCGAAGATGTGCCAAGAAGAACGGACGCTGTTTTTTGGCACCGAAAACTATTTCGAAGTTGGTATTTTAAAATTCGCCGTCGTCTCAAATGACACTCGCCAACACCAATCTTCTTCGCACTTTTATCCGGACTTTTTTTTACTTTTATTGAATTCTTTTTATTTTTTCTTTGGAGGGGAAAGAGTTTTGGGACGTCGACGATTAACGTTGCAAATCGCGCAAGAGAAGCAGTCGTCCGTAGAGAGGTAATTCTTCTTTTTCGTTTCGCCCACCGACGTAAACAAAATTCCTTTAGCTCTGTGTGGAGATGGGCTAAAAATAAGCTTTTATAAAATGTAAACCGTTTTTTAAAACGATCTTTAAAAAAAAAAGTAATTTTCAATCATTTTTTAATAATAAAGAAAGGCGTTTTTAATTTATTACACTATAAAGTCAAAAAATAATCTTAAAATGTTTATCGGTACTTTTAGGGTGCATTCTAAATTGTATGTTAGTAAAATTTACAGTTGGCATCACTGCGCTTTTATATATATAATCGTCTAATAATTGTAACGAATGGTTTTAGTAACAGATGAGTACTTCAGACTTCTTAACCAACATTCTGTTCGTTGATGAACCTCGTTTTACTAGAAATGTGTAATAATCATGTGTGGTCTGACGAGAATCCTCGAGTTTTAGCTGTTATTTAGCGACACATTGTTGTATATTTTTATTGAACTAAAACTAGAACTAACACTAGACCTAGAAGTAGAAACATTCGGGTTTAGCCGCACGTCTCTAAAGACGGCTAAACCCGAATGATTCTAGTTCTAGGTATAGTGTTAGTTCTAGTTTTACACTTGCACTGTCACTAGAACTAACATTAGATCTAGAACTAGAATCATTTGGGTTTAGCCATACGTCTCTTAAGACGGCTAAACCCGAATGATTCTAGTTCTTGGTCTAGTACTGTACAGGAATTAAAATTAGAACTAACACTAGACCTAGAACTAGTAAGTTGTTTCTAATTCTAGGTCTAGTGTTAGTTATAGTTTTATTCTAGCACTGTTACTATGTAGAACTAACATTAGACCTAGAGCTAGAATCATTTGGGTTTAGCCATACGTCCCTTAAGACGGCTAAACCCCAATGTTTCTAGTTCTAGTGTTAGTTCTAGTTTAATGTTGTATATTTTTCATTTAGTTAAAACTAAAACAAGAAATCTCTTAAGACGGCTAAACCCGAAACTTTCTAGTTCTAGGTTTAGTATTAGTTCTAGTTCTAGCTATTATTCAGCTTCAGGTTTTTGTATTTTTTTTATTAATCTAAAACTAGATCTAGAATTAGAAACATTCGGGTTTAGCCGTCTTAAGAGACGAACGCCTAAATACTGAAAGGTTAAAACAAATATTGTTATATAATATATACTTTGTGATGATTTATAATACAAAAATTAATTATAAATTTTTTTTTGTTATAAAAATAATAATATTAAATAAGACTTTTATTTATTTTTCTAACTTGATGTAACTTTTCACGCAACGCAGATATTTCTGGCGTGTTTAACACTTTGGGCGGAGCGGTTGTTGGCACAATTTTCGGAACTTTACAATTTCGAGATTGTTCTACGAATTCCTTTACGCTATCGATAAATTGAGATCTTTTCTTTTTCTCCTCCAAAATAACTGTTTTCTTATCTTCGAGATCTTCGCGCATCTGTATTTTCATCAACTTCAATCGTTCTTGTAACTCGGCCAAAGACATTTCGCATAATAAACCCAAATTTGGGCAATCCGTCGGATCGAATTCTTCTTTAACTTGTGCCATCTTAAGTTGATGCAAAACTCTAATGTCTTGAATGGCACTAATTTTTTTTTGCAATTCCTCTTCGCGTTTTTTTTGTAAATCTTCTTTGACTATTTTTGCTTCGTAGTCCATTAAACGAACTGTAGCTTGTTTTTCGTTGATTACTTTTTCAGTCGCTTCTTTGGCCGCTTTTTCGATGTTTTGCGATTTTTCAACGAGTTGTTTTATTTTTTCTTGTTCGTCAAGTCTCCATTTTAATAATTCTTGAATTAATTCTAATCGTTCTTTTTTGAATTGTTCCATTTTTTCTTGATTTATTTGTATAATCTTTTTTTTAGCTAAAACGGCTTCTTCGAATGTTAATAAACCTTCGAGATGTTTTCTTTCGACATCTTGAAGATTTTGTTGTTCTCTTTCTTTGCGAATTTCCTCCTCGATAGCTTCGATATTAAAATCTGTAGAACCACCGTTTAACAAATCGTTTAATTTTTTTAATTCGACTTCTTTCTCTTTGGCTAAATAAGCAGCTTCTCTTAATAAAGTTGTTGTTGTCTTCTTTATTTTGACTTCATTAAATTTTGGGATTGGTTTAACGGGGATTGGTTTTCTGCTAATTTTTTCTTCTTCAAAAATTTTTGGTTTGTATTGAGCTACTTTTAATGGACAATTTTTAGCTTCTTCATATAACTTTAAAGCATCCTCCCAATTTTTATCTTTAGCTTCATTTATTTTAAGCAATGTTTTCTTCGAAGGGAAATAAGTTGATATTGGAATTCGTGTTGGTGTTAATTTATAATCTAATTCTTTTGGAACGTTTTCAGGAACTTCCACAGATTTCTTTACAACATTAAATTTAGTATGAACCTTTTTGGTTTCTATTGGATAAACAGGCCTTCGCTTCTTGTAATAATCAAAAATGTTATCATAAAAATCTTGAAGCAATTCGTTTTTGTGCATTAAAGGTCTTACAATATTTTCCAAAACATATTGGTGGTCAAAATACGTACAACCAATTTTCGCAATAAAAATTGAATTTTCTTCATAAAAGAAAAACTCGATCGTTTTGTAAGCAAACGAATTATTCATCGCTTTAAAAATCTTTTTGATATCCTCAACGTTTTTTCTGTACAAAAAGAAAATTATCAGCGCAATACACACTTTTAACGGCCAATCGTTAGCTTTTTTTAATTCGTATTCTACGCATATCTTTTCCGATATATCACCAAGAAAGCTTTTGTGTTTCGATAATAATAGGAAAAACTTTACAACATCTTCGGAGATTTCTTTCTGCGTATTCAGAGCTTCTAAAAACTCCGTGGGCGTTTGACATTTTACTTGATCGTAATCTTTTAATAATTTTATCGTCGATGTTATTAGTTTTAAATTCAAAGTTAACGAAGTTGACATTTTGATAAATAGATAAATAAAACTTATTGTCAAAAAATATGTTAAAAATAAAGCGACATTAAATAAATATATGATCAAAAGGAACGATTTTACCTGGATTTGATATACATGTCCTTCTTTATAAATTATCTTATATTCAATAAAATAATGATTTGTAAAATTATCAATTTATATTTCTTTTAAAGGTAAATTATGGATCCCCAGCTGAAAAAGCAGGTCTTCAAGCCGGCGATTCAGTGATAAAAATCAACAACGTAGACGTATTCAGCATGCGCCACAAAGATGCACAAGATGTCATCATTAGAGCTGGACCAGCTTTCGAAATCACCGTCCAAAGGTAACCTTCTACCCAGCTTTTTTTGAATCCGTTCCAATAAATTCCTTCATTCGTCCAATTTGATTGGTTAAGTTTCAATGACGCTATTTGTATTCGATTTTTAGAGGTGGATCCACTTGGAAACCAAGCGTAATTCCGACCACACCGAGTGTACCCAAACCACAACCAGCTAGCAATAATTATTCTCCGGTTACCAAAACTTCTTTAGCAGCTAATCCCCAATCTTCAATCGGTGCTATTGGAACTGGTCATAACGTTTCCGCAAAACCATTTAATTCACAAGTAAATTAATTAATTGAGATTTTTACTTAATATTTTTAAGTTACATTTTTTTTAGGTAAATGGAACCGTAAATGGTGGTCCAAAATTTGTCAATAAACAATATAACACACCTTTGGGGCTTTATTCGGAACAAAGTATCGCGGAAACTTTATCAGCACAAGCGGAGGTTTTATCAACTGGTGTTTTAGGGTAACATTTTTTTCTTTTAATCTCAATTATAATTTTAATAATTAATTTTATAGAGTTAACTTCAAAAAGAACGAGAAAAATTACGATGCCTCAAACAGCGAAGTGTTTCGGATGGTTCAAGAAGCCGACAAAGAACCTAAACAACAAGAATCAGGTAGATATTAAAAAAGATTTCATAATTTTATACATATTTGAAAAACTTTTCGATTATTATTTGGTGATATATGCAGTTTTTAAGATTTCTTGGGGCTAAGATTTCAATGAGTCTTTAAATTAGAATTGTTTATATTCGTAAAGGTAAATTGTGCCAAACGATTTTTTTTTGTAACGTTCGGGTTTATTTAAATTGGCACAAAACCTTCTTCCCAAAATTCTCTTTGTAAAACTTTAAAACAAACCGGATTTAAGCTACAGCTTGGTAAATTTATGTTTACACACATTAATGTTTATGGAAGCTTGAATTAATAAGTTCATAACAATGATGTTTATGGAAATTAATTCTTGAGATAGCGATTCGACCAAGATAGATTTGCCATTGATTAAATTAAATGTTTTAAATCTTAAAAACCGCAAAAACATTTTCTTTTGTCATTAATCATACAAATTTAACACGATCATCAACATCGAAATTTCTTGGGATATTCACACAGAACCGGACTCAGGTGTTGTCACAGCTCCGTTATCGAGCGTAGTCGGTCTAAGACATGTTACAGCACCAGAAACGAAACCGACGCCTCCAACACCTCAATTACCACCTGGACAAAATATTTGTGCAGAATGCGAACGTTTGGTAACGTAAGTATCGAGATGTCAGCGCTTTTTCAGTTTTTTTTTAATAGGGCGGCCAATTTTTGGAATGAATGGTATTTGACTACAAAAATCGAAACGAATTTAATAATTTAATTTAAATAAAAACGAATTGTTTGATTTTGGTTTCTTTCTTTTTTCTTTTTTTCATGAACAAAAATAAATGATTCAGTAAGTCGTCAATCGTATTACGCTAGTCTTTCGCACGCTATCGGAGGTTTTCCGGTTACACCAAGATCTGTAACGCCAATCAGTGAAAGATCTTGCAGCAGACAAGGTTTGGAAAATAATCCTACAACTACTTCTGCTACTAGTACAACAACAGGTGCTAACGTTGCGACAGATCAAAGTATGACTGTTTGCAGTGAATGCGCCCGATTGATCGTGTAAGAAACTGTTTAATTGATAACTTTTTTGGTGTCACTTCTTTTTCTTTTTTAGAAAAAAAAAACATCTTTTGAGTTAGATGAATGTCTTCTTACAGCTTTTTTTTTAATAATTTAAATGTCAGCACGACCAGTACTTATATCTACCTGTTTTTTTGATGCTGGTTAAAAAAAAGAAATGAAAATCTTTATGAAAACCCTTAAAAATTACGAACTGCACGATTATTTATTATGTCTTGCGTTTATTTTCAATCTGTCTCGTTTCGTTTCTTTCTAGTCTGAATGTTATTGATGTTGTTTACTTTTTTTAATTATCCATTTTGAGCAAACGTTTTTATCGGTTTCTTTTTAATTCTTTCTGGTATTTAACAATTGGATTTCGCAGCAGGAAACTTCCTGTCTCCGTTCAAATTTAATCTTAGCAATTTATCTGCAACTCACTCAATGATTAATGATTGAAAAACGACGGAGCTCGAGTTGAATCGGTGGAGGCGTTTGCTCATTTCATAAATTGTAACAATATTGCACTTATTTAACAATTCGCTTTAATTGAAAATAATTTGCAGCGGAGTTTTCGTACGGATCAAGGACAAAAATCTCCACGTGGAATGTTTTAAATGTGCCACGTGTGGGACTTCACTTAAAAATGTTGGGTAAGGATTTTGCTTTTCATTTAAAAATAATTTTTATAACATAATTTGTTTTAGGTATTACAATATAAATAATAAGTTATATTGTGATGTTCATGCTAAATTGGCTGCAAGAAGTAATCCTCCAAGTCAAAATGAAGTTCCTGTTACAATTAAACCGTAAGTTTTTATTTAAATTTAATTTGCAAACTAATAATTAATTTAAATTAATTAACTTCACATTTACTGCATACAAAGTATTTAAATAATATTGTTAAACTTCAGGAGAATATTAAAAATCCTAAATCAAACCTCTTTACACTTATTATCTCATTTTTCTACAATTAAAAAGAAAATTTGTTATCAAAGTTATTTTAATATTACCAAATGACTAATGTTGTTTTATTCAGATCTTAAGCTCTAAACTTCCAAGGATGTTCAAGTACATAAGGATGGTACTTGTCGCAGTTCTTCTTAAAAAAATCTTGAAGAAATGCACACGTTAATTTCATTCTCCACTGTTGTTCGATGATATAATCAAATGTTTTCTAAAACAAAATAAGAAATTAAATTATTAGATTTAAATAGATGCTTATCACGGGATGGAAACCTCTGCAAGTACATAAGAATGCCCCTTTCCACGGTATTGCTGAGGAATTTCCGTGCTTGTTAGATTTAGAATACCATATTCAATTGTGTATCTAATTATTCCCCAATCATTGCCTCGGCTACATCCTAATTTTAACATAAACTGTTGAATTTTTGGCAAGTGCTTGAATGTATGTAACATTTTTATATATTTTATTTATTAAACACGAAAAATTTTACCTTTTTGTTGTTCGAAAATTGACAGTTACACAAAAACAAGAATGAAAGACGCGTTACCATGGTTACCATGACAACGATTAGTTTCCTTCATAACATTTATTAATGCGCCATCTATCTTTCAATTAACACAATTTAACAATTAATTATAAAGATAAATTTAGAATTTATTAAAGTTTAATTATATTGAAAAATGAAACCAAATTATATTTAAAATTTTATTAATTTTGCAATCGGGTACTTTATTCGAATAATAAAAGAATTATTTAATGCATAATCTTAATTAATGCGCCATCTATGTTTCAATTAACACAATTCAACAATTAATTATTAATATAAATTTATAATTTATTAAAGTTTAATTATAATATAATCTAAAAAAAAAAAGAAATAAAACTAATTGTATTTGAAATTTTATTAATTTTGCAATCTGTATTTTATAATAAATTTTCGAGGTTATTTTGAAAAGGGATTTATGACCTTGACTTTTTTTTGTAAACAACATCTTTAAATGTGTGTTTAATAAAATTATTTATTTATTTAATTAAAACAACAATAAATAACAAAAAGAAAGAGGATATTGGCTAAATTATGTTAAAAGTAATTAAAACGAATATAATTTGAATATTAATGTATGAATCAAAAATATAAATGTTTGTTTTAGGTTATGTATGAATGTCAGAGACATTAACTCTGATTGGTCAATACAAAATGGATAGATTTAAATTTAAGAAATTTTAACAAAGTTTTATCTCAATCTAATTATTTAAGATAGAATTAATAATGTTTTAAATAAAACTTGTGCATTTCTAAACCGGAGTGTTAAATACAAAAACATATCTCTTCATAATTAATAATTCATTCAAATTAGTATTGGAATAACAAAGTAGATATTAAATCTTTTTTGTAATTTTCAGTGGTGGAACAATTCCACCTGCATTAGCATCATCGTTAGCTAAAAATCGACTACCATCATCGACGGCTCCATTATCACCAAATCAAAATCAAACAGCTTTACCATTTTCAGTAAGTAAATATGTTAAACTTATAAATTAATTTGTTGTTATTAAAGCATGGCTAAATTCTAACAGCCGTCTCAGCATGTGTGTGTTTTTTTTGACTAACAACTAAAATTCCAGCAATCAGTTGAGGATGTATCAAGCACCCCAAATAACAATGAAACGATTGCAAATGTGAATACATCTGAAACGTTTCAAAGTGATATCACAACTGTGGATTCTGGCCATCAAAAGAAGGACGATCAACGAAAACGGCCGTCATTGTTTGGCACCAAATACGATCCGATTAAGAACGAAGGTCCAATATCTTTCAGTGCTTATATGTCAAAGGTAAAAACGGTGGGGAAAAACGTCTTATTTTTAAATGTTGGCTTTGTGATTTGCTAATTGAAATTTAATTTGTTTGTTACACGTGGTCACCTTGTATTTAAAATTAATCTTTTCTGGTTGATTGTTTTTTACAGTCGGGGACTAACTTTTCTAGTCCGCGTCCATTCTCCAGCGTTTCAGCACCGTTATCACCACCGACAAACGTTGGTTATTCAACTTTACCGAAAGCTTCACCAGTTTCTGTGCCATTTTCATCACCTGCACCTTCTGTCCCATCATCGGGTAAGCTTAATTTTATTAATTTTGATGGAAATAAAAAAATAAGTAGATTTAAACTTTTTAAATTAGTGTATTTACTTTATTAGGTAGATTTTCTTCGATTAAACCTGGTGCGCCCTTTAAAGGTAGCAAAAATAATGAAGCTTATGATAGCTATTTTGGCCTTTTTTTTAGCAAATGATAGTATAACTTGTAAACGAGAAAAACTTTTTACTGTTATGTTTCAGATTCAAAATCCTTCAATGCCAAACCGAGACCGTTTTCCCTTGTTGCTTCAGAATAACATTTTTTTAATTTTAATTAAATTTTTTGTTTGAATTTTTAATTTATTTTTGTTTAAATTTAAATTTTATCGAAATTTTTGTTTAGAAATCTAAATATTTTTAATCCCACCCGCTTCTAATCGCACAGAAAGAACAAAACAACCAAGTTATACTGATCATTTACTATGTATTTAAAAATCTCATTTTCCTTTTTGCTTAATTAAAAATTTTATTATTTTTTTTTAATCCTCGTTAATACACCACACGTTTTAATTAACATAAAATGTTTTTGATTTGTTTTATTGTGTTGTGGTGTTTTTGCGGAACTAAAAACTCCCTTTAGAAAAGGGACGATCCCTTCATAACGTTATTTGGCCCCCACCTCCCGATCCCGAAGAGTCTGACACTCCAACAGCGACTCCTTTATATTTTCCACCACCGAGTCATTTACGACCACCAACTCCTCCTTATTTACCCCCAGATCCACAAATAATCCAACCACCGCTTCCTAAACCTATTTATTCCTCGCTAAATTTATCATCACAGAATCAAAATCAGACCACCGAAGAAATTGTATACAAAGAAGAAACTGTGCGAGAAGAAACAACAACATACAGTGAGAGTTTGTTAACAGAAGAGGAGGAAGACGTTAATATGGAACAAAGAATGTCGTTGTGTTCGGCGGAAGTGACGAGTATTGTGGATAGAAGGGTTGCGGTTGAAACCATTGAGAGCGCAGCGGAGACCCAAATGTTGGTTGAGTCTTTAACAAAACAAAGACCGCAATCTCCACCTCCGATTCCGCCGATTGATGCAGATATCTTGCCGAAAGTTGAAGTGCAAACACAACCTTTAGGTCAAAATCGGCCGAGGAGTAACACAGATCCTCGTGTTTTAACCCGAGTTTGTGTCTGCACGAATTCTTGTTGCAACGCAACAACCGGCGAACTCTGCGCGAGTTGCCCAATGAGAGATTTAAAGAGACCCAATGATTTCCAAAAATCGAAAAGTGTTTGTGTCGAACCAAAACGATTTGGTTCACCGATTATAACCGGAGTTTCAGTAACAATTAATAACCCCGGAAAAATTAAAGAATCCAAAGACTTCTTTACCGAAATTCCCGTGAAAAAAACAACGACCGCTTTAGGATCAGCCTTAGTAACAGCGCCCAAAGAACCGTTTCAACCCGTCTCGACCCATTCACAATCGATTCCTTTACCCGAAGAAACACAACCCTATTTACCGCCGGAAAGACCATACGTTCCACCTCCAAAGCCAGAAAGAAAAGAATCAATCCCCCAACAAGATTCGGCGTTTATTTCAGCTTTAAGAATTGCCCCAGAAAGACCTTGGACCCCAACAAACCCACCACCTTTAGTTACAAAAAAGAAAACCACCGAAGATCCCATTATGAAAGATTTACCAAAGCCAACTCAATGGATGTCGATGGTAAGCGCTTTAACAACAGCTTCAGATCGTCCATATTCCCCATTTGTAGGCGAAATCACCACGTCGGTGACTAAAGAAATCGTTGAACAAACCGATATTAAACAAGAAGAGATTAAAAAAATGAAACAATCACAACAAGAAATGATGAGGAGGTCATCTCACAACGAAACCGCTTTACCAAAACCCTACGTTGGCACGAGAACCAACACAACTCGTTTAGAAAAATTTGAAGCTGTTAACGATGATAGAGTAACCCCTCAAATGCATTTTCCTCCAATTTCGGATGAATTAAAAGCTTCATATGAGTACCACGCCGATTACTCAGAAATAAAAAGCGAGATTTCTTCGCAAATAATCGAACAAGCCCATTTAGAGGAAACGACTGAATCCGTTCAAAAAGTCCAAGAAAAAAGCGAAGAAACTAAATGCTCTTCTTGCCAAAAATCCATTTCCAAGGAAAAAAAGATTGAAAAGCAAACTGAAGAAACGGTTTTGAAAAAGCCCATGGAATTGTCGAGCTTGTTGCAAAAAAGGGAATATATCCCCCAATATCAAATGTCTTTAAATTACGACGAAACTCTCGAGTTGCCTCATCATAAAAATATAAAGAAACTCTTGCCAAACGATCAAAATAAACAACAATCGGATGGAAGGAATCCGAATGTAAAGCCAAGTTCGTATCAATACACTCCGAAACCTTTGCCAACTTATCGAGAACCTCAAGTTGTTACCAAACCGGTCACGACAATCCAACCGGGACAAACAAATCCTAACGTTCCCGCAATGTCCTTCCAAACCATCGATGATGAACGACCGCCAAAAACATCATTTTCACCAAGACCGGGATCTTTAACGCCGAGTATGATCAATAAACCACCATCAACACTTCCTTATTACCAAGCAAATCTTGTTTACACAGAAATGCCTGTACCCGAAGTTAACGTTTTCGATCCTAAAAGCCCCGCAATTTCACGTTCCCCAAGTCCTTGTCCAGATCGTGCTCCATCGCCATTCGGAAGAATGTCACCGAGACCCAGATCACCAGCGGCCGGACCCCCTCCCAACCCACTTAAACAAGGTGTTATTCCCAAGTTTACTAAAGAAGATCATATGAAAGGTGAAGCTGTTAAAAATATTTCAACTTATATTCCTCAGTATAGAGAAAAAATTGATGGGAGAGTTTCCGATGCTGATACAAGAACCGTCACTCAACACGTTAGTTTTGATGTACCTCTTCGTAAGAGTTCAGTTAAAGAAGTTGAATGTCATAAAAAAAGTGCTTATGAAACTCAAGGAAAAGTTGAGGATTCTGCTAGTTGTACTTTAAAAGTTTGCCAAAAAAAACAAGAAGAAAAATCTAGTCAAGAATGTGGACAAAAATGTGGACAACAATCTCAAAAATCTGTTCAACAAATTGGACAACAATCTATTCAACAAATGGGACAACAATCTTCTCAAAAATCTGTTCAAAAAATGGCACAATCTTCTCAAAGATCCCAACAGTCAATGCAACAATCAATGCAGCAAAAAATGCAGCAATCGGTTCAACAAACTGTTGAAGAAATAGTACAAGAATCTGTACAAACAGTACAACAACGTTCTATGCAATGCTCAAAACAATCATCGTCCTATAACAGTCAATTTGAAAAAGCTTCCTCCGCTTTACAACAACAACAACAATCTAAACAAGCTTCTTTAGAAGCAACCAAACAAACTTTAAAGCCATCGACGCAACCCCCTTTCCGTCAGGTAAAAAACCCGGAAGTGAATCCACCTGGAGTTCAAGGAATGCGAGTGACGAATCCTCAACCGATTTATTCCCCTTTCCTTCAAAAAGGTCAGACTCAACCCCCTCCCGTTCAACCACCAGCTCCTCCAACGAGAACATCCGTTCCAAAAACTCCAATTTCCGCGGCAACAGCCCAACCGAACAAATCCCAACAAGCTCTAACAAACAAAAACGTACCCCTTTGTGGTGCCAGTGCGAATGTATCCAATGTACCCAAACCTAATAATGCAGGTGTTGGAGGTGGAAAACAAGCCGGAGCCGTTGGGTTCTCCCCGAAAAGAGGTCGCGGAGTTCTCAATGTTGGCGGTTTAGTTGGAGCTAGAATTGCTGTTTGTGGTCATTGCCACAATCAAATCAGGTAGAATAAAACAAACGGATTTGTGTTGCATCGTATTACATTTTTATTTTTAATTTTTAACAAATTAATTTGATGTTTTTTATTTTATTTTTGAGTTTTTGCGTTGTTGTTTTTAGTTAAAGAAATAACAGAGCATGTTAAAACTAACCCGGAAGTAACGAACGGAAATCAAAATGGGTCAATATCTGGACCACAATCTCCAGTTTCTTCGAAAGCTCCAAAATTGAGCACATTGAACATCAGACAACACATAATAGCGAGTAGTAAAGTTCCAACTCCACCAATTGTTGACATAATAAACGAAGCAGAAAACGACGAAATAAATTTAGTTCAAAATAATGCGATGAAACAAAACGATTCGAATCATAATTTAAAAGAGAATCATGCAAACGGAGCTTCTTTTGTGCTTCAAAACTTGTTGAAAAGTAAAGTTGAAAATACAAATGATGATTTTAAAAATGAAAGTAATAAAAATGAAACAACGGAACAATGTTTCGAAAAAGAATACAATAATGGGAATATTAATTTTTCGAGAATTATAAGTCAAGACGGAAATAACGGCATTGATAAATCAAATAAATCGACAAATCAGGTAGAAAAGAGCTTGAATAATTCCGCAATAACACGATCGGTTGAGAATAATCAAAATTTAGAGCCTATTTGTTGTGTTTGTAACACGGAAATTGAAAGGTATGATTTTTTTGTGATGATTTATTAATGCTTGATGTTTAATTAGAATTGAGTTATTTAAATCGAAGTAAATGTGGGAGTTCTTGTATTTTAATGTGTTGGCTATGGTTCTAAATTCATTTTTAGGTGATAAAATTCAATACCCAAGAACTCTTAAATTTACTTAAAATAATTAAAGAAGCTAAAAAAATTACAAAATACATAATTTTTTTAAGGGGGCCATTCATAACAGCTTTGGGTAAAATCTGGTGTCCAGATCACTTCGTTTGTACATCACAAAATTGCAAAAGACCTCTCGCTGATATCGGATTTATTGAAGAACAAGGACAATTGTATTGCGAGTACTGTTTCGAGCAGTATTTAGCTCCAAATTGTTCGAAATGTGGAACCAAAGTAAAAGGAGTAAGTTGTTTTATAACATTTAATCGCTTTTATTACAAAATTTTTTTTGATTAGGATTGTTTGAAAGCCATTGGAAAAAATTTCCATCCAGAATGCTTTAATTGCTCATATTGCGGAAAATTATTCGGAAATTCCCCGTTTTTCTTGGAAGATGGTCAACCCTACTGTGAAAACGGTAAATATTTTTACTACACATCTTGAAATCGATATCGTATCCTAAATTAGGTATCACTCTTTTGTGAATCAAAATATTTTAGTATCACGCGATTCCATAAAGTTTTATCGAAGCACTGCGTTTATTGTCGTTTTCTTTACCTTTTAGATTGGAACGAAATGTTCACGACGAAATGTTTCGCATGCGGATTCCCCGTCGAAGCTGGAGATCGTTGGGTGGAGGCTTTGAATAATAACTATCATAGCCAGTGCTTTAATTGCACTGTAAGTTTAAATTCAAAGAAATTAAATGAAAAAATTTAATCTTTTTTTAATTTATTTAGATGTGTAAGAAAAATCTCGAAGGACAAAGCTTCTTCGCTAAAGGTGGTCGTCCTTTCTGCAAAAACCACGCCCGTTAGAATTCTCTAAAAAAAAATTTAAAGAAGAAAGAAATAAAATAAAAGTTATTTGATTTTTAAAAAGGGGTTTAAAAAAGCTTTCGCCAAATATAATTATATTTATTTATATATTCTTGTAATTCAGCTTAAAAAAGCCAAATCTATAAACCAAAATGAATTTTTTGTGTTAAAAAAAAAACTATTAGATGATTATTTTAGTCTTTTTAGGTAATTAAATATAAAAAAAAATATTTATCTATATGTGTTATGTATACTAGTCGTTTAAGTTTAAATAACAAAACATCAGGTATATTTTAGTAGAAAAAAAATAAGAACTATGTAAATTGTACTTATATAACTTGTGTATAAATAAATCTTTGTGTTTTAATTGTATAAAATTTAAGAAATAATGGAGGAGATGAGAAGAATTCGAATAAAGTTGCCATTTTAGAGACGAAAAGGATTTGTAGTGTTTAGATGGATTGTTTTATTATGTATATTAGATAAATCAATAAATAACCATTTAAAATTTAATTTTTAAAGTTTAAATCTTAATTTTAAGCTACTAATTAACAACTAATAATGGCAGTTGAACCTTTAAATTGGCGGAATCCAAACATCTCGATTTAAATCGAATTTTTGTTGCAAAAACTCGTTTAATTGGCATTCTGAAGCGGCGGGGTATCTTTTAAAAATTTCTTTCGCAACTTTACTAAACTTATTCACTTCTGACACCATAAATTTCACTTTGCTATTAACACTCATATTTTCATTGTTGTAATTCACCCTCGAATTCATCGGCCATAATCTTATCCAACCCCCTTCTTCCGCTGGGGCATTCTTCCAATCTTTTCCATTACCCCATTTGTTTGTGTAATTGTACGTTTTTAAGTTATTTTGGTTTAAATTATTTTTTGTTACTTTATTAGCCGATTTACTTCGTGAAATTGATCTCGCCGACATTTTTCTGTGTTTTTTCCTCCATCTTCCAGCTGCGTTAACGACGGCTTGAGATGGTTTTATGGCGCGTTTTTGGTCCTCTTCAACCAATTTATTCTCATCGTCATCGTTCCAAATATGATAAATACATAATCCTGTGTTGTATAAAGGTAACCCTAAAAGATCGAACATATCGTGTAACATCGGTTTTTTCACTGTTCTATCAGCGTCGCAATCGTTTCCTAAAGCTGGGCTTAAATTTACCTGAAAAAATTAATTTTTATCTAAAAAGTTGCGTAATAAATTAATTATTACCTCTAACAACCAAGGTCTTAAAGTGCTATCAATTAAAACGTCGAATCCAAAAAATTCGAAACAATTAACCGTTTGTGGAACTTGTTGAATGTGACTTAATAAAGTTAAAATGATTAAGGAAGAGATTTTTTGCCAAAGTAACCAATCGGAAATTCCCGCTTGTTGGAAATATCTTCGTAATTGCCGAAAAGTCCATTTACATCCGGCCCCAATTCGATCTTTCATTTCAGTGTAACCAGGTCCGCATTTATTTATTGAACTATTCGTGAGATGTCGATAAGGATTTTTTAGATCATTCAAACTAAATTTATCGGTACCAAATCGGGCTAATCCCTCCCGATATAAATAAATCGTAACCGGGTGGTAAGATGGAATACAAACGTAAAGCCTCAAATCAAATTTATATCCGCCGATTAATAATGGTTTTTCGATATATTTCTGAACGATCGTGTTACTATCGTAAGTTAATTCACTTAATTTCTAAAAAATCAATAAAAATAATTAAATTAAAATCGATTAGATGAATTACTCTGAAAAGAAAAATTCCTCTTCCTTGACTTTGAGCGACCGGTTTACAAATCCACACCGGTTTATCTTCGTAATACAAATCAATATCATTTCTTGCTGTAAATGGTCTACATTTTGAACACTCAGCAGCTAATTTGGTGTATTCTAATGGAAGATTAAATCCATCAGGACTGAAACACAAATTTTTAAAATAATATTAATTATAATTTTATTTGTGTACCTAAAATCGTAGATTGATCCATAAACCTTCTTCATACACCTCAAATAACGAACTAAATTATCTTTGCGACAAATTGCTGAACCTTTCGGGATATGATTTATAAACTAAAATAAACGTGAAGGAATAAAACTAAAAAATTATTATTTTCTTTTATAAAATACCTGCCAAGCGTATAAACTTTTATGATGACTGACGGAAAACCCGGAAGTTCTCCACCAAAGGTTCCAATGATCGCCGTTTTCTGAATTATATTCTCTCCATCCTCGTTCTAAACAAACCTAAAATTAATAAATATAAATATATTTTACAGTAATCAACAAGTTCTAGTGTTAGTTCTAGTTTTAGTTCAATAACAATATACAATCTAGTTCTACTATCATCAGAACTAACTCTCAAAAACCCAATTTTGATGTTTTTACCATCAGTGTAGGTTATATCTCGAAAACTAAACGTAGGGGAAAAAAGTTTTGTTATTAGAAAATATTCTGTAATATCCCCTAAAACATTTCTCATAATCGTTTCTGTTCCAGCATGACCTATTTCGAACCTTTTTCACTATAATCTAAAAACCCTATTTTGATGTTTTCAATATCAGTGTAGGTTATATCTCAAAAACTAAATGTGGGGGAAAAAAGTTTTGTTATTAGAAAATGTTCTGTAATATCCCCTAAAACATTTTTTATAATCGTTTCTGTTCCAACATTGACTATTTCGGACCTATTTGACTATAATGTAAAAAGCCCTATTTTGATGTTTTCAATATCAGTGTAGGTTATATCTCAAAAACTAAATGTGGGGGAAAAAAGTTTTGTTATTAGAAAATTTTCTGTAATATCTCCTAAAACATTTTTCATAATCGTTTCTGTTCCAACATTGACTATTTCGAACCTATTTGACTATAATGTAAAAAGCCCTATTTTGATGTTTTCAACATCAGTGCAGGTTATATCTCATAAACTAAATGTGGGGGAAAAAAGTTTTGTTATTAAAAAATATTCTGTAATATCCCCTAAAACATTTTCCATAATCGTTTCAGTTCCAGCTGTTTAGTTTCCATATACAATCTAAATCAATCTAGTGCTTACTAGCGCTACTTGATTTAGACAAGTTTAGTTTACATAAAAATCTAGCTTTTAATTGTTCTGGACAATCATTTAGACAAATATTTAATGGTTACCGAATAACATTCAATAATTTTGAACAATCTGATATAATTTTGATTCGGTTTAAAGAAATAGAAGAAAAATACTATCTTTATGGTTGATTTTTATTTGAAAAGATAAAACCCGGAAGTTAGTTTGCGTGTTTATTTATTCGAAAGGCTCCTATCTGAAAATGGGTTATAAGAATAAATTACAATTGTATTTTATTCGTAAAATAGACCGGTCGAAAATTTATAGCCCATTCCGTTAATTGCGTCACGCTATTTCCAATGAACCCGGCGACGACAGTTTTAATTCGTTTCGATTCCCAATGTCGTTTCATCATCAAAAATCCTTGAATACGAAATATTTATTGAATTAAATCCCCATTAAAACAATTAAACTAACATCAAATCGAAACGGAGTAAAAATGTTAAGAAATTAGATCCTTATTAATTTACCTAATCATCAATAAAAAAGCAAACACCCATTTTCTAATTATGATTCTTCACGCAAAGGTTAACAAATTTATAGCAACGACCTTTTCGAATGTTTATCGTTAGAGGAGCTTTACTATTATAGAGGTTTATAGAGTATGTAAATTTGTTTGATCTAGTTTTACGCAGAGAATGTTTTCAAGCACTTCCTGTTGCAGCGACCTTTCAAACCCCCATTGTTATGGTGGGAGTTGATGAAATAACAACAACAACTCCCCCCCAACAACGAAATGCAATGCATACTCGCGTGTTAACCAGGAATTCATTAGAGGTTTACCCGATTATTTATTACAGTCCACCCAGTTGGGTTATGCACCCTGTAAGAGAAAATTTCCCCCTTTACTCCTTTTAAACCCGTCAAACCGATTTACGTGTAAATATTCGTCGCGTGTTTTATACTTTTACCCGTTTTCGCTTTTCTCGTTTTCGTTTTTTTGGTTAAAAAAACTCATTGACGTCAAATGATATTATATTATAATATAATTTTAAAATTTTCACATTTTGCAAATTAATGTTTTAAGTAAAAATGTTCGTTTTAATTCTGCATGCTTTTTCTCCATATTTTTCAAACACAACCCAACGATTGTTATATATCAAATGAAAGAGAAATCTTTGAGCTTTAATTAAAGATAAACTTTATTTCTTAGTTTTCATAAACAACGCTTCCACGAATTTTTAAATTTTCATCTTTTATAACATTTGTATTTTAAGCAAAAACGTTAGTTTATACTCAATATCGTTTTTTCTCAAAACTTTTCAAATCCAACCCAACGATTATTATACATCAATCGAAAGAGAAATCTTTGGGCTTTAATTAATGATAAATCTAATTTCTTAATTCTCATAAACACCGCCTCCCCTAATTTTTAAATTTTCATCTTTTATAACACTTATTTTATGCAATTATAATAATTTTATAATTTTTTTTTAGAAATACTTACTTGGGTTAAAAGAAGTGGTCCGGCTCCGTTATCATTTAAACGGAAAATGAAAGGACCTTCACCAAAACACTCTTCAAACATTTTTGTGTTAAAATTAATAATGTTAAAAAATCTGAAAAAAATATATAACAATTATCTTAATATTTTTTAAACGTCAATTTCAATTTATGAGTGTTGAGTAACCTATAAAGTAATAAAACCATTATTCAAAATTCTCTAAAATAGGCTGTAACTGTTCAAAATTTTCAGGCAAATTACAAGATTCGAAAATTATTGAAAATGAGGCAACTAAGGAATTGGGCAAAAATCGGTCGAGTTTACAAAATAAACCATAAATCATATTTATTTTCAATTTTCCCGTTGATATACACAGTAATGGGACAATCAAGAGTTGTAAACGCAACAGAAATGTATAAGTAAGTTTACGTTTAGATTTTCAAAATTAACTGTTGTTCTATTTCAAAGTCAAGTTCAATAACTTACGTTTTAAAGAGTATCTATTTAAACCACCGCGTTACATTCGTCTCCATTGTCGGTCGTTTTTCCATAAAGAAAATTAAAGTTCAACCAACAGCACGTGGTTTTTGAAATCACGCTAACGACGACGTCAGTCGTTTATGTAACATCGACGTCGCGTCGTCACAAGTTCTGGCTGGCTTTTCAGATTTTAGGTGCTGGTGGTGGTGGGTTATGCCAGTTAGCAGTGACAAGCGCGTTCCATTCATCCCTTTTCCACGCCCCAAACATTTAAAGCGCAACCTTCCAGCACAAAACAAGAATAAAAGGGTTATAACAAGATACCGCAGTAAAGCACTGTAAACTTTAATGTTAAACTTGAATGCGGTATAAGATTCCATCACAAAACTTGTAAAGATTTTTAGAGATATTGTTGGAATATGTTGCAGTAAACGTTAGTTAAAACTCAATACCTTTTCTCTCCAAAATTTTCAAATCCAACCCAACGACTATTATACATCAATCGAAAGAGAAATCTTTGAGCTTCGATTAAAGATAAATCTCATTTCTTAGTTTCCATAAACAACACTTCTGCGAGTTTTTAAATTTTCACCATTTTTATTTTAAGCAAAAACGTTAGTTTACACTCAATATCGTTTTTCTCAAAAATTTTCAAATCCAACCCAACGATTATTATACATCTATCGAAAGAGAAAGCTTTGAGCTTTAATTAAAGATAAATCTCATTTCTTAGTTCCCATAAACACCGCTTAAACGAATTTTTAAATTTTCATCTTTTTTGACATTTTTATCTGAAGCAAAAACGTTTGTTTATACTCAATATTTTTTTTCTCCAAAATTTTCAAATACAACCCAACGATTATTATACATCAATCGAAAGAAAAATCTTTGAGCTTTAACTGAAGATAAATCTCATTCCTTAGTTTCCATAAACATAGCTTCCACGAATTTTTAAATTTTCTCCATTTTTGACATTTTTATCTGAAGGAAAAACGTTTGTTTATACTCAAAGTCTTTTTTCTCCAAAATTTTCAAATACAACCCAACGATTATTATACATCAATTGAAAGAGAAAGCTTTAAGCTTTAATTGAAAATAAATCTCATTCCTTAGTTTCCATAAACATAGCTTCCACGAATTTTTAAATTTTCATCTTTTTTGACATTTTTATCTAAAGCAAAAACGTTAGTTTAAACTCAAAATCTTTTCTCTCCAAAATTTTCAAATCCAACCCAACGATTATACATCAATAGATAGAGAAATCTTTGAGGTTGGATTAAAAAATATTGTTGTATAATATATTTATTTATATCACCTACAATATTTATAAATAAGTGGTCTTTAAGTATCTCGATAAAACTCAACGAAAAACTTAGAACTTAGTAAAATGGTTGGAAAGAAGTTCGATTAACACGAAGTTTTACGAGTTTCTGTAAGTTTTATTATTGACATAAATCATTTTTATCCACCACTGGATCAATACAAGAATATACAAAGAGACTAAAACAAAATTGAGCATACATAATAAATAAAAAAAACTTAAGTAATATCGTTTGTTAAAGGATCAAAAATAGAACAATTTTCGGAGTCGTCGTTATCGGCATCTTCGCTGCTCTTTAAACTACTCTTAGATAACTTTTTTTCTAAATCGTTAACTTTTATTTGACTCTGTATGGCTTTAGTTCTCATTTTCGACATTTCCTCTAAATATTCTTTATTGTTCATCTCTAATTGGATATTGGCTTCGTTTAATTTGTCGATGGCGTACTCCTTAAATTCCATGTATTTTTTTTCGGCTTGATCGACGTTGTCTTTATACTTTTGCAAATTTTTGTGAAACGTCTCTTCGTTTTTCTCTAAAGTTTTTATAACATTTTTAGCCCTTTCATATTTTTGAACCAAATCGTAAAATGCCTTCTCTAAATTCGCTAAATGGTTCTTAACCAAATCCCGTTCGCTTTTCACGGTTTCATGATCTTGAATTAATTGCCCCATAACGTTTTCGTAACTCGCCACGATATTGGCGATATCTTTTGAGCCATCCGAATCGGATAATTCTCTTCTTAATGAGTCATTTTCTTCTTTAAGTCTCATCATTTCATCTTCGAGTTCTTCAATTTTCGCTTTGTATTCTATGACCGATTGGTTTTCTAGTTGTCGATCATTTTTTATCGCCTGCTCCTGTAAACGGTATCTGTTAATCCTTTTCACTTCGGTTGTTATTGAAAATTTTAAGAGTGATTGAACCACCTGTATAAAATCCATAAATAATGAATCGATTTTTGGTTGGAAAAAAAATTAATTATCTGAAAGGGATTTCAATCCCTTTGACGGCTTATTGATTTAATTTTCATTTGATAGATTTATTATTTTTTAATTTTTGCGTTGATATGGTTATTAACAAATAAATTAGTAATTATTTATTTCTTTTTTTTATGTAATTTAGTAAATACGACGATTATGGTTTTCCTGTTCCCCGACATTATGATTATGAACTCCATAAAAAATACTTATCAAAAATAAAGAGGCGTCAACAAGAATGGAACGAATTAAACGATCGTAATAAATACAAAAGAGGTTGCAGATTAAAGCGTCGTATTCGCAAAGGAATTCCATGGAATGAACGTTCAACTACATGGATGATTTTATCTGGTGCTCAAGCACTTAAGAACAAATCGACGCGTAGTTACGAAGAACTGAAGGCAGTGATAAATAATACCGATGTGATTAAACAATTAGAAAAAGATGTGTTACGGTTATTTCGTGAAAATATTTTCTTTATGAAAGAGGGAGTTATGCAAAAAAGGGTGTTCAACATCTGCGGAGCATTCGCTAACCAAAACGCAGAAATCAATTATTGCCAAGGTTTAGATCGCATCGCCGCTTTATTGCTATTATCTACCAAAGATGAAGAGATAAGCTTTTGGTTGTACAAAGCTTTAATCGAAAACATACTCCCTAACTATTTCGGTGGCGGGCTAAGCGGTTTATTAACAGAAATTGCAGTTTTCTTAGACCTCCTCAGATCAAAAGAACCCTCATTGTATCAACACTTTAATGATTTAGGACTTAATTTGCACTCCAAGTTATCACACTGGTTTCTTTGCTCCTACTCTGGAATTTTGCCAGCCGAAACGGTTTTGAGAATATGGGACTGTTTATTTTACGAAGGTTCAGTAGTACTAATGCGAGTTGCTTTAACACTTATTAGAATGCACAAGAATCAACTTTTACAAGTGAATAATGCGGAAGAACTTGTAAAATGCTTACAAGATATTGAACAACATCCACAAGTATATGATTGTAATTATTTCATAAAAGTACGTAAAATTTCTTTTTTTTAACATTTCGTTATTATATTCCTCATTTTAGCTTATTTATAATATATCAGGATCATTAACAAACAAACAATTAATAAAGTTACGTATAAAACATATAAATGCGATTGAAGAAATGTGTAAATATTGAAATATTTTGAAATGATTTTTTTTTATTTATATTGTTATTGGTAATAAATCTTAAATAAATTATATTAATAATGATTTAATTATAAATTTGCTTTAATTTATTAATGTCTATTGAAATAAAATCGGTTAAATAAAAAATCATTGAAATGTGTCAAATTCATATGTGACACATGTGTCAGCGACATCTAGTGAGATTTTTTATAAACTTCATACATCGCTCTCTTAATTATGATTTTATGATAATTCAAAAGTAATTTAAGTATTATTATTAGCAAATTCTAGTACATATTAGATTAATCACGTTTTAATTCATAATCATTGAATCATTATAATCAAAGGTAACAACAACTAACTTCACCTTAAACCAAGTGACGTTCTTATCTGTCATTTATAATCGGCCTAAATGTGAAATAGGTTAGATTAGAAACGTCAAAAAAACTACAAATGTGAAGAAATAGTTAATCCCTATTACATTATTTTTAATTTAACTATGATCTCCGACACTGTTCGATTAAATCACTTGTACAATAGAAACGACCATGACCATTATTTATTTAATGGTTCGAGTTTGTAATACGTTAAATAAACTGGCATGATTCAGTGTGTCTTCTTGAAAATATTCAGATAAGACTTAATATTAATTTGGATTATCTAAATGGCTCAAACGAACTTAAGGTAAATTCTAAGTAGTGTAGATTATTAAATTAATTTGTTTCTATAATTTAGTAAAGTTGATGAATATGGATTTGAGAGACCACCAAACTTTGATTACAAAAAGCAAGCGGAATTTTTCGAAAATTACCTATCAATATTAAATAGACGTCAACAGCGTTGGAAAGGTTTAAATGAACGTGAAAAAAATAAGAAAACGGCTAAATTAAAACGATTTATACGTAAAGGAATTCCAATGAGCGAACGACCGATGATTTGGATGTTCACTTCTGGAGGTCAAGCACTTAAAGATAAATCAAAACTTACCTATGAAGAAATGAAATCATTGATAAATGATGAAAATTTAATATCAATGATTAAACTGGATGTACCTCGCACGTTTCCTGAAAACATTTTCTTTACCAAAGATGGAGTTTTACCTAAAAAATTATTCAATGTTTGTGCAACATTTGCGCATCAAAACGCTGAAGTTACCTACTGCCAAGGTTTAAATTACATCGCCGGTTTATTATTATTAGCCACCAAAGACGAAGAAGTCACCTTTTGGTTACTTAAAGCTTTAGTCGACAACATACTTCCTAAATATTACATTAAAACAATGTCCGGGTTATTAACAGACCTCGCCGTTTTAGATGAACTTGTTAAATTAAAAGAACCTCTCGTACACAATCATCTTGTTAGAATGGGGGTTGAATTTGGTGTTAGTTCAACAAAATGGTTTATTTGTTTATACTCGGAAGTTTTACCAACAGAAACTGTTTTAAGAATATGGGATAGTTTGTTTTGTGAAGGCTCAAAAATATTGTTTCGCGTTGCTTTAACTCTTATTAAAATACATAGGGATGATATCTTATGCACTAATGATTTTGGAGAAGTTATAGACTGTTTTAAAAGGATGGGACATAATTCACAAGTATTAAATTGCCATTCGTTTATGGAAGTAAGCTGAATTAATTAAATCGTAATTTTTTATTAATTAATTTGTTTTAGAAAATTTTTACAATGCCCGGATCGTTTTCAAGCAGCCAATTAGAAAAGTTGCGTTTAAAACATGCAAATACACATTGAAATTTAAAAAGCGTTCAAAAGTCAACAAAAATATCAACTCAATCTAGTCTTATTTACTTTTTTTTATTTATATATTATATCACATTTATTATTATTAATAATAAACCTTTAAAAAAAATTCTAATTTGTTTTAATATTTTCTTAATGAGAGTGCTTCTCAAGAAAATCTTTTGCTTCATTAATTTTCGATGCTATGTATGGAGAACCACCTCGATCTGGATGATTAACAGCCATAACTTTTTTAAAAGCATCTTTAACTTTTTGTTTACTAGCAGATGGGCTTATACCCAAAATTAGAGCAGCTTCTCGTCGATTCATTTTTGGATCAAAACCGCCTTTATAATATTTTGAATTTGCCATATTTTCCATATCGAATTTCGGTAAATTTTTCATAGCTTCATTAACGGTTTTTGTAACATTGGGTAGTTGTCTTAATGCATATCTACCAGCAAAACCTACGGCTGCAAGGCCTAATCCTGCTAAAATTACTCCAGCAGTCTAAAAATAAACAACAGTTTAGACCAGAAAAGAATAAATAAGTAAAAGTGTGATTCTTACCATTTTTATTTAGGGTATTTCTGGAGGATTTGGGTCACCTTTATCGTATATTAAAGGTTTGTTATTTTTAAAACTTTGTATAGGTTATGTTCTCACAACGTGACGTTGAAAAGTAAAATTCTTGGGAATTTACAATAAGTATTTATAGATAATTAATAAATATTGGACATCAAATTTAGATTGGGGATTTATTTAATGATTTGGTGGTTTTTTTTTAAGTTTGAATTAAAAGTTAAACTTTATAATTTTTGAGGTTATTAGATCTGTCAAAATGATGGTTATAAAAATTAACGACAAAAAAATTTAATTTTTTTAATTTATTAATCAAAATATAAATAAAACGATTAATTTTAATTCAATTAATATTTAAATTAAGTTATATTAGTAATTTTTCTTTGGAAACGATTTTTAAATTTTTAGGTTATGTCGACTGATCCAATTCCACTTTGATATATTTGAAAATTGCAACTTTTTGGCGCTAATTCTGGGGAATAAATAACTTCGAACTTTCTAACGGTACTCATTCCATATCGAGTCATTAAAAATCTCGATGTGATATAATTACTCCAAGCTAATCCTAAAGCAGGGATAGTTTTACCGGTTTTAAGATCATCAGAAACTTGATTTGTACATAACACAGCGATTTTATGCTTTTGTGTTAATTCATTGAAAATTTGGACTAATTCTTTAAAATCGTTTTTTCTTGAAATGTAATTAATGTCTTCACAGTAATTTCGAAAAATCCCTGCTATTGAATCGATTATAATTAATCCAATTTGTGTAAATGATAAAAGTTTGTGCATTTTAGTCGTTAACGTTGTTCTTAATTGATCCTAAAATAATTAAGTTATAATAATAAAGGGGGAATAATCTAAATATATTATTTACAAAATCTGCAATATATTCAACGTAAATACCATCTGATAAAAGTTTTTTAAATGGTTTATCAAGGATTTTCTTAGGATAAAATGAAACAAGCTCGTTTAATCTCTTAGATGGAAAAGGTTCTTCTGTGCAAATGTAAAGAACATCTAAAAAGTCATAATTAGATAAAATTTGGAAAAAGAAATTCATACTTTTATTATATCCACCAATTTCTAATGGAAACTGAGTCATAATTGCTAATTCTAAACAAAATTGGGTTTTTCCAACGCCACTTGGTCCATATATTTCATTTATTCCATTTATTGGAATACCACCTTTTAATAAATCATTAATTACTTTACAGCCAACACGAATTTTTGACCAACGAGGAATTTCTAAAACTAAATTCAATTTTTGTTGCAACACATTTCAGTACAATTAGATTTGTGACTTTTTAAAATAAAATACTACCTGTATGGAATCTGTTAGAAACCAAAATTTCACTGACTGCTTCTCTTAACTCTTCAATTTCTAGAAAATTTAATCCTTTTTGTTCCAAATCTGTTTGTTTTGTTGTTAATAAAGATTCCAATGAGGAAATTTCAACTAAAAAAAAATATAAAAGAATTATATTTATTTATAATTAGTAATTAATTTACGTTTATTTAATTTGTTTAAGATAATATCCGGTACTTTGCTCTTTAATAAATCCATTTTAACAGAAATAAATTCTACATAACCTAACTTTTTTTCCAAAGATATACATTATCTATAGGCTGGTCAAAAGATTTCAATAAAAAAGAAAAAAAAATTTGATGACATCTGTTTATTCATGTGCAACATATATTGTCAATAAGGTAATAAGTATGAATGACAAACAATTGATTATTCAATAATAATAATAATTAATATTTATCTAATAAACAATAAGTGGCAGGCGGCTCAAGAATGTGTTAAGAAAAAAAAACCAACAAATACATTAATAATTACATGTATGTGTAATAATAATAATAATAATGAGAAAGGGGGATAACAATCTATTTTTATTTATAGTGTAAATTGCGTTCTATAAAAATATACAATGTATCGTAGTATTTAATTGGTGGAAAAAGACGAAGAAAAAAAATAATATGACTATTTTAACAATCTTTAGCCACCGAGAAAAAGACGGATTGAAAACGTTGAGAAGAAATTGTTTTTAATAAAGAGAAACAAATAGTTGTAAGAATTAGAAAAAAAAAATAATAAAGATATTTGTTCCGGAAAACGAAACGACACCAAGTTATGGCTGTATTTGTCATTAAAAAATACAACTCAATCACATTTCATTTCTCTTATTATTTAAATTTATAATACAGCTTTAACTCTAAAAAACGGACTCAAAAAAATATAATTAAATTGTATGTTAATGTTTTACTTCCTTTTAATTTTTTTTAAATTTGATTTCCTTTAAGAGGTAAAATAAGATATTCACAAAATACTATTATTAAATATCATATATTTATATTATATATATATATAAATCCGATTGGCTTCCTTTTTGGTGTTAAATAAACCAATCAATTAAACCTTTTTTTGTTATTTACCATTTTATTTGCGATAAAATGCAAGAAAACACCTTTTCATCAAACATTATGTAATTGTATAATCAATAAAAAGCACTAAGGTTCTTTTTAATAACTATTTAAGTTATATACAAGAAGTACACCCTAAATTGAGAACTCGTCAACTATTTTTATGTATTTTTTTTAATTCTTTTATACTTTATTTTCAAAGGGGGCGAAAAAAAACATACTTTAGTGATTTTGTGTGTTAAAAAGGGGAGCGTGGGCATGTTATTAATCTTTAGTATTATTATTTTTTATCAGTGGGCAAAACGTACAAAAATTCCAATTTATTACATCGCTTACAAAGTATTTTTAAATATAAAAATATACAAGAACGAAGCAAATTTACATGTTTTTTAAAGATATCTATATATTATGTATAGGTACCGCTCATTTTTTAATTAATTTTTTAAACGTGGGCTTAAACAAAAAATAAATAAGTGCTGATTAAAAATATTAATTAAGAATAAGAAAAAATTTATACAAATTCATTATTTATAATTAATTAATTATTGTAAAATAAAATTTGTAAACTTTTTTAAACATCAAATTGTAACTTAATACACCACCCAAAAAATTAATTTAAATAATCAATTGTTAAATTCTTAAATCAGTTATTAACAAGCGGAGCTATTTTTATGACAACAATTATTTAAAAAAACACCAAACTCATCAAAAAATTCAAATAACTGTATTATTTAGTTAAAATAAAATATAATAAAGAAGTATACACAAAATATCCTCTTAACTAAGTTAAAAAGAAGTTGATAAATTTAAGATTTGAATACACATTTTTTTTGATGAGTAAGGCAAATATTAATAATTAAAGAAGTGGGAGAATATGTAATAAACTCGGAGTGTAATTGGTTAGTTTAGTTTTTAGGTTAGGTTATTTAATAGTAATAGTATTATTTTTTGTCGTTAAAAAAAGGGACCTCCTTTTTCGCTCTAAGGAACATAGAGACACAAATGCAATTCAGTTATAAAAAATCACGAAATGCGTCGGGTTTTTATATATACACGTTTACATATATCACAAGTCCCTTTTTCTCTTTTTTTTCTTCTTCTAAATAAATAAAAAAAAAATAAACCCAAAAAAAGTACATTTTTTTGCAATTACTCCTTTTGTATCATCAGTATAATCTTTTTTTCATTTTCACCATCGGAACTTTTTCATTCATTTATTTCCACTTAATTTTTCTTAAGGTTAAGTATTCTGTCCATCGCAACTTTGTGTCACATCCGGTAAATCAGCTCTTTGTCCCGTTCCTGTACCACCATCTTGACCAACCGAATCGATTTGAACCCCTCCACTACTTCCTCCGCACACACCGCTACCACCACCACTTTCATTAACCTCTTCTTGAGACAATTGTTCTTCACTTACATCGTCATCTTCTCTTTCCGTTTCTGGTATTAATTCCAACGCTCTATCTAGAGTATTTTTTGCGCTATTCGATCGTTCCAAAAAGAACCCGTTCGAACTTTCATTGCTTTGCGCAGGCGGTGACCAAGTATTATAAGAATATTGTGAAGGCGCCGGGTATCTTTTCAATAATTCTTCTTGTAACCACGTCACAGCTTGTGCCCATTGGTTACGAAGATCCGAATGTCCGTGTAACATCGCCAAAGCGGCCCGACATTTACTAAAAAGCGCCACCATACACTTTATGCATTGATAAGCGCGTTTTTGGTAATGATTTTTTGAACGGGCTATTGTTTCTAATAATCCTTCACGTTCTTCAGGGACACCTTTTAAAGCGTTATGAATACGATGTGTTTGCCAGGAGTCTTCAATTAATAAAATATAAAGTAAAAGTTCCATATGGTGGCGGAGTTCTTGACAATACGCAAATGCTATTTGCCAGAGAAGTTCTGAAAGGACTACGCGGGAAAAGTTTGGATTTTCCCATGAACAGTATTGAAGAAGTTTTATTGATTCATCAGTTAAACTTGAATCTTCAATTACTTTTTTGATATAACTGGAAGTGAAAAAATTTTAATTTAAAGGTGTGAACTTGCAGCAAATTGATTTTAATAATTACCTTGTTCTTCCAAATAAAATATCAGATGCTTGAACAGACAAAGGCATTATGTACTCAGGACAGCTTGGATCACCATACGGATTAGGCAAGATGGGAACTCCAGTGCTACTTTGACATTTTGAGCTAACATCACAACACCTAACCAAACAAGAAACGACTTGATTCAATTTTCCTAATTCGGTGTATTGATATTTAATAGCAGGCCCGGGTCCTTCATCCAAAGCAACCAACATAAACGTCGTGTGAACGTTCATTTTTAATAAATGGGCTTTCTCTTGAACACCTAAGTCAAAAAAAAAGTATAAAACACTCAAAAATTTGATGCAAAACTAAATTAATATACCTTGTGTTGCATACATATGAAAAACGTTACAATAATGCGGTAAATGTCGCCCGTGTTCGCTAACATCTCGATGTAATAAAGCTAATAAAGCCCAAATGATGTGATCACTTAATGTTGCTAGTGGATCGTGATTATTAATTCCAGGTGGGTTAAGACACGGGCCATCGTTGAGTGAATAATGCGCCAAAACAACGATTATTTTCATAAAAGCATTTCGAACTTCACCGCTAGGACAACTCAACAAATACTCGCAAAATCTTTGCATATGGGCGAATAACATTTCGTGGGCGAACCAAGAACGGATTGCTGGACCAGCACGGAAATGAAGACAAATTGTGTCACTCCTAAAAAAAATTAAAATTAAATTATGTTAATTGATTTCTTTCTTATTCTCACCAATCCATAGCTGGTCCACGGAGATTCTTTTTTGTGTGCCATCCTGTATGAAATAAGAACTCACTAGCTAATTTAACACTTAACATTGAAAGTTGCTCGAAATCTTTTGTTGATAAATTCGGTCGCATGCTATTTGGAGTAATACTATTCACAAATTTCTTAATAAAGTTAAAATATTCCGTTGAAAATTGGCTTCGGTGATGTAAAAATTTGATGTTTTGCTTTCTTATGCTGTTTTCAATAGCAACCGGCATTCTTATATGATGTTCTTTCTTATCAGCTACAAAAATAGATCAATCACAAATAATCCCACAAAAAACACTTAAAAAAAAACATACAAATCGTTAATTTCTCCATAGCTTTTAAAACTTCCCTTTCCTCAACATCCTGTCTGGTATAAAATAACATATACGCATTCCACCATCTTTTTTGCCTTCTATACGTAGTTCTTTTCAACATTGGATCAAAAACTTCCCCCATATAATCCCCACCAAAACATTGCACCTTCATTTCTTCATCTTCATGCATTTTACACTCAGTAACTTCGCCATCATCAAATTTATACCATCTAACTTCACCATTTGAATTTCTACTTCTAATGTATGAATAATAATGTCCTCCAGAAGCTTGACCTGAATGAACAACAATTCCTGATAAATGATACCTGGTACAAACATCTGAACCTCCAGGATTTAAATCGCAATCAATAATTTCGCCCTCGAGTTTTGCCAAACCGGAAACAGTGTAAGGCTCCATATCTAAATCGCGTGGAAATTCAAAGTAATCGTTGAATTTGATTGCACACACTCGTTCGAAATCGTATTCGAATCGTTTTAATTGAATGCCGAGTATCGGGGGAAGTTTTTTCACGCAAAGACGTTTAACTGTGACCACTTTTTTCGAACATTTCTCGCAATGGTACGCGTCGGCCCCTTCCAATAATTCCCCTGCGAAACGGAAATCAAACGGATAAACGTTAAAAAAGTGGACAAATTCAAGATGATGTACCTTTTACGTATTGTTCCATTGAGTCTTGAAGACTGCTGTGGTTCCGAATATCCACGCTGATCACGCTAAAGGGTTCTTCTTTTGAATAACGGTGAGGACAACCTTTACAAATTTTTTGATCTGAATATGAACCGCCTAAAATTTTCGACATTATCTGTTCGTGACCAAGCGCTTTCAAAGCTTCATCTAAACTTTCAATAAGGGACATGAAAAATTCCACAGCGTCTTGTTGTTCACGTAAATTTACAGGTTCACCTAATATATATTTTTTTTAATCAATAATTTCTTATTTAATTAATTTATTTTGTTTTACCTTGTAATTTAAAATGCCTCCAAAGTCCTCTAGGGACGTAATATTGTAACCTAGAATAAGCTAAATGACCGAAAATCGCTTGAACTTGTTTTAATATCCCAACGTTATAATCTTTTCGATTATCATCTAAACTCGATCGATCGTCCGTTGTGTCTACTTCAATTTCAAGTTTTTCTTCACCGCTAAAATCTTCGTTAGGATCGGTGGCCGCTCCTTCGCAAGCTAATAAACCTTCCCTTATACTTTGCACCATATACAATTGTTGTAAAACCGAGTTCATATAACACGTTGCCCCCGCATTCTTTAAACCTACAAAACCCTGCATTGGTCTTGGCCCTATTATTGGTAAATAATCCCATTCAATAACTGTCGTTTCTGGATCTACAAAATGTATTTATTAATACTTTTAATAAAATAATTTAATGAAAAAAATTTGATGAAGAATATATTTGTTATCATACAAATAATTTACCTGAATAAAACATGTTGCTAAGCATAGATACTAATTGTCTACAATTTGGTACACAATATTGACACAATGTGGTTAATAATTCAAAAGCTGCAGCTTGTGTTTGTGGTGTATCACAAATTGGGGTAGCTGGATCTTCACCCAACATCCCAGTTTTAACTAATTGCAACATCAATTTGCTGGCGGGAAAAAGAAAATCCTCCAAAAGTTCTTTAATTAAACTTCCCGATTCCGCACTACCCAATTCACATTTTTGTTCATTTGTCATAAACGATAATAACTCCTTTGCTAACCCAAGATGACCTTCAAGCAAGCCGTCGTGTTGTCCCCTCGCCCTTCTTAACCAAGCGACCTCGCCGGCTAACAAACTTTCCGCTTCTGGTAGTGGTGTATTTGATAAAAACATAACGTTGATCAATCGGCAGAGTAATTGGAAAAATTCGTGCGAAGTCGTTGCATTATCCAAAACTAACGTGTCCAAAAGCGAAAATAGGTAAGGTGTAAGAAGATTAAGTGCTGTTCTACTTGCCGCTCCGTAGGTACAGATTATCATAAACTGTTCGACCGCGCTAACTCTTATATTTCGACTAGGGTTTAACAACAGAATATCCGTCATAAATAATGGAAACTCGTTACGTTCACACAAATGTTCCAAACTGCTCGGATTTAAAACTAAAGCCACACTGAGTAATTCCAAAGCTTCCTTACATAACGCAACATCATCGACGTGAAGTTCCAAGGGTGCGTTGCGTTTTGAAGGATCGCAAAGCGAATGAAGCGTTTCAGGGGTTGCGTTTAAATGTTGAAGATTAGCGCTACTCGCTGCCCAAACTAGATTCATTAACGCCATAACGGTTCTTGTATCGGGTAATTCCCAATTTAAAGCTTGACTGAAAAGACCTTGAACTTGACCGCTACTTCCGGTTTCAACCATTAAATCGGCTAAACCTTGAGATAATTTTTTTGCAGCTTCTTTTAAAATTTGATCGGAATGTCCGGGGACGTATCTTAACGCGTGTTTCAAGAAAAAACCCGGATTCGGTTCGTTTTTACCTTCTTTTTCGGGTGGGGTGTGATCCTCGCTTAATTTTACCAAAACTTGCGCCACCGATGTTAATATCAATTTGCAAATCTTTAAAACAACAAGGAACGCCGATCTTTTCGTCGCCATATCCGAACTGGACATAAAATTATTCCTCGTTAACATTTCCAAGAAAATATGCGCCTCACCAGACACCATAAACTCATACTGAATGTTGTAAGTCTTTTCAGAAAGTGGATCCAAAGCTGGCATCAACAGAGTATAAAGCACCTCAAGGTTATAAAGCACTTCCGCTGGAGTTGGACTAAAGTACATATCTTCGATGGGAATATTCGATTCAAAATTACTGGAAAAGAGAATATGGAGTCGGGTTATGGTCGTGTGGTCACAAGGCATCAGTAATAAAAGGTTTCTTGCTCCGTCACGAAGCGCATCAAACTCTAAAATACTACCCAAGGCAGACAATTGACAAAAAAACTGCGCGTAAGTGTGTTCCATCGACATCAAAACACCTGGAAGTGAATTTTCCGCTTCCGCTTCTACGTTTGGTACGTCATAAGGATGTTGAGGTGAAGATGTTGAACTATCCGAGCTACTATCTTGGGATGAGGCCATGTTTGAATTTATTTGAGTTATTTTTGCAGAAATTAACTATAACAAAAATAGATTATTAGATACTATTAACTAGATAATTATTTATACTAATAAAACGGGATGATTTCATATTTGTAGTTAGCTTTCTATTACTGTGATGACTGCTTTAAATTGCTTTGAATATAGCTATTGAAGAACATATCAGAATGGTGGATGATGGAGCATATTTTATTTCCCTTGTAATCTCAAATTATACATTAGGAATAAAATAGCTAACTCAAAACCATCCAGTTTCATTGTGTAAATATATCACTTTATATTAATCATAACTTACTGTTTTATCCCTAAGTGGTATTTGCCACAACAATTTCCTATCATCAGCTGGATCTAAAGGATCCCCATTAACAAACAACTCCAACTTACAATGAATCCCTGGTTTAACCCTTCGTAAAATATGTCTTCTAAGGGACGCTAATGTATCATTAGAATGAGTAAAAATTTCAATATCATCCTGTCGGTTGGGACTAGAAAATCGTACAAGAAGCATCATGTGTCGCCCTCTACAAGCTCTATGTAACGGTAAAAACTTCCTTTCACCCATGTAAGCGTTATCGCATTCGCTAAGGTACTCGTGAAGAACTCGCATCACCCTGCACATTTTAACCGCTTCAGCACGAATCCGATTTTGTATCTGTTCTGTATCGAATTCTTTGTCTTGACCTGGCTTTTGCAAAACGGTTACGGTGTCGTAATGGGCGCGAAGTCGATCGTAACATTCAGTTATGTAGGTTTCGTGAAAACTAACCTGAGCGGCCATTAAACGTGGCCCCAAATTCGTGCTGACTTCTCTTAAAAGTTCGATAGCTCTCGATGCGATATCATCAGAACATAAAGTTACCACTTTCCATAAATAATCCATTCCTGTTAAATCGGGGTCTTCCGTTAATAAAGTACGACGTTTTACTTTTAATTTGCCCTCTTTCATGTTGACTGCTTTAAAAAATCTGAACAAAATAAAAAATAAATTGTAAAATTTATTTTGTTACACATTTATCTTACCTTTCAAAGCACTTAATACCACTTTCGGTCAATAAAGTAGGTTCCAATTGTAAAATATTATTTTCAAAAAAATCTTTATTAATACCAGGGTCTAAATCTGGCTCATCACCCATTAACTTAGAAAACCATTTAAAACATGATTCTCGATCAGAAGCGAAAACCGCATTTTCCGCTAAACATTGCCAAATTTGTTTCGCTTGATCCGCACACAACCACAACTGCCCATCTTTGAGTAAAAACCTCAAAAAATTCAATCTTTCCTGAATTTGAAATACATGACAATATCTAGCATCAGGAAAATAAGTTTCGCTTGTTAATTCCGGATTATCTTTAACCAAATTACGCAATCGTTCCATATATTTCGTTAAACTAGTTGTAACTAAGATAACCAAAGAGTGTTGACCTTGCAATCGATCAATAACTTCCTGCCTATAGAATATGTGATGACTTCTTTGTGGATGAACCCCATTCGGTGAAGGTTCATACAAACAACAAATTTCCCTAATTTGTTTTAACGCTGGTAAAGCCCATCTATCCCCACTTTTTAATTCCTCCACACATTTATCTAACCAAATCGTTTTCTGAGCGTCGCGTTCTTGCGAACAACTATAATCCAAGATTTTAATATGGGCCGCTAACGCTTGATCCATAATTTCAGTTGGAACATCTTCCGCGTGCGCCAAATTCCAAAAAAGCGTCAACACTTTATGCGCCATCACACCGTCTTTATCGTCCTCCGCCAAGCGACGAATCAACTCCAACAAACGTTCCCTTTGACGCCGAGACGCCGACGTCCAACTACTTTGAAAACACTCGAAAAGATGATCGAGCTGTTCAGGACTAAAATCCCACGCTAATTTCGCGAGCAAATCGTGAACGTTTTTTACTATCGCCTCGTGTTTTCCGACTTGAGCGGACCAAACCGCGTCCAAATCCGATAGACTTAAGGCCCGTTCTTTTATCACGAAACGTAAAATCTTTTCAAGTTTTTCTACATATTGAGGTTGATGAAGTGAATCTCGCAAAACTATTTCTAAGACGCCGTTTTCATTTATCCATTTCTAATTTGAAAATTTAATTAGAAAAAAAAATTGTTATATCTTACCTTTGATACTTTGTTTAAAGTGATTTGTTTCCATAGCAACTAAGACAGTTACCAACTTTTTTTTTTAATGTAGTAGACTGCCTAATTCTGACGTCACAGAGATGGGCGGAACTTATAACCAGTCCAAACAATGTCGTTGCTAACGATAAACCACCAAAAAATGTCATTTAAAATGTCACGTTTAGTTTATTTTATTTTAACACTAAATAAAAAATGGCAGTTTACCGTTAGCAACGAAAATGTTTGGAATCGGTATAAGCTCCGCCCATCACTGTGACGTCAAGGCTTAGGTTGTCTGTTGCCATGAACACTATCACTTATACAGGTCGCTGATATGTATGGAAATACAAAAGTTTTAGTGTTTTTTAAAATCTATTGCAATAAAGACAAGTTAAGTATAGAGGCCAGTCAAAAAGTTATGACGAAAAAAGGTTACGTTTTCTTTAATGGAACACCCTGTCTATTATTCCATATTTCAGATCATCTCGAAATTCTAAACAAAATTCATGTGGTATATTAGAATACCGAAAGACCTAAAATACCATTTGTTTTAAAGAATAAAGCTAAGCGAGACAATCACGTTATATGATTTCAAGTCCAATTTGCATCATACATCTAAGAACCAACTTAGATACGACACTTAGACAATTAGATACACCAAGAAATTCTACAATAGAAAAAATAGATGAACCTACAATTTCGGGCCAGTGTCGTTTTCTAGGTGTTAGTATAAAATTAAAAGTTTGGCCATCTTCAGAGACTCTAGAAATAGATTAACATCTCTCATCTTATCTATTTTACAAACGACAGCGCTAGTTAGCATAAGATAGATATCACTATGTTGCATATTTTTATTGCACTAAAACTAGAACTAACACAAGACCTAGAACTGCAATCATTTGGGTTTAGTCGTCTTGAGAGACGTGGGACAAAAAAAAATGAATGTTTCTAGTTCTCAGTCCAGTGTTAGTTCTAGTGGCAGTGGTAGGTAGAGCTAGTTAGCATAAGATATTAGTATGTTGTATATTTTTATTGAACTAAAACTAGAAACATTCGGGTTTAGTCGTGAAAAAAACTTTCAGTTGTCAATGTCAACTTTAATTTTATTATTATATTCGTAATCTTCATAAAATAACCTTTAAAGTGGTGACGCATTTATCTCAAAAAACCAAAAAGTTCGAACTTTCAACTTTTAATTTTAACATATTTGTTAACTTCATAAAAAATCCTTTAAAATGAGTCCAAACTCGACATATTTAACTTTAATATTAATGGAGATACAATCACTTTCGGTTTGAAACGTCAATTTTGACATATTTGTCATATTCATTAAAAAACCTTTAAAATGAGTCCAAAGAAAGAATAAAAAACATTAAACCCGAAGTTCGCAACAATGAAGATAGCAATTTAATTTTTAAATATTAATACTAACCTTAATTTTTTAAGTTTTTTTTATATTTATGTTTTTGTGACAAATATTATATGTCAAAATGACATTGACATTCCTAACCGGAAGTTGACCATAATTTCATTAATATTGAAGATAAATATATCGTGTTTGGACTCATTTTAAAGGAGTTTTCACGACGAATACAAATATGTCAAAATTGACGTTGACATTCTTAACCGCAAGTTGACCATAGCTTCATTAATATTGAACATAAATACTGTCTATTCTGAGAAGTCTTATATTTTTAGAGAGATGAAAACGAAAATCTCGTTTTTCTCAAAATTGTTCATTTGTGTCATTTGTATAGGTGTGATTTTCAAAGATTTCCGAAATATGAAATAATATACAAACTAAAACTTTTGTATCTTAACATTTTTCGCTAGCTAACTTACCGACCGTTTTTCATACATATCAGCGCCCCTGTATAATTATATGTTAAGGGATTAAAAAAAAACTTACAGCCATTCTTTCAGGTGTTAAATATTCCTCTTCTTCAATGCCATGATGTCTATTTGGATAATATGAAGAAACGCTTGAAATAACTTTATTAATTTCATTGAGAGCATTCATTTTCCCATTAAAACTAGAAATTTGTAATTGTCTCAAAATCATTTTAAGACGAAAACCCTCTAAAGTTCTTATAAGTTCTTCTTGGTTGGCAACGCGAGATGCGAGGTTTTTTGATGCTTTAATGATCGCCGAAACAATATCACTTTTAGATTCATTTTTAGCTTCCCTTTTAAGTTCATCATCTGTTAATTTATCCAAAATTTCCGGTATTATTTCCTAAAATATTAATAATATTAAAACAATTAAGTAAAATGATTAATGTAACTCACCAAAATAGGAAGAATATACTTATTAATAGTGTGAGGTGTTAAGTATTCATAACTCAAACCAAACGGCCTCAATAAAGCATTTACAACAGCCACACTGAGACTTTTACCACTTTGAAACCTTTCCAATAATAATTTAAACCCGCCCAATTCACCAAATTTATTAATTAAATCGACCAACCAACCCCGAGTTGTTCTTAAATCGTTTAAAGGTCTTGCATAAAGTTCTTCCTCTGATAAATTGCTCCCCAAACCCGCAGTTTCGCTCGATCTAGATGCGTTAAATGTGTGGAACTTATTGTTTGGATTAAAAACCATTGCTAATAAATCCAATAAAGGAAACCAATCATGAGGCAACTTAATAACACATAACTCAACTAGCCTGACACAATTTTGATTGATACAAGCATGAATGTTTGGCTTCCAACTCGAAACTGCATCGTCCGTTAAGATTTTTGTAAATGAAATTGTTAGACCCTCCTGAAAAAATCGTTGACAAGCCTCCGATCGGGTGTCCAAACCTCTTCGAGACAATTCTATGGAAGCTTTTAAGAGACATTCTAGCTCTTGATCTGGTAGAACGGGAACCACCCATCTTACATTTGAAATTTTTTCATCTAAAGTTTGCAATTTATCATGGGGAAAATCCGGTTCAATACCGTCATCCGGAGCCTCTTCAAATGGAGTTTCAGAAGTACCAGGCAGTGAGGTTATGTTCTATACAGCACAAAAAAGGATGGTATAGATTATTAATAAAAATAAAAAAATAATTAATAAATTTACCTGTATTTCAGATGTTTCTCCAGTTATTCCTTGACCTCTTGTAACAATAGTCATCTTGAAAATTCAATCAGTTACAGTCATATTAAGACCCAATGATCTATAATAATAATAAAAATAGGAGGAGATGTTTTAATCTTATTTAAGAAAATGTAAACGGATGAAATTGTGCCATCTTCTCTTAATGTACTGATAATTTTTCTCCTGACAGAAGAAATATCAAAAAAGGGCGAAATGTGACAAACGTCAAAGGGAGTTGACAAAAAATGACAGATAGTCTTGGTGTCTTATCTTACCTCTGTATAGATGTTCGGGGGCGCACGGCACTCTCGTGGGGCTGTCGTTGATGCGACGGGGCCGTTTATTTCGTAATGGAATACGAATGGGAAACTCGAGTTTTGACGTACGACTAAAATCCGCCGGCATATACAAAATGGCGCCGAAATTAATGATTAAAAATTTTCTAAAAATATCCACTACCACCGGACACTGACGGGGCCCCGAGACTCGATCGAATGGGGGCGAAGAGAGTTCGCAATTCACAGGGAAAGTACGGTGACGAACACCGTATAAAATCTCGATTGTTGACGTACGGAACTATTTTTTGCAGGCACGATGTGATTTTGCGATATAATTGTCGCCAACCTGCATAATGAAAATCACTAATTTTTTACTTTTAAATCAACATTTTTTATATATATTAACTTTATTTACTTTAAATAACCACTTTTATATGGTCCTTATCGCGTAATTATTCGGTAAGAATATTTTTATAAATTAAAAGTAATGCTTTATTTAATAAAATTCCGATTTAAATGTCACTAATTTTTTATAAATAAAAATTGCTTTTTATATAAAAAAACATAATTAAGCCGTATAAACTTATTAATCTTTTATTAAACATTGACTCATTAACTAATAATAACATTAAATTAAACATATATGTATCTTTATTGATTGTTTTAAGTTTTTAGGTTGAGTTGTCAAACGATTGTCAAAAACATAACCAAAAAAATACAAAAATAAATACAATAAAATCGACAATGAAAAGCGACTCAATTAATGTAACAGGTGCTGATTTAAGTATTAAATAAATTCATTTCATTTAATAACTAAGTAAATTTCAATTTTTTTATTTTTTCAGAAATAATTTGTGAGATATGTGGAGAAAATCACAATTCATCAAATTGCACATTTTTGCATATAAAGCATCATGTAAGATATCAGAACCGATTAAATGGAATTATTTAATTTTATTTTTTGTAGGTAAATGATAAGATAATTCTTTCAAGAGCACGTTTAACCCTTCCGGATATATTACGGTTAGAAAAAATGTCTTCGGGGGGTTACGATATACTCGCTGATGTCGACATCAAATCAGGCACACAATTTGGACCTCTCGAAGCGAAACAAACGTTTACTTTAAATCCTGAGATAATATTTCCCTTAAAACAATTCTCACCAAACGAATACTTTACAGAATATTATTTAGATACTTGTAATGAACTTGAATGTAATTGGATGATGTTTGTTCAACCAGCGATTAGTGGGGATGAGCAAAACTTAATTTGTTACCAAGTAAGATTGTTGAGGAAAAAAATACAAAGATTTTTATTGAACAAAAATGTTTTAGAAAGAAAATAATTTGTATTATGCAACAACTTGTGATATTTTCAGAGGGGAGACTTTAAAAGTGTGGTATAGTCCATTTTATGCTAAATTAATGAATAAGGAATTATTAAAAAAGAGTGTGGTGAAAGAGAATGTTGATTATGGTAGGTTAGAAATGGTAAATTATTTTTTGTAAGGTTTTTTAATTTTAGATATAAATACTTTACTTAAAAAGCAACAAAATTTGATACAAAAAGATGTGTGGAATTGTAAATTTTGTGATTTCCATGAAAGGAACATAACAAAATTTGCTGCCCATATCTCTGAACATTACTCATCTCAATTAAAAAAAGTTTGTAAATGTTGTAAATCCACTTTTCCAACTCATTTAAGTTTGAAGAAGCATTTGCATATTGTTCATGGTAATGCGCCACCTCAAAAGAATCTTAAAAAATTTGATGATAAAGCGCTAAATAATAATAAGAATTTGGGGAAAGACTCCATGGTTGGGGGGCCGTTATTAAACGAATTATTAACGGATAGCATGGATAATACAAACCTATTTTTACAACAAAACATTGAAGATTTCGATATACAAAACATCGATAACCAAAACATCCTTTTGGATGGAGACAGTTTAAATTTAGGAATGGATAATTTAATCAGCGACAACGACAATTTTAATTTCGATCTTAGCGCTGACCAAGAAGAACACGTTTGCGATATCTGCATGAAACCTTTTAACAAACTTAAACAATTAATACAACATTTACAAATGCACACGGGAAAATATACGTGCCCAAAGTGTTTAGTTGTGAGTTAAAATGTTTAATTATGAATTTCGTTATTTTTTTTTAAAGATTTTTAGTCGTAACGAAAATTTAAAAGCACATAAATGCAACCTATCGTTGGAAATGCATCAAAAATGCCCATTTTGCAGCAAAACATTTTCGTTAAAAAAATATTTATCGCGACACATTTTGGTGATGCACGGAAAAAAATATCAATGTGTTAATTGCAAGAAAAATTGTACATCAGAAAAATTATTGCAAGAACATAACTGTTTAAACACCCCGGATAAAGATAAATTCACTTGCATGTTTTGCAATAAAAAGTTTGCCAAAGAATCTTACATGAAAAAACATTTAAAAACGCATTCTCGCAAACGAGATGCATCAACCCCAAAATCAGGCGAATTTGTTTGCGAGGTTTGCGCAAAAACATTCGATTCATTAAGAAATTTAAGAAGACACACGGTGTTTCATTTAACCAAAGATAATTTCCCATGCAATCAATGCGACAAGAAATTTAGTAGGAGGGATACATTGAGATCCCACATTTCGGTTTATCACTCAAAAGATATTTTTACTTGTGAGATTTGTTACAAAAAATTTAAATCAAAAAAATACTTGAGTAATCACAAAAGGACTCACAAAAAAAATAAAATTCACGATTGCAATTTTTGTAATCAAAAATTTTTTTTAAAAACCAACTTAGAACGACACAAACGTAACAAACATCTCAACGCATTCAATAACTTAAATAATAAACAAGTTAATGTGGAGTATTATAAATGCCAATTTTGTTCTAAAGCGGTTAAATTAAAAAGTTCTTTAATGAAACATTTAAAAAAATGTCATGGCAATGAAAACTTCGACCCTAAAGCGATCGTAAAAGACGTCGCCGTTGTTGATGTTAAAAATGATAAGAATAAAAATGACGCAAAAGAAATTATGATTGATCTTAACCCAGAAATAAATATAATTAAAGAAAATCGTAATCAAGAAAATGGTTTTAATGATGAATTAATTTTGGATACAAATTTGAATGTTAATAACCAAGAAGTTTGTCTTTCAATGCCCGAATTAAATGAAGTCGATCAAAATATTACTTTAGGTTGATTATATTTTATATTTTTTTAAACAATTTTTTTTAATTTGTCGGTTTTAGGTGATAACGCGTTTATTTTGGAAAATGGGACTATTGTTGAACCTTTAGATCAAGGAAACTTTGTTGTTTATATATTAGGGCAATAACTTTAATTTAAAAAGTTTCATTTAATTTTAAATTAAAACATTTAAAACAACATTCCTTCGTGTTTAAAACGCGTTATCGCAAAATCTTTGGCTTAAAAACTAGAAAAACGTTTTTCTTCATTTATCTTCATTGACAAAAAAACCAGTTAAGCAACATTCATTATCGATTTTTTTAGAAAGTATTTTGATTTTGGTATATAAGACAAGTATTAATTTGTTTCAAATCACACTTAAAATTACTTTCGAACAATACACATCTATTTAAAAAAAAAGATGTACAAGGTAAGTTTTGTTTAATTTTTTTTAACCCCCACTTATAATTTTTAATTTTTTTTAGTTCATCTTGTTAATCTTCGCCTTTTCGGCAACAATTAACGCAGCGCCCAGCGTTCTTAAAAACACTTATCGGTTTCCGGTTGAGCAAAATTTCGTCCCAATAAAAAATCAAGAACATCACGAAGAAATTACCCCAATTTTACCGTTTCCGTACCCCCCAAAAGTAGAACCAAACCATGGATATGGACTACCAAAGAAAGACGTGATTCCCATAAAACCACATGATGTCTACGGAGTTCCCGTTGTTGTCCCAACAACGCCGATTAAACCGATTCCAACTCAATTCACTTTTAAAGTTATTCCAACAGTCCAACCTAAACCGATTTTACCAATCAAACCGGTTATTTCAAAGTATAAATTTGAAGTGGAAGAGAAACCGGTTAAAAAACCGGAAGTTATCGCTCCATATCCTGCTAAAGTGATTAAACCTAATATTCCATTTAAACCGGTTCAAAATCAATATAAATTTGTTGTTGAAACTCCAACAACTGCAACTCCCATTTTGGCTCCGTACCCACCTAAAGTAATCAAACCAATCGTTCCAGTAAAACCGGTTCAAACCCAATATCAATTCATCGTTGAAGCACCAACCACTGCAATTCCAGTTGTTGCCCCATATCCCGCTAAAGTAGCTCATCCAGTTAAAGTAGCTCCTTATCCAAACAAAATCGTGATTAAACCGGTTCAAGAAAAGATAGTGGTTAAACCGGTTCAAACTAAATACAATTTCATCGTGGAACAACCAACGACTTCTGCTCCAATTGTAGCTCCAGTTATAACTCCGGTTGTAGCTCCGTATCCTGCTAAAGTTATTGTGAAGAAACCTATTGAAGTTGTTAAACCCGTTTTAACAAAATACGAGTTTAAATTGGAAGAGCCAGTGGTTCCTCTAGCTCCGTATCCGGCCAAAACGGCACCTTATCCAGCCAAAGATGCCCCTACTGTGGTTATTGGATTACCACATAAAGTTTATGGTGTGCCGCAATAAGTTTGTTCGGTAATTTTTTTAATTTATCTCAAAAAAAGATTTTTTTTAAATAAAAATTTAATAAATTTGTTAAAATTTTCTTTTATTTCTTTTTCCTATGACTGATTTATTTTGGGGTTGAGTAAGTTTGCTTGGAGTTGGGTTGGGTTAGATAGCTTTGGTATTATAATAAACTATACAAATGTATTGATTGAACACTTTTCATATTTATGTTTTCTTTTATTACGTCCAAACAGAAAAAAATATAACCTTTCCTATATCTTACAAAAAATCTCATCTCAAATCTATTCCTTAAAAAATAAATTACATCTTTATATTACATTATGGAACCTCAAAAAACTTAAACCATAAACCGTCTTCGTTTTCGTTCCCTTTTTACAAGCGAATACCAGGATTTGTGGAAGCAACATAATTTAAAAGTTCTTCGGAATCTTCGCAAACAACCGGTTTTTCGTGGTAACAAGCAACATCGTGCCAAGCGATTCCATCGTTATAAACATTATTCAAAATGGACAAACAAGATTCCGTCGTTCCATTAATATCGAATTCGGCGTTATCAGGTTGACGTTGTTTTTTGTGTCCGGTTGAAGACCACGGGTTGTATTGCCAACCTCCGGGAGTTTGATTTGTAGGCGACATCTTTTCGCGATTCGCCGACCAAAACCACCCATAAACATTTTTAGGTTCTAAATCGGCACGGTTTTCGCAACCTTTGAAGTCGCAAAGTCTTCCAGACGTCCAAATATACGGTACATCATCTATTGAAAAGAATTAATTTGAAGGTGTTAAACTTTAACTTTAAGTAATTGTTGTTTTTTCTTTGTGAGTAATAAAATTCGAAGGCGATTTCGAAACTGAAAACGTGATGAAGTTGCTTATAGCTTTGAAATGCCGTCGACCTTTGCCCCTTTTTCTCATTTTAAAACGACGACGACATATTTACCGCGAGATTCTTCTTCTTGTCGTAATATTGACCGTAACCGCTATACGAAGAAATTTACATAACTCACATCTTTTACATAACACTTACTCTGTTGAATCAACCTGAAGATCATGTTATTCTCTTCTTGGCTTTCCAACGATACCAAATCCATACAATATTCTCTACAAATATTTCTTCCATCTAACCAATCAAATTTTCGATTTTGTAATGCAGGAACATGACCGGTAAAGAAATAATTGTGTCCCCTAAAGAAAAATTGTTTCGGTCCTAAAATATAAAAATTAAAAATAATTTAGAAAACCGTTTCTTCTAAAAGTTAATTAACTTTTGTGGTTTTGTGTTTGAAAAGATTTTGTAAGGATTCTCTTTGGTTATTTCCAGTCACGTATTTAACACTTTCTTTCGTAGCGGTTTCTTTTAAATTTTAACGTGACTTCAATTCTTAAATAAACAAAGTACATCGTTTTCTAAAAACTAATTTATCTTTATCAATAAATTAATGTTATATTCTTCATGAATGCGTCGCCTTAAAACCTTTTATCTTAAATGTTAGTGGACATTTACAAACACGGTGGAGTTATGAAAAGATTTGTTTGTAATAGGACAAATCTAGACATCTCTTTAAACGTATATCTCTTAACGATTGTAACCTTTAACACGCTGAAAGAAGTCGTGTTTCAACACATCTTTTTAATTTAATTTATTTTCATTCAATTTTTTTTTAAAGGAAGCAACAAAAACTTGTTAATTAAACTTACTGTTTGCGCATTTATTAGGCACTGGTAGCGAAAGAAATCTTCCTGGTCGATTAGAAACTGGTCTTGCTTGGTTTATGGTTGCAGGTTCCGCGTAAGATATGGCAATGAAACAGGCAGCGATCGTTAAATAGGCGAACTTCATCTATAGAAACAAAAAAAATATTAAAAAAAAAAAGAAATTCAATAAAATACTATATTTTTTTATTATATTTTAAGAGTTTTCTAAAAAAAATGAGTTAAAACTTTCTATTTGGCCTTTGGCGTATCGTTAATTTGTTACTTTTGTTTAATATTATAGCATTGCGAGATGAATATGTAAATAAAGTAAATGGATGCGTGTGTGTGTATTTGCATTTGAAATGGCTTCGAGGGGATTTTAAAAAAGTAACGTTGAAGATTTATTATGTAACGTGTTTGCTTTAGGATTAGTCATTTCTATAACACGCTTTATTGAGATCTATTAAATAAGATTTTATAATATCTTTTGCAAAACGTATCACTATGAGAAAAATTGTTTGTTTAACCCTTGTTTGGCAGATATTTAGAAGACTGCTTCTAACTAATTTAAGGCATAATGTTATGAAGCTGTTTAGCAAAACGAAAATTTTTAATAATTATTCCTTTGGGGTTAAATTACTTTGGAAATTGATGGAGCTACTTTGAAGTTGCGTAATTTAGTATTGAGGTTGGGTTGCTTTGAGATTATATTTCTGTGAGGTTGCTGAACTTTCTTTAGTGTTGGGTTGCTTCGTGGTTAAGTTACTTTTGGATAGGGTTTCTTGCGGTTCCAATTACTTATTGGGTTACTTTGAGATTGTATTGCTGTGGGATCGAATTGTTTTGGGCTGGTATAGCTTCAGAGTTAAGTTTCCTTGACCTTCAGTTGCTTAGCAATCTGATGATCTTGCTTTAGAGTTAAGTTGCTTTGCTTTCGATTACTTTGTGATTTAGTTGCTATGGACTTGCTTTGAGTTGGGTATTTGTACAAGGTTGGTTTGTGGTTGAGTTACTTTTAGATTAGCGACTTTTGGCAACCGACCTCAGCTTTCTTCATCATCAAATGAAGGAATAAAACATTTTGATATGACAGTAATATCAATAACTATTCTATACTAAGGAGACAAAGGCATATTTCCGTTATTTACAAAAGATTGTTGAGGACAAAACGTGAACGAAATGGAAATTAGAACTAAAATTAAAATAGCAAAATGAAAATTTTCAATAATTATTCCTTTGGGGTTCAATTGCTTTGGAAATTGATGGAGTTATTTTAGAATTGCGTAATTTTGTGCTTGGGGTTGGATTACTTCGTTGTTAAGTTACTTTTGAATTGGGTTGCTTGGGGTTTTAATTACTTATGGGATACATTCCTTTGTTATTAACTTGTTTTGGAATATGATTAAGTTGCTTTGGAGTTGGGTTACTTTGGGCTTGGGTCGCTTTGAGATTATATTACATTAAGATTATATTGCTGTGAGATCGATTGGGTTACTTTGACGTTCAGCTGCTTTGCGATTTGATGATCTTGCTTTAGAGTTGAGTTGCTTTGGTTTAGTTTTGATGGACTTATTTTGATACAGGGTTGCTTTGTGGTTGAGTTAGTTCTAGATTAGCGACTTTTGGCAAGACCTCAGCTTTGTTCATCATCAAATGAAGGAATAAAACATTTTTACAGTGTAATATCAATAACAATTCTATATTAAGGCGACAAAAACATATTTCCGTTATTTGCAAAAGAATGTTAAGCATAAAACGTGATCGAGATAACACCTCGGCCTCAAGCAACTTTGGTTTCGTTAAATCAAATTAAGAAGAAATAAAACTTTCTGACATATTGGGAAGCAACAACGCAGAATCTAGTATTATTAGACCAGATTCGCTTAAGACTTAAACAAATAATGATGACAGTTCTACATTAAAATTTGATATTTTTGCTTTGGAATTGAGTTGAGCTGCTTACGATTTGATGTGCTTACTTTGGAAATGAGTTGATCTCAAAAACGAATGGACATTTCTAAACCCGGTTTTCTTTGTTGAAAAGGTGATGTTATATTTCTTTCTTCTAAGTTATTTTTAGAATTAACTTTTTATGGTATTTTTTTTAAATACTTTTTAAATCAACGTCCTCGAAAATAAATTAAACTTTATCTCCCATCAAAAATTCATCAGTATTATTTATACACGAATCGTTCACGAATTTCATTTACATTTTAATCCGATTACGCAATAGGTAACCGATTTAAGTTGGTACGATAATAAAAATGTTAATTCTTGTATTTAAAAATTTTCCAAACTTCAAATTTAAACCAACTACGAAACTAACACCTTTTCAAAGTACTTTTCTTGTGGGAACTCCCATTTGACCCAATTTCGAAAACGACTACGATTGTTTCGTATTTCTCGTTCGCAATTATTCGAACTCACGACAAACCGAAGACGAAGTTTAAATTTTCATTTAAATCGAGAAAAGAATTTTTATGTAAAGGATTCGAAGGTTACACGCACGTAACAAGTTAATTTTAGAAGAATAACTCTTTTTTTATTAATAAGTGATTAACAAGAATAACTTACCGTTAAGAAAATACCCAAATAAATTAAATAAAATAAAAAAAGGAACCTTTTGCCACTTTTTCGTTCACTTAATTTTTTTTCTGATGAACCAAATTGTTTGACGGTGCTCTTTTATAACTTACCTTTGTTGGTTGTTTACGTTTCGTTAGATTTAACAAAACGTAGAACACAAAAACGAAATCTCCGAGTAAAATTGTCGCCGGTAGTATTTATATACAGAGTGGAAGAGTACACAGAAAATGTTGTGGTGGGATCATAATCCCACCATCATTTTCGCTTTTCATCTTCTTTATTTCCAATCGGTTTTTATTACACACGTCCATATTAAAAAAAGAATTCTTTGTTAAGTTATCTTCTCAGATTCAGATTCAATTTTCTTAAATTTAGCTAATTAAACTTTGATTAAATTTCTTACACAAATTTCAATTTAAACTCATTATTTATTATTCCCGGTACGAATATCTTTCGTAAAATCGTCTTTAAAACGTGTCGCAACCAAAAAACGAAATACTATGTGCAATTTACAAGTGCATCATCATTACAAATGCATTTTCTACGACCTTTTATAACGCGTTTTAACTTAAAAGACGATCTCCAACGCTATAGGTTTTAATGGGTTTTAACTTCACCGCCGTGGTCGTTTCGTTTTTAATGTTAAGGTTGTAGGCTATTTTATTCGCGATTACCTGTTATTTTAGACAATTTTCTTATGACTTTTTAGAGTTCACTTCAGTTAACACCTAACAACTAATCAATTTTATTTTTCTTTTTAATTTTATTTTTTATTTACAATTTCCGCGTTGTTTCTTTTTTCTTGTTTAAACGTTAACCGTTTTAATAATTATGTATTTAAATGAGTTGTTTGTTGCAACGTCTGATTATTAATTTGTGAAGATTAACTTACAAATTACATCTTGGCCTTTTCAATGTTCTTTTATCACGAAAGATATTTCATCGTAATTAATGTACAGTAACATGTTTTACAATTTAATATAAATAATTTATTTTGTATTAATTTACATTAGACACTATACAGGGAATTTGATATAACTCGCAATATTTGAATGCTGTAACCATACTATTCACAGGGAAATTAAAATTTTGTTATTTTTAAAAATGTTATTAATAAAAGTTGTTTGTAATTTAATTGCAAACAAATGTTGTTTACAAAAAATTTTAAAATGATCAATAATTATTAAGATAATCTCAAAAATATAACTTTATAACAGTATACAGGGCCACCTGGTGGAGATATGAAAAAGTTTTATTAAAATAATCGATTTGAAATCAAATTTTAAATCAATTTTGTATCAAACATTTTTCGATTAAAACAACATATCGTCAATCGCTGTGACATTTAATGGACCATACTATTCACAGGGAAATTAAAATTTTGTTATTTTCAAAAATGTTATTAATAAAAATTATTTGTAATTTAACTGTAAACACATATTGTTTACAAAAGATTTTAAAACGATCAATAATTATTAAGATAATCCCAAAAATATAACTTATAGACCGAGAATTAGAAACATTCGGATTTAGCTGCACGTCTCTCAAGACGGCTAAACCCGAATGATTCTTGTTCTAGGCCTTGTGTTAGTTCTAGTGATAGTGCTAGTGTAAAACTAGAACTAACACTAGAGCTAGAACTAGAAAATATTTTAAGCCGTGCGTCTTCATGAAGTACTTATTGGAACATGATGAACTTAGAGAATCTTAAGCTAACTTGACAGCTCCTAAGATGTACTTTTAAGTTGGTAGCCAAACTTTGATACAACCTGGCTATCGTTAAAACGGTTGATTAACAATTACAAAAAAAACATTAAGCTTACACCAACCTAAATATACTTTTAGATTATTTATTAATTATAAATAACAAATATAATAGTTGAGAACAAATTTTCCTAAGAGATAACTTTTCCTTCTTGTTGTTAGTTTGAAATCGACCTGATTGCTAAATCTCTTGATGATTGTCTTTATTCGTGCGATGAGAATAAACTGCATCCATTCAACCTCAACCTAACTTTATAAAGTTAAAACCAAACGAACCCAGTATCGTAATGATTACGATGAGAGGACGAGATGAAAGATGTTGTTGTTGTAGCGATCGTGTGTAGAGTGTCGCAAATCTATTATAACTCTTATGTAAGGCGGATCTGCCTCTTGGCGGCTACCTTATATTGAGGTCAGATATGTTTTGCAACTTCTCCCATCGTATGCTAATAATTCTTATTTCAAAGAAATTATTAAACAGTAAGCATAAGAAATGAAAAAGGTGACAGAAAGACAAATAAAAAAATTGCTATTTAATTGTTTCCAACTTCCTAGAATTACAACAAAAGGTCTCTTTTAGTAGATAGTTGGCGTATCTGAATGGTTAGATGACCTCGAGCTCCTTTTTGGCGTGAAGAAGACGAGCGTCGTACGAAGATCAAGAACGCAGAATATAACTCGATTCTAAAGAAGGCCGGCAATTTAATGGTAATCGGTAAATGGATGTGGATGGTGTTTCGAAGAGCGACAAACGATTGCCATGATCCAAATCTTTAATTTCCTCTGGCCTCGTTGTAATTATCGATTGCCTCTTCTTCTAGAACCTACCAATTCATTTTATCCTTCGTTTATCGAAGCAAAATTGAAAGTTAATCCAGTTAGAAATTTCAAAATTTTTATAATTCAGTTGCATCTTAATTAATAAAAATCAATGAAACGTTTGAAAGGTAATAATCATAAATGATGATTATAACGTTTAAAATCGTACAGATGTGATGTGATGGGCCTTGAACTCGCACGAAGGAGGCTTTTAAAACATCCAGGATATAACATAATCTTGTGTTTTATGTATGTACAATAAGAGTCATAATAATTGTTTAATGGCACTTTCCATTGACTTTGATTTATTAGATTTATATCCTGTTGATGTCGAAATTACAAGTAAAAACAATAAATTCTTTCAATGGAATTAATTCAATAGATTTTATTCTCATTCATTGATTATGAATTTTAAGTTTCGGGGCACAAAACGAAATTTGCCATTCAACACAGAGCTTTTCGTGACAAGAATATTGAAATGTTATAAAATAGAAAGTCATCAACCTAAAGTGTTCTTTTTTTTTTGATAACATTCGAAAGTTTTTTGATTATAATTTAAATGTTGTTCTCGTTATTATTTTAACTGAATTTCTAATCTTTGAAGAGATTTATTTCAATTTTATTATTTTTTTTTATTGCCTTTAGTAAATGAGACCTTGTGACAATGCCGTGATAATCACACGTGATTTGAACGGATGGTACCGATTCTATCCAACCTTGACTGACTGGAAGATGAGCTCTAAAAGGAAAGTACTTTTAAATACATACACAAACTTGGTTGAAAAAACGCTTACGTGCACAGAATCAAGGTTTTAAATTCGATTATTGATAAAACAAATTGTGAAATTTAAAGTTTTTTAAATAAATTTGATAAAATAGTGCTTTATTAGAATGTTTTTATCAAGATTACATCAAAATAACTCCACATATAATGTCTACATCATCTTTACATCATATCAGAACCTGGTAACATCACTGTTGTAGTTGTTCTCATTGACGTAATGAGTTGAATTTCATCATCAACTCGGTGAGCTTCCTTTGAGAATCTTCACGGAATCAATAGGTTTTTTGATACGCTTTGTAGCTGACTAGGTGCTTCCCCTGCGATGTTGAATGTGCTTCTCCTTATGCTTCGACAATACTCTAATCCTATGTCTCATGGACATTTATGGTGCTTGGACCTCCTACGATTATTTTTAGTGTCTTTCCTCAATTTAATGTAATACCAGAAATCGTTAATTATCTACTAACTGGAGTCAAAAGCTGTCAAGAACCACCAACCACAACATGGAAATGTCAAAATGGATTAGCATTTCACCTAACATATAATATAATAGATCCTAAAGGAAGTTTAAGACTAACAATATTGAAATGAACAAATATTTACAAATAATCTTTGGGAAAAATTAGGTCAATACCACTAACTTATATAAGATTGTTACTCATTGTTGAAAAACAAAATCCCACGCAAAGACCAAACAATTCAACAATTCATTATGTTACGGTGTGGAATACCTGGGAAAATCAGATCGCAAATTGCGAATAAAAGCGCTTTTAAAATGCAACAGACCGAGAGTGTCGCAACTCTAATTGCGGTGTAATTCGATATTTCTCACCGATTACCAATGAGAACTAACATTTATTTAGGTGCAAACGATAGCATCGCGATTAAAATGAAGTTAAAAAAATATTAAAATCAGATCGGTTATCTGTTTCGAAAATAATGATGATAATAAAAATCGCGTCAAAGAGTTCAATTTAAGACTTGATTTTCAATGGACACAAATTGAAAGAGTATGGTCGATGAAAGAAGTCACGAGTTGTTGTTTGAATTGGGATCGGTATTTGAAATGTCAATGGAAAACCACGATTCGGTCATGATTTGTTGACCTGTTCACTTTTAATACTGTATAATCTTGAAATTATACAATAAAATCAATGTAAAAAGGCGATTTCGCAATGAATAATTTAAAAGGAAATTTATTAATTCGATTTTTAAATTTAAATTGGGAGACATCTTTTGGTAAAAATATGAAATAAAAATAAATATAGTTTAGTTGTCAGATAAAAGATGGCGATTATTTATTTTATTTATTTTTTTTGATTTTAAAGAATTTAAAAAAAACGATTTAAATCCAATACTTTTTATTTTTTTTAATTAATTACATAAATGGACGTGTGTACTTTTTAAGCTTGATTGTGCATTTTACATTTGTTCACTTTATACAACTACAAAATTACTATTTATATCATTTTAATATTATGTATAAAAAATTTGAAATACAATACAATTTTTTACTAGAAATACTGGAATGAAATGTTGTGTATGTTTATTAAAATGATTAATTTTTACTTATTTGATGAATAATAATGAATGATGTGGTGTTTCGTTTCGATCGTTTTTGCATTATTAACAATTTCTTTCAATCGATTCAATTCGATTCTGATTTCTAGTCTTTAGTTTACTTAAATAATCAATTACGTTATTATGTACATTTGGCAAATTGTATAAAAATAAGATGTCTACAAATGTAAATATGCGTGACAATACAAAGAAAAAATATGAAAGGAAAATAGCGATTTTAAATACAAAGAAAAGAAGAACAAACCATCCTTTAGTAGTTAACTAGCAATACTTTGGCATTTCCAATTATATAATAATATATATAAATACATCATTTTTTTGTTACATAATATAAAAAAATATAATAATAAAAGTATATATAGACTAATATAGAGCGTTTCATTTCACGTCATCTTCATCACTAAATCCAAATCAAAAAGATATCAATCCTAAACACACAAAAAATACGTTTTACTTAACATCAATTAAGAACTTTCCAACCCCGCTTTGACTCAAAATCCTTAATAAATTTATAAACTCCTTTATAATTCAAAAAAAAGTAATCTTACACAAAAAGAAAATAAAAATACAGTCTAATAATTATTAATCACGATAAAATTGCAATGCTTCTACGAGCTCCGGGTCCGCCAGATGAATTAATATTGTCCAAACTGGACCATTTCTTCAACCCGTTTTTCAAAGCTTCCGCTGCGTATTTATCCTCCATAACGCGCGACATCGCCTCTAATTTTTGAGCACGATCCTTACTTAATGGTTCACTTGGGAATGACAAATCATTCGCTTCCGCCAATGTACGCAAGTCGAAATAGTATTTCGCGTAGACGCTTGCGGGGACGTTAATATTAAATTGAAGTAATTGAAGGAATTCATGCTCGAGTTCGTTCATGTCTTTTACTGGGATTTCTTTTAAAATTTGACAGTAATCAACGTTCCATACTGCTTGATCATCCCAAACTTTTGATGCTAATAAGATTGCTCCTAGAATAAAAAATAAATAAATATATTGATTACTAAATATTAATTAAACTTCTAGAAATAGAAATAAATTTATTGATTGTGAGGTTAGCTTAAACTTTTGCCAAATAAAAGTATAAAATAGTTATTAAAATGTGAAGCATCTTAAAGTAATTTAAAAACCTAATTAAAACAAGTATAAATCTAAATAAAAAAGATTTAAGATCATTTATTTTGTTCAAATCGATTTTTAAATGTCTAATTGACATTTTTGACATTTTAAAATAATTGTCATAACCTTAAAAAAATCGAAATTAAAATATTTTTATTATTTAATTAAATCAATAGTAAAAAAAATTAATACTTATTTATATTTACACAATTTATAATAATTTTCAATAATGAATTAAAATAATAAACATTAAATTGATCTTTTTAAATATTTGGGGTGCGTTCAAATATAAAATGTCAAATTTTGACAATAACTTAATTTGTGTAAATAGGTTATGTTAAAGTAAAAATTTTTTTAGCATTTTTATTTACCTAAAACGATTCTTTTCCAATTAGATGGTGCAATATCCAATTCGGCGTAAGTTAATAACCTTTCCAAATATACTAAAGTAGTGATTGCACATTCAGCTGTTAATTGTGCAGCATTAAATAAAGTCCTAATAAATTTATATATTTGACGGTGTTCCGGATTATATTTATCGTAATCATCACTAACACCATCCCTAGTTAATGGATGCAATTTTTCATCGAATATATCAATAGTTCGTTCGGAATCCCTACTCTTAATGTGATAATAAATGGCTAAGGCAATACATTTAACTGTATTTTTTAAATTTGGTTGAGAAACTGTGCTGTCATCCAAATAAATGGTAGAACAAGAGCTGCTTTTTTTTAACGGTCTTAAATCCGCAATTTGGTGTTGACTTTTTCGACGAATTAAACCATTTTCTATGGCTGTTTTTGATCGCTCCATAAATAAGGTTTTGGCCATGGGATCTTTGGACGGATCTAATTCACCGTCATCAGGTTCTCTTTCACTGATGTGTTGTAGATTATTCGTACTTGTCTCACCTTCTCGTGATTGGCAATCAATTGGAAGGATCACACGGTGTCTGTCCGTTTGGGGACTATTTTTTGAACAACAACTATTTTTATTACCCATTTTTCCTTTTTAAATTTCGTTTGAGGATTCTTTAAGTTGTTATTTTAGATTTCATTTTTGTATTTTGTGTTTAAATAGAACGAAATTAATGTGTTGATTAGATTAGATTAACAAATACATTGAATGTTTTTCTTCTTTTCTATAACACCCACCGAATTATTGTTATTCTCGTCTACGCCTTTCTGTTGAGAAGTGCCGGCCCAAAAAATATTTTTTTAGGTTTTATATTAAAAATTATATCTTGTTCACTGTTGTGGGAACGGTTTCACATCTCACTGGGTTTTTAAGACTTTAAGGGGGTTCTTCGCACCGTGGGGATCACTAAAAAACTTTTTTTTGCCAAGAAAAGTGTCGTATAAATAAAAAAGTTGGTGCACATTCTCTCTCTAACTCTCTTCACCGCACGTTCATCTTTGTTCTTAAAACTCGATGTTTTTAGAATCTTGTGTTGGTTATAGCGCAAATCTAGGAACTTTCGGTTTTATAAACTTAAATTTTAGCACATAAAGGAAATTTAATTAATACGTTATTGTAGATAATAAAGGTGTGATTAATTCTAAATATTAATAAAGAAAAAGTTGTAATTTAAGGAGTTGGGTTTCGTCGCGTTTAGGTGAATTGGTCGGAAAATTAGGTAAAATGTTCATTGGGTCGAAAAACACATCTGTCCATGTTTTCATTGAGCCTAAGTAACAGATCTGAAAGAAAAACACTCTGTTTAATGTAAAGATCGGGTTATGAAATCAATTTTAAAATCATCATTAATAACATTGTTGTGTTTAAAAGCCACCGGAAGTCAATTTCGCCCGTAAACAGTTAATTAATTTCTTAAAAAATTTGTTTAATGTTCTCATCGCCGATTCCATCTCCATGCGTCCGCTCGACCACCTAAATAAGTTCTTTGTTATAAAAAATGGGGTGAATGTGACGTAGTTGTGCGGTTCTTTCGTTCGGTGGTGAATTTCCTCGCGGGTGAAAAGCGAAAAAGAAAAACCGGGGATAACCTACAAAAAAAAAATTCAAAAAAAAGATGGAAATAGACGTAACCCCGGACGTGGTTGAAAAACAATGTAACGGGGGTGTTTCCGAACGAGAACCGGGTCCCCCATCAAAAAACAACGCAAATAATAGTGCAAAAAAAATTATAAATCACGCACTAAGACAACAGGCGAAACGTAGGAAAAAGAATACGACGATTGCGCATCCCAGAATTATTGTTAAACCATTGCCGCCTCAAGAAGAGACAGCTTTTTCGGTTGTAGTGCCTAAAACGCCAACAATGAAAGAGGTATTGGCTTCAATACCCGGATTTAGTATAAAACCGCGAAAAAGGACAAATAAAAAATTATCTACGGCCGCGCAATTAGAACAAACTAAAGAAGGTTGCATAGATTTAGAAACACCTGATTCAATATTAGTTAACACAAACTTACGCGCGCTTTTAAATAAATACACATTCGCCTCATTACCTTCTTTATACCAACAAAAATTAATTCAATTATTACCTGTTGTCGATAGACAATCCTCAATGTCTTCAACAGAATCCGTTCGACTTAACGCCAGTTCTCTAAATAACGAATTTTTTGCTAGAGCTTGCGTTGAATGGCAAGAACGACTTTCTGAAGGAGAATTTACCCCGGAGAATCAACAAAAATTAAAAACCGAAGCGGATAAAGAACGATCGAAATTAGATCCGTGGAAATTAAAACATTTCGAACCAATTTGGGGCGATCGCACCCAAACGGAACCCATAGAAAAACCCAAAATTCCACCCGCCCGACCGCCAATTAAAATAAAATTAAGAAACTCAACGTTAATTAAACAAAAACCACCCCCTGTTGTAAAACGGTTAAGAACCGTAGGCGCTATGACGAGATCTTTAACTAATTACAAAGACGAATTATTACAACAACAAGAAACGACGAAAACCAACTTTCCAATTCCCGATTTATTACCGATTAAAACTCATAAACCACCGCAAAAACCCGAACTTGTTATTACACCCATCACTAAAGAACCTGAAACTAGTCCGGAAATCGGAGAGGATCCTTTAGAAATACATAACGAAAACGTCGAATCTGTCTTAGACACGCAAGACGCAACAATTCCCGGCGTTACAATAATTAATATCAGCGAGACTTTAATTAATAAAGACGAAGAGACAATCATTAGTTGTAAAGAAACGAGCCAAACTAATGTCATAAAAGCTGAGAAACGGCGTAGAAGTCATAGTTTTGATCCGGATGAGAAATCACCGAAAAGGCGGTCGTTAACACCACTTGATGAGCATGAAGAGAAAGGCGTTATTCAGTTAGATGAAATGATGATTGACTCGAAAGATTTGGCAGAACCCGATTTATCGATTCAAAAATTAGATAAAGATGAAACGATGGATGAAAATGAAATTATTGAAACTGATCGTTCTGAAACGAATGATTCAGAAACTATTGATAGAGTGTCATCAGTGACTAATCAATCAGAAATGAGTGATATAACATCCGAAGCTGATAAGTTATCAGAAATTGTTGAAGATCAATTAAATGAGATAAACGAAAAAGTTTTAGACACCGAAAAGCTTATGGAACAATCAATTTCGTCTGATTATAAATTAGAAGTTGAGGTTGAAAAATCCGATAATTTAGGTTATCAAAAACAAGCCATTTCTTCACCAAATAACTATCAACCTAATTCTCTTTATAATAACACCTCTAATTACCAAGATTTAGGAATCGATTTTCAATTGTCCAACATTAATATTCAAAAATCTTCGCAGGAAACTTATCAAAGTACAAATTCAAATTACCAAAACACAGCTATCGTTGATTTTCAAACGACCATTTCAAATTACCACGCTTCAAACACTAACTATCAATTAACAAGTAACGAATGTTTTCAATCGGAACAAAATAATTTCCATAAAACTAATTTCAACCAAAAAGACGACGAATTAGAAACTAAAGTTTCGGAATTTGTTCAAAAATCCGATCCGAGAAGTGCATCACCTAAATTAGATTTAGACGAAACAAGTACTCAATCGTCTAATTCTGAAATGACCACGTTAATTATTGAAACAACCACAAGTTCGGTTATTACTGAACAAGAATCACCTATTTCAAATCAAATACCAACGCAAATTCAAAATCATCAAACTCAAGTTTCATCTCAAATTCAAAATCAAGTTTCATCACAAATTCAAAATCAAGTTTCATCTCAAATTCAAAATCAAGCTACATCTCAAATTCAAAATCAAGCTACATCTCAAATTCAAGGTCAAGTTTCGTCCCAAATTTCGTCTCAAATTCAATCTGAAATTTCCTCTCAAATTCAAACTGAAATTACGATACAAGCTAATCAAAAATTGGAAGATCAACAACCCCAAGAAATCCTCATAAATCAACAAGAACAACAATCCCAAGAAATTCAAATTATGAATAACCAATTACTCCCAAATTCGTTGATTCTTCAACAAGAATCGATTATTTTACAAAAAGAATGTCAAACGTATTCATCATCATCGCCGGATTCGGAAGTTCCAGCAACTGCAAGTGGGAATTGCTTGCAGGTAACCGCTGAAAAATTAGAGGCAAGCGTTGAAGCTTCCGATTTAGTTCTATCGCAGTTTGAATCAAATTTCGAAACCGTTCGGAGTATGTCCGACGAAGACACTGCGATTGAAGATCGTTTTATTGACGCGGAAAATTACGTTTTGGAATCGGGACAAATTTCTATAAGTACTGGATCACAAGATGGTACTGAAAAGGAAAACGAAGGGATTCAAACAAGTTTGTTTACAGTTGCAAGAGAAGGTAAGAAAAAATTTCTCCCACATAAAATGTAACATGTCACTATAATTTGACATTACACTAAAATCTCGATATAACGCATTAATACGGGAAAGGCTGTGTCCGTTATTATAGCCCATTAAAAATATACAATAATCTAGCGCTAAATAACAAATAAAACTAGACTAATAGTGGCACTAGAACTAACACTAACATTTCGTTTAGCTATACCTCTCGTAAGACGGTTAGTAGTAGGTGATAGGTAGCGCTAGTTAGCATAAAATATCACTATGTTGCATATTTTTATTGAACTAAAACTAGAACTAACACTAGACCTAGAACTAGAAACATACGATACTTTCTAGTTCGAGGTGTAGTGTTAGTTCTAGTTTTACACTATCACTAGAACTAACACAAAACCTAGAACTAGAACCATTCGGGTTTAGCCGTCATGAAAGACGTGTGGCTAAACCCGTATGTTTCTAGTTCTCGATCTAGTCTTAGTTCTAGTTTTAAATCCTTCTTTTTGGCTTAAATCCTTCGAATTAAAAAATAGAGTATAGTAAAAAGCAAACTTTCCTATATGCTTATTACCAAATAATTATTATCGTAATACTATGACATGACGCGATGTAATAATAAATAAATTAAAAATTTTTTTTTTGTTCACCCTGTATAAAAGTGAACATTGTTTATTTTGAGAAAAAAAAAGGTGCTATTTATTGGTGGTCCAAAACAAACAGACCACCACCACACAAAAACCCAACACAATCATTTATTCTTTTTATTTTTGTTTTAATTAAAACCTATGTTTTGTTTATACTATTAACGATTATTTAATAAACGTCGACTGCAAAAAGCGGTGCGAGTTCGGAGTGGCGATTAAAAAGTCGCTCTGAACGGCAACTATAACAAACAAAGATTGGTAATCAATCCCCAAATAATTTTTTTTATCTTTTTCTAGACGATTGTTGTTGGGACGTGGTTGATTCGAGTACCGAAAAGTTACTGGAAGTTCCCATTCACGCGTTAGGTTCGATTCCGGTCGGTTTAGTTGGCACTGAAAATCCAACTGAGCACGTCGAGGTGATTCCGATGAAAGAAGAACTTGAAGTGCGTCTACAAGAGGGTAATTTCCCGGTTCCAAACGATTGGCAATACTTGAAATTAGACACGGAAATGGTTACAAACACCTTGGAAAGTAACGAAAATGAAACCAACTCGTCGGAAACGAATCAAAGTTACCAACCTTATTCCGGAAATCAAGTTAAATTGGAATTAGAGGTGACGTTAACCCCGGAAATTGTTAGTTCGGATAGTTTGGTGACGAGCACTGTCAGTGGTACGACTTCTTCTGGGGGAAGTAACTCGACAGTAACCCCGGCTATAAGTAAAACGGTAACCACAGTTATCCCACCAACTACAATAGTTTGTTTACCTTCAGCTGTTACTACGTCTCCTGTTGTGAATCCTCCACCAAATTCCGTTACTCAAAATGCATCGTTACCGCGTCAAGGAATGGCACAAAGTTCCAGCGCGGTTCCTTATTTAGCTTTGAGCACCACCAGCCAACCAATAAGAGCAGTACCGACACATTCAACAAAAACCGCCAAATCCAAGACGACCAACAATAACCGCAACAGAAGTAACACAAAACCACCACCTGGAGCTGTTAATTTAGAACGTAGCTATCAAATCTGTCAAGCTGTTATTCAAAATAGTCCCAATCGTGATCAGTTAAGGTGTCAGTTAAAACCACCTCCATCATTATTAGCGGCCGCGGCGGCAAATAACGCTTCAAAGAAAAGTAATAATAATGAAAATAATAGGACGCAATATGGAAATGTGTCCTCAACGAAAGCTGGAAGTAAAACGTTCACCCCACCTTTGCCAGCTACTAACGGTGGTTATCAAATGATACAAGGCGGGAATGGTGTGAAAATGAAAAGGGGCGGAGGAGGCGGGGTGCAGTTTCAACAGAGACAACCAAGTCCACCGGTGGTTGTTAGACATGTTTTTACCTCTGGACAAGGAATTCCTGTTACTATGGCTGTTTTACCGCCTACACAGGCATTGAGCCCCGAAGTGAGTGAGTATAGGGTTTAAAATTAATATGTAGGTGTGTGTTTTTATGTGTAAATTTAATTTGGTTTTTAATTTTTAGGAAAATTTTTTTTTTTAGTTATAATAATTTATTTTTTTTTTTCACATTAAAAAATGAAATAAATTTTTTTTGTTCAATAGGTAGTTGAAGGTTCAAATCAAATGAATCACCACGTGGGTCAATACATTCTCGTCCAAAGAGCGGCTACGGCAACTGGTGGAGGAGATCCTCACGGAGGTGTGCCCCGTTCCTCCAGCGCGCCACCTCTCCAGCACCAAGTGGGAACGATAAACGCAGGCCGACCTTCTCAATTGGTTTCTGTGGGGGCTGCGGCTTCATCCCGTATCGGTAGACCGGCTAGTGCCGATATGGAAACCCATAAAATCCTTAATAATTCTAACCTCAATAATACTATAAACTCCAACAACAACATCGTTCCGGGTCCATCAAGTGACAATTTCGTCCAGTGTCCAAATGCGGGCACGCAAGCTGTAACGAGAAGGCCCCGTTTTCAGCCGCAAAGCGGTGGGGTTTATGGTGTTGATGGCGTCGATAATTCAATTCCGAATTACACGATCATCGGCGCGGCTGAAGGTGGGGTTTTGGTAGATCATCCGGGAGCGCAAATGCAACCACAAATGTCGCAACAGTCCCAACAGATCGTGGTGCAACAGAAACGACAGATGGGGACGATGGGGATGGTGAATGCGGCGCCGTTAATGTCGGGCGGCGTGGGTGATTCGTCTTGCGGGTGTAGCCTGAAGGCGATGGTGGTGTGCAAAAAGTGCGGCGCGTTCTGTCACGACGATTGTATCGGACCGAATAAACTGTGTCGTGTTTGTTTTATACGGTAGGTTTATTTTGTCTTTTTTGTGACTTTATTTTGAATTTTTTTACGTTTTTTTTTATTTACTTTGAGACGATTTCCTGTGATTATTTCTTTATAATTAATTTTTTGAGCTTATTGAATTATTGGTACTGATTTTTTTTTTAATGTTATGTATAGTCTATTAATTCGAGCTTCAAATTTATAGATTGTGTGACAATCTTGTAGGTTCTTTTTTCTTTCTGTTTTTTTTTTATTAATTTTTTTTTTCTTTAAAGGTAAGGTGAGTTTATAAATGTTTATTCACTTCTGGAAATTTTTATTTAAAACCTTTGATATCCATCATAAACTTAATAAGACCTCACATAATCTTAATGAAACCACAACATTTAATAAATATAATATCTCACCTATTCAATAGGAGCTGTTACACCAAATATTGATTTCTCAAATTCGAGGCTGAATTTAGAAAAGGGGAGTAAAGTAAATCTACCAGAAATCTTTAGTGTTTGCGTGTAACAACTCTCCATATCAATTCGCAAATGTAAATCATCTTAACAAGTAGATAAACGCGTTGTCGTTTGTGCCTGAGATTGATCTAAAATGTATTTACATATCTCGGTTGATTAATCTCAGGCAAGAGACCAAAGACACCAGATGTTTACCTTATACAGCGATTTATAACTGCACAGCGAGATGGGATGGATAAATAGTAAATATCTGTAGAGGTGGCATTAAAATTAATCTTTATTGTACACAAGTATTCCGTCCCCGCAGTATTCGCCCAGCGGCTAATACCTTCGAAGGATCTTCAACAATTGCCGTCCTTACTCTCAATCATCTTTGCCCTGGCCTAAAACCCTCTCTTTTCCTCCTTTATCTCCTCGGCTATCTTCCTACTCCCTCCTCTTTCTCCTCACTAAATACTAGGATACTTAGGGCTTCAATTACTAGTCGGCGATAAATTGGCCACACTCCTCCAGCTTGGGAACCAGTGATATTCATTGTTGCACTTTGTATAAAAACTGATCCAAAAAGCTTGTGTTGCTTTGTATCCATTTTTGAGTCTTATTCCTAATGAGACTTCATAAAAGAAAGGCTAAAGGGTAATGAAATGCAGCAATGAAACTCTTCTCTAGAAAACTATGGTAAAAATGTTATTTTTGATGTTTTATTTCTAATAAAACCTAACCAACGCAACTCAAAATTACAACTTTAACATTCTATTTAAAGTATATAAATTATAAACTCATCTTACATTATATTCATTAATTTATTATTGGTAAAATATAAGCTAAATATTATTAAAAAAAAAAGTGAGGTTGTGATTCCATTTCAATTCCCAAATAATTATTTTTCTCCTTATGTTTAATTTTCATTATTTCGTTTAATCATTGGATTGTTAATTTTATGAATCTCCCTTTTATTTTACCAACGATAATAATATAATTTTAAATCGTTTTCTTTTTGAACACCGACTAAAGTAGTGGTTAAAGATTAACGGAGAAAATGAAAAAAAAAACGGTTATTGTTTGTAGCGTTTAAGGAGTACACTGAATAAAAAGGTTAAATGAAAGAAAAGCAGAAAATAAAAAAATAATGTTCACGTCATGTTCACGTTCGACTTTGTATCTCGCTGTTTATAGGCCATTTTCGCGTAAAATATAACATAAAAATATATTTAAAAGAAATTAAATAAGGAAAAAAAAAATACTCTACTAACCGCTGTCGTGTAATTTATTGTAATATATTGTCTATTTCATCAAGATCAACGATTATTAAAAGAAATTAACGTTATTAAAAATTAATAATAATTAAAAATTCTGAGGGTATATTCACTTTAATTATTATAATTTAATTTTTTTTTATTATTTAAAATGGTTGTGATTCTTTGTTTAGAAACAAAAAAAAAAAGAAATTTTTCGTTTTATTAATTTTTTAAACACTTTTATTTCGTTCATTTCTCATTTTCAACACTTCACTCAACACTTTTCTGAAAATGAAACGGTGTAAAAACCTACCTCAGGTGTCTAAGAAGATTAATTAAACGATCTTTATTGATTAATATTCTTTTTAATTAATTTAAAAATAAATTTAATATAAAAATAAAATAATAATTTTTGGATTTATTGTATACAAACATGGAAATAATGTAAAGAAGAAAACCAATTTTAATTAAAACGAGGGTTCGATTTTAAAACGAAAAATTGATCTCCTAGAATTTTTCTTTTTTTAAGATTGATTTCGTTTTGAAGAAAGTGTGTAAGCTCTGGACATTAACATTAGTTGTTGCTTTTAAAACAGAAAAAAAATGAAACGTAAACGTAAAACAAGAAGCATTATTAGGAATGTTACTCGATATAGGAAAAAAAGCGCACGTATGGTGTGTAGAGAGTTGCATTATTTTCGTAACCGAAATACGCGTTTATAATTATTATTTATTGTACAGTCATTTTTTTTAATCAATAATAATAACGGTTATTATTATTATTATTAATAGAATTTAGAACTTTTTCTTTGATTTATTCAACTCGGAATGTATTTAACGTTTTTATTTTTAGGTTCTTGTAAATATTGTAGTTTTATTTTGTATGCTGTATTTCGAAATATATATATATTATTTCAAAATGGAAAGAAATGTTTTTATTTATTCTTTTTATAAATACTTTTTATTAAATACAAAATTATTAATAATATACCGGGAACTTCATATAACTCACAATATACAGGCTGATTCTCAATCTATACGCATAAACTGAGGGATTTATTCCTTAAGACAAATAATGACTAATTGATGATAAAAATTGTAGTAAAAGTTTTTTAGTTTCCTAAATCGGCGTGATGGTCCAATGGCCTGGCCGCAGTGGTCGCCCGGCCTCAATCCTCTTGATGTATACTTTTCGGGTCACTTAAAAAGCATAGTGTACGCCACGGAAGTTAATACTCAGCAAAATCAGATACATGCTGCTGCCCAGACAATCCGCCAACACCCTGGTTTAGGTCGCGCTAGTATGAGATCTTAGATTCTGGGAGATTGATAGAAAATATGGGAAATAACTTCGAACACTTGCTGTGATGTTATTTTAAAATGTTCTATGTATTCTTGATTTGAAAGTAAATATTACGGATATCTATGAAACAGAAAATCTTTTATTACTAATTTTTTCGCCTATTAGTCATTATTCGTCATGAGGAGTAAATACCCAAATTTATGCGTAGAGGTTGAGAATCACCCTGTATAAATGCAGTCACCATAGTTACTTACGAAACAACTGTGCACTTGCACTATCCCACATAAAATACAACATAGATATACATACAATCATTGGGTAGCTTTCCAAAGGAAAAGTTTTGCTTCGAAAAAAGTATGATAACCCGGAGTCTTTTCTAGGTCTAGTGTTAGTTCTACTTTTTGTTCAATAATAATATACCACAATCTAACGATAAATAACAATTAAATTAGAACTAACACTAGACCTAGAAACATTCGGATTTAGCCATACGTCTCTCAAGACGGCTAAACCCGAATGATTCTAGGTCTTGTGTTAATTCTAGTGATAGTGTAAAACTAGAACTAACACTAAAACTAGAAAGTATCGGGTTTAACCGTGCGTCTGAAGACATTCACGGGTGATCAAGTTGACAGACTAATAATAATTATTTGAAACGTAAAAATTTCAAAAAACGTTAATTTAATTTATTTTTTTAGGACTTTCTAAAGGTTTGACATTAAAAAAACGTAAACAAATTCCTTTTTTCGTATGATTTAAGCATAAATTAATTAATTTTCGTAAAAAAACATGACGTTTCATAAAATTGACATTTAATTTTGACAAGTTGTTGTGAGGCTTGGTTGTGAAGTTGGTTACAGTTGGTAACATTGAATTTGTGTCACATTGACGTTTAAACTTTATTCAAAAATGTATTTAAAAAAATAAATTTATGGAATCAATTTCAACACGAGTCGTGAACAAAGTATAATATTCTACTCACATATAATCAGCTATTATTATTATATTATATATATTATATGTATATATAATAGTAATAATATACTATTGTATACGCGTGTTCCGTATCTTCCGCATCAGAGCATTATACGGTTGTAGGATACAATAATATGAAGCGATCTTTATAATAAAATTTTTCCGAAATGTTTATAATAACCGCACAGGAACTGTTTTTCCTCCAATAGCAATTCAAGAAAAGCTACGCTTATCTTTGGATGAGCTATCGGTTTGTTTTATACACGTCTGAAGACGCTCGACTAAACACAAAACTATCCAGTTCTATATCTGAGTTTATGATAAAAATGGGTTTAATCCATCTTTTTGTAATTGGATCTGATTGGAGGCACTTGAATTTTTAACATTTTCTTCTATACTTCGAGAACGAATGGAGATATCAAAATGCGATTTTCACAAAAATTTAGCAAATTTTATAGTGACTCAAGTAAATGGTAACTTGCTAAACACTTCGGATTAAACAAGCTTACAGCCTGGGTGCGTAGTGTACTGTATTCCAAGCGGAAATATTTGCTATTGACATGGGTGCTAAAATTTTTCTTGAGAGAGGGGTGAAGAACATGACGCTCTGCAGGCACTGCAAGCTTTGAAAACGGTGTCTACTCTGGTTAATGAGTGAGTTGTGATAACAGACTTTTTCTGATCTGGATCCCAGGTCACTCTGGGGTTGCTGGCAAGAAACGGCAGATGAGTTAGCACGAGAAGGCAGCGCTAAAGCGGTTGTGGAGCCAGAGCCAACAGTTTATATATCATTTGCGATGGCCAAACATAGAATTGGACTGTGGGCTGAAAAGAGACTTCGCCTACTGTGGACCAGTTGTCCTGGAATGAGATACGCTAAGTTGTTTATTAACATCGCCACTGTCAAACTCGGGAATATTTTAGAACTTGCGTAGCAGCCTTTGTGCGGTGGACGAGGAAATTTGTTTTAAATCAAGCTGTTAAATAAAATTGTTAAAGTTATAGCGGTCGAATACAAACTTCAAAATAATTTCTAGCTATTTCCCTTGCCCACTTTGCTGATAAGGATTTTTTCCCAAAATTCTAGGCCTTACCATTGTAGATATACAGCCGGTTCACTATCTAAACTTTTCATAGCTATAATTTCCAACCATCTTTTCTTCATTAAAATATCGCTCGCTTAAATATAACTCTTAAAATAATTTCTATTGTTCTTTATCGATTAGATTTACACCCATTTGTTTATCAAAGATAAACTTTATGACTCACAACTTGTATTAGTGCGATTTTAATGATAAATTTTGGACATAAAAAAATAAAAATGGGCAATAACATTTCCTGTTTTTTTTTCTCTTTTATTAACAGTTTTGATGTTACAAAAAAATTCTTGATATTTTTTCATTTTGCACTGTTCATTTTTTTAATTCAATAATTATGCATCTACATAGTTTATCGTTTTTAGTTGTAACAAAACCACATCTTTAATTAATTTTTTTTTTAATAATAATAAGAAAAAAAGAACCATTTGAAATACTCCAGAAATTGTGTATAATAATATAATACATTGTTCTACATATTTTTTAATCAATTTCGTTTTTAAAAAACCCAAATGTTTCTATCGCGACAAAAAATAAACGAAAAAAAAATTAATAAAATTAGTTTAAATTTCCGGTACAACCCGTACTTCTACAACATCGATAGTATTATTATCATTACAAAGTAAAATATAAATATCCTTATTTAGAAAGAAGCAGGACAACTTTTTTTTGTTTTAAACTATATAATAATATATATAGAGAAAATTTAACTATTGATGGGCGCATTGTATCCCCGGTCCTCCATGCATGTGTTCTTCATCGTCACTGGCGTAAGCTTCGCCCCTTCCGCTACTTGTTGCTCTTTCATTTAAATCGTAATCCATCAAATCTACATCTTCAACATGTTCCCCAACTGGTTTTTTAAAATCTGGTCTTGGAGGTAGTAAAGTCTCCAATAATTTCAATTTATTTTCAGATGTAAAGTTCTTTTCTGGGAATTTTATATCAAAAGTGACGTATAAATTTCCTTTTTCGAATGGATTTTTATAATGGGGCATTCCTTCACCGACAACAGCCTTAACATCACCCGGCTTTATAACTTGACCTGGAGGATGTTTTACCACCAAATCTCTTCCATCTAAATGATGTACAACAAAACTAAATCCACATAAAGCCTCTGTTAAATTTATTGTGTAATTAAAGTACAAATCGTCACCATTCCTTTGGAACTTTTCATGTGATTTTTGCTGAAGTATAATTACAACATCTCCAGGTTCAACATCCGGTTGTTGATCACCTTCTCCGCGGAAAAATATCTTTTGATTTTCTGTCATACCTTTATCAACATGAACCTCTAATATTTTAGTTTCATTACAAACTTTTTTGCCATGACATGTAGGGCAGCGATCTTTTTCATTAATAACTTCTCCTTCACCTTGACAATCGGAACATCTTGATTGCATTTGTTGGGTCATACCAGGGGCTAATTGACGATAACTTACTTTTACCCCACAACCTTTACACGTTCGACATGGTTGAACAGCTCCTGTTTTACCTCCTTTTCCACGACATGACGCACAAATAACATTTTTACTCAACTGTAATTTAGCCGTTTTTCCATTATACATATCTTCCAAAGACACTTTTAAAGGATGAATCGTATCTTCACCCCTTTGTCTTTGTCGTCTAACTCCAGGTCCAAATCCGGGAAATCCACCAAATAAATCACCACCAAAAAGATGAGAAAATAAATCTCCCCCAAAACCACCTTCTTGGGCTCCTTCTTGCATTCCCTTCAACCCATATTTATCGTAAACTTGGCGTTTTTTTGGATCAGAAAGAACTTCATACGCGTATGATATCTCCTTAAATTTATCACCAGCTTGTGGATTCTTATCAGGGTGATACTCCTTGGCGAGCTTCCGGTATTGCTGCAAAAATAGAAAATATTAGGTGGTAAATGATGATTACGTCAATCGAACGAATTTAAAAACTCCACACACGTCGGTTTTAGTCGCAACAACGAAAACTACGACCTTGACAATTCCGGATTTCCTCGAACTCCGGGTCAATGCCGCATGGAAATTTACTCGTGAAATTTAGCAATGTCACGCGAAACGCACCTTTTTAATTTCGTTATCAGAAGCCGATCTGCTAACTCCGAGTATTTCGTAGAGCTTGTTGTCTGCCATCTCTCTAAACAAGGAATGAAAGAGTTCGGTACACGGTGAAGTTTCGCACGGCTACTGCTAATATGAAGTCATTACCAAATACTAATCATCAAAAACCCTGCTTTTAATAACACCGTTTTACACTCTAAACAAAATTTTTTGATATCATCACAACGAAAAATTAATTAATTTAAAATAATTGATTAAAAACGTTTTTTATTATAATCCAAATGCATCGATTTAATGGATTTATAGAGAAATTTTTGTTTCATTGTAAAATACGTTGGTATTGGTTGTAATTGACGTTTTGAAATGTCAACAAAAAAATACTCATCCAACGTAAAATCGTTAAATATCCCAACATCTAAACATTATAAAATTAAAATTACTAAATCACTATGAGTTAAAACATTATTAAAAACAATATATACGTATAAAAATACTTTAGTATTTATATATGCTTCAAAATATTTAAAAAAATCTTTAATACATAACAAATTTTACAATTTCATCATAAAACGGAACTGGTGCCATCTATGATAGCGTCAAATAGTTTCTTTTTTTAGGGTGGTGGGGTTAAACTTCCTGTTCGTTCCCTCTTTCTGAACGTTAACTCGAACGAAGTCGTTCATTTCTAGTTTTATTCCGGTCATCTTAAGCCGTTTTCTTCGTTAGCTGTTTTAAAACAGCTCGAAGATGAGAGCGAAGGTAAATATTAATCATATTTTACATCAATTCATATTAATTTTGTTAATTCCGACAATTCGTATATAACCTAACCTCAAACGAATTCTTGCGTATTCTTTATTGTAAACGCACATGTTTATTTTTATTTTTTCGGTTATGTTTAGTGGCGTAAGAAGCGTATGCGAAGGCTAAAGCGTAAGCGCAGGAAGATGCGTGCGAGGTCCAAGTAAATTGACTTGAAGGTGAGTTCAAAATTAATTTAAACATTTTTAATGTGCCCCCTTAAAATGAGTGGTTTTACCTGATTTGGGGTGACTCTGACTTGTTTGAAGGGGAAAAATAAGGGAGCGATTTCCACCTGCTATGATTAAATCATATCATGAAAGCAGTCTAAGGTTGCCCGACAAATTTTTTAGGTTGTAAATTATTTTGATTCTTACTTTGAAGCTTTTATTTAATAAGTATGTTTTTATTTTAGGTACTTCATTCCCTCATGGTAACTGCATAGGTTAGACTGGAAGTTAATTCTGAGTGTTTGAAGTCTCATGTTTTTTATAAGTTCTTTAAAAATTGTCATTGGTATTCTCAGTGATGAATCAAAAAAATAATAAAAATATTTAAAAATGTAATTTTTTGTACTTTTAAATCCTTTTACAATGAACCTTCCTGGTGCAAATTCATGTTATAAAAAGGTCTTGTGGTTATACATTTCCTAGATAATTAAATCTTTTTATAAATCATGAACAACCCAGCTATTTGGGAAGAAATACCAACCTCTAAATACTTTTTATGAGAACTAGAAATGAGCTATGAGCAAATGGGTTAAGTTATATGGATTTAATACAAAAAAGTAAATAATAAAGTTAGGATAATTAATTTTGAGGTTAATAACTTTTAACTAACGCCATCTTGTGCCCGATTATTAAGTTGACGGTCGGTTATCTCTTAAAATAAGATAGCTAGCAAAAAATGTTAAGCTGCAAAAGCTTTAGTGTCTTTTAAAATTTATTATAATAAAAACAAATTGAGTATATAGGGGCAGTCAAAAAGTTATGACAAAACAAAGTTATGTTTTCTTTGATGGAACACCTGTATATTATTCCATATTTAGGTTCATCTCGAAATTCTAAACAAAAGCACATCATAAACCTAAACTTAACAGTTTTCGAAACCCTCTCATGGAATGGACATATACAGAGAGCTTTTACACCACAAAGCTAGACTATCCTTGTGGACTTGTACAGGGTGGTTCAAATTCGATGTTCTAATAGGCTATCTCGGAAACTATAAGAGTTAGGAAAAAAGTATGTATACACTGTATCTGAAATACACGGTGTATACAGAGTATTCATATCTGAATATACAGGATGTTCCATTAAAGAAAACGTAATTTTGTTTCTTCATAACTTTTTAACTGACCCTAGCTATCTCATTTTAGGAGATAGAATAAAATTTTAATCTTCCTAGGTTAACCGCTATATGGCAATAACAAATATGCACTATTAAAGTCCCTAGATTATCAAAGTACCGCGATTTGTCGCCATTTTGGCCCGAAAGTCAAGCGGGAAATTTAAAACTACGTCGTGGTCTTTTTTCTCGTAGTACTCCGAAGAGTCGAAAGCCCATCTTACTGCTATTTTTGCAACTCCAAAGGCAACAAGACGGCATTATTTTTGGAAATAAGTGGTAACATGCACTGACAAGCTGTCAAACCGCCATTTTGGCTCGAATATTTCGAATACACAGGTTTCATGAATCGCGCCAAAACAGATTGTTGAATTTTTATCTGTTTTACCCTTGTTTATAGATATCAATAAATAGGAGTTTTACCTTTTAACACGTTTATTGTCACGCATTTTCAACGAAATCTCTCATAATATATCCAATAAGCGTCATCCAAATATGACTGACTATAGGTAATCATAATAAATATTTTTTTAAACAATCAAACCATTAATACCGTTTTTTATAATAAAACCAACAGAAGAAAATGAAAAAAGCTAGCTAAAATTGTTAATTTAAAATTTTATCTAACTTTTTTATGGGGTGTTATTTTGGGGTTGATTTTATGGGCGTCACGACGTCCAGCACCGTTTTCACTCAAGACCGCATCTCTTGCAACGTGACTAGAACCCCACGTGACTAATCCAAGCCAATCGAAGTCCCCCGTTCACTTAAATCACGTTGCAAACGATGTGGATGCATGACTACGCGACCTAATCCCAACCAGAAGTAATCAGTTTCCCATTAGATAAAGGTATCGAACCGGACATTAATCCAAACTTAAATTAACCAAAAAAAAAAGTGTTTCATAGTGAAATCTAGTTTTTTATCCTTCCTATATTTCGAATTACTATAAAGTAAGTGGTGATTATATAATTTTAAAAAATTTCAAATATGTTTTATTAATTATATCTTTAGTAATACAAGAAGTCATCTTTTCTTCATTATTGGAAGAAATTAATACAATCTGCGAACATATATTTCTTTAATTTAATTTAAAACGATGAGGACTTGTTGGTATTATATCATTACATGAGTGGGTTGAGGATAAACTCTGGGCAGAGGTCGGATGGTCGAGGCCATGGAAAAGGTCACGGACGAGATAAGCACATGGTTCATTGGTTTCGTAAAGGTTTAAGACTTCATGATAACCCCTCTTTAAGGGAAGGTCTTAAGGGTGCAACTACTTTTCGTTGCGTTTTTATCCTCGATCCATGGTTTGCAGGTTCTTCAAATGTCGGAATTAACAAATGGAGGTAAGAAAAAAAAACAACTTATGTAACTTTATTATTTATTATGGAACAAATGGTATTTGTAATTATGTATTAGTTTCCGCGTTTTACTTTCACGGTTGATGTGTTATGTAATTGACCGAGAAATATAAAGTTCAATGGTAACAAGTACATTATTTTTTTATCCAGATTTTTATTGCAATGCTTAGAAGACTTAGATCGAAGTTTAAGAAAATTAAATTCTCGTCTTTTTGTGATTCGTGGTCAACCTGCAGATGCACTTCCAAAATTAGTCAAAGAATGGGGAATTAATACTTTATCATTCGAAGAAGATCCAGAACCATTTGGAAGAGTTCGCGATCATAACATAACAGCCCTTTGTAAAGAATTAGGAATAACTGTTATTCAAAAAGTTTCGCATACGCTATATCATCTTCAGCATATAATTGATCGAAATGCGGGAAGAGCACCATTAACATACCATCAATTTTTAGCGATTATTGCTTGTATGGCACCTCCACCTTTAGCGGAATCGCCAGTAACGCAACAAACTTTAAATGGCGCTACAACACCTATTAGTGAAGACCATGATGAAAAATATGGTGTCCCAACATTAGAAGAATTAGGTTTTGATACTGATGGACTCCTTCCACCGGTTTGGCAAGGCGGGGAAAGCGTAGCTTTAGCTCGTTTAGAACGACATTTAGAAAGAAAAGCTTGGGTGGCTTCATTTGGGCGTCCAAAAATGACACCTCAATCACTTCTTCCATCACAAACCGGTTTATCACCTTATTTAAGATTTGGATGTTTATCAACGAGATTATTTTATTATCAATTAACTGACCTTTATAAAAAAATCAAGAAAACTTTTCCACCTTTATCACTGCACGGACAACTTTTATGGAGGGAATTTTTTTATTGCGCTGCAACAAAAAATCCAAATTTTGATAAAATGATTGGAAATCCTATTTGTGTACAAATTCCTTGGGATAAGAATTCAGAAGCCTTAGCTAAATGGGCCAGTGTAAGTTATATTATTTACTTTATAATAACATACTTTTTTCTAATTTCACCTCAATTAATAAATTTGATTTATAAAATAGGGTCAAACTGGTTTTCCATGGATTGATGCAATAATGACACAATTACGAGAAGAAGGTTGGATACATCACTTAGCCAGACATGCAGTTGCTTGTTTTTTAACGAGAGGTGATCTTTGGTTATCATGGGAAGAAGGAATGAAGGTATTTCTTTTTTATTGATTAATTCTTTATTAAAATCTTTATTTTATTGATTTTAGGTGTTTGAAGAACTACTTCTAGATGCTGATTGGTCGGTAAACGCTGGAATGTGGATGTGGTTGTCATGTTCAAGTTTCTTCCAACAATTTTTTCATTGTTATTGTCCGGTTAAATTTGGTAGAAAAGCCGATCCGAACGGTGATTACATAAGAAAGTATCTTCCAGTTTTAAAAAATATGCCAGTACAATACATTCATGAACCTTGGACGGCTCCCGAAAATGTACAAAGAGCAACAAAATGCATCATTGGTAAGGATTATCCTTTACCTATGGTAAATCATGCAATCGCAAGCAAAATTAATATTCAGCGAATGAAGCAAGTTTATCAACAACTCGCAAAATATCGTAGATTAGAAACCGATTCTTGTAAAATGCAAGGAAATTTTAAGGATGGTTATCAAGCTCAAGTTGTTACCGTTGGAAATCCAGATAATTTAAATGATGAATAAGTTATCAGATCTTAGTTATTTAGTAATTATGTGTGTATCTAAGTGTGTTTGCAATGTATAACAATAAAATTGTGTATTAACGTTTAATTTATTTATTAATTTTTGAATTTGGCGCCATTTTTTAAGTTGTCATTTTGACGTTTATCTGTTAACCTAATCGATAATAAACACCTATATTTTTTTTAGAAAAATTTATACGAAAACGTTAACGTCAGCAAATCTACAAAGAATACGACTTAACATATTTAACGTTAATTACACAATAAGCAATAAATTAATATTGGTGTTTTTACCGACAAGAATTTAAAACAATAAATAAAAATGGCTGCTGTTTCGCTGTAAATTTGACAGCTACAAAAGGAGTGTTTAAAAACCAACCCGATTTTAAGGCGTTTTAATTTAATTTTAAACGATCTAATTAAAACTAACTCGTAAGTAAATCACAAATTGATAAATGAAGCGAAAAGTTTCGATATTAAATAGGAAATACCCCGGATATGAATCACTGTTATTTATCATTTTTTTTAACCTTACTTTTTTGTTAGAGTTCGGGCCCCTTGAATCTATCAAAATGTCAACAGGACCTTATAATTACTCTTACATCTTTAAATATATTATAATCGGTGATATGGGTGTTGGGAAATCGTGTTTACTTCATCAATTTACAGAAAAGAAATGTAAGTTATTTTTTTTTAACCAAATTGATAAAGGATCTAATTAATGATTTTTATCTCTTTTAGTTATGGCTGATTGTCCACATACAATAGGAGTAGAATTTGGTACAAGAATTATTGAAGTGTCCGGTCAAAAAATTAAACTTCAAATTTGGGATACCGCAGGACAAGAAAGATTCCGAGCTGTAACCAGATCGTATTATAGAGGTGCTGCTGGGGCTCTCATGGTGTATGATATCACCAGAAGATCCACTTATAACCATTTAAGCAGTTGGTTAACAGACACGAGAAATTTAACTAATCCAAGCACTGTTATCTTTTTAATTGGGAATAAATGTGATTTGGAAGGTCAAAGGGATGTTACTTACGAAGAAGCAAAACAATTTGCTGATGAAAATGGGTTGATGTTTGTTGAAGCTAGTGCTAAAACGTAATTAAAACAAATTTTTTTGTAAAATAATTAAATTAACCATTTTTTGTAGAGGTCATAATGTAGAGGAGGCATTTTTGGAAACAGCAAAGAAAATATATCAAAGTATTCAAGATGGTCGTTTAGATTTGAATGCTGCAGAATCCGGGGTACAACATAAACCATCTCAGTTACGCAGGAATAATTTATCAAGCGACCAACAACCAAATAAGGATAATTGCGCTTGCTAGTCGCTGAATTAAGAAAAAAAATTAATAAAATCCTAAAAATATTTGATTTAAACCAATTTTGCACCTATTTAAGTTAATTCTTTTGCAAATTCACTTAAGTTTAAGGGTCTGGTTCGACTCAGTGACTATTTTTACTAAATAAAAATAAAATCGATTATTTTTTACACACTTAGAAAGAAATCTATTCAAATATAATGTACACCCTATTAAAATTTAAATGAAAATTGTAACTAAGTATTCACTAAGTTAAAAATAATTTTTAGAATAAAAAAGGATAAAAAATTTAAGAGAAATAAATAGTTTTAAGTTTTAGGAGGGTTGGTTTTTTTATATTAAAATTGCATTTTTTTTTTTTGTTGAAGCATTACTTTTTTCCTTAGCATTTAATTACAAAAATAACCTGACCTATTAAAATTAATAACAGCAGATTGAAAAAAGAAAATTAACAAAAAATATTTTGAGGGAAATATTAACACAAAATAAAATGTTAAATTATACATAATTAATATTAATTAAATTAAATTTAGTATGTTTGCTATTATGAGATGCAGTGCTATTATTCCGTAGATTATACATTAAAATTGTATGGAAAACTTTGTAAATGAAGAGATGATATTAAAAAATTAAAATAATGGACTATGATATAATAGTTGCAAAAAACAACAAAAATATGCTTCTTATTTGTTAAAATGTGTACAAGAAAAAAAAACTTAATGATTTTGGAATTAAATCAGTTATTTAGAAAGCAAGTTTTAATGTGAATTAAATTTGTATGTGATGATGTATTTATTATAAAGATCATATATAAATTAATAATAAGAATATTAATAAAGTATAAGTTATAATTGTTTTTTTCTTTCTTTTTTAATTGCTAATAAAAAAGTTTTAAGACGCACAATTAAACGCGAATGTTTCTAATTCTAGGTCTAGTGTTAGTTTTAGTTCAATTAGTTTATGCAACATAGTGATATTTTATGCTAACTAGCGCTACCTATCACCTACCAGTTGTCTTAAGAGAGGTACAGCTAAACGAAATGTTCAAAATCTCTTGTTGTAGTTTCGTCTAGTTTTCTTCTCTTCGCTTGTAATTCATTACTAACAGAACTGTCGCTGTTATCACTTTTGATTATTAATTAAAGTATCCTCTTTTTAATGCAAAAAGCCGTTTTGAAAAATCACTTTTAGTTCTTGAGAAATAAATTTTTGAAATGGTCAATAATTTTTTCGTTTTGCATTTTTCGCCGATTCAGTTTTAAAAATTCGTATAAAATCCATTTCTTGGAATATGTGCATGAAAATTTCCCAAAGTATTAATGAAAGTGTCCTCTTTCCAATGAATCGACCCGTTTTGAAAAATAACTTTTAGTTTTTGAGAAAACAATATTCGAAGTTTTGATCAAATTTTCGATGTTGCAATTTTCATCGATAACTTTCAAAATTCGCTATAAAATTAATTTCTTGAAGGATCCTTGTGGAAATATCACCAATTATTAAATAAAGTATCCTCTTTTTAATGCAAAAAGCCGTTTTGAAAAATCACTTTTAGTTCTTGTGAAAGAAATTTTTGAAATCATCGACAATTTTATCGAGTTTTGCAATTTTCGCCAATTAAATTTTAATAATTGGTATAAAATCGATTTCTTGGAATATNTCTTTTTAATGCAAAAAGCCGTTTCGAAAAATCACTTTTAGTTCTTGTGAAACAAATTTTTGAAGTAATCAAAAATTTTTTTGAATTTTGCTATTTTCGCCGATTAAGTTTTAAAAATTCGTATAAAATCCATTTCTTGGAATATGTGTATGAAAATTTCCCAAAGTGTTAATGAAAGTGTCCTCTTTCCAATGAATCAACCCGTTTTGAAAAATAACTTTTAGTTTTTGAGAAAACAATATTCGAAGTTTTGATCAAATTTTCGATGTTGCAATTTTCATCGATAACTTTCAAAATTCGCTATAAAATTAATTTCTTGAAGGATCCTTGTGGAAATATCACCAATTATTAATTATAGTATCCTCTCTTTAAAGTTGCTTCGTTAGTTAAATCAGCATCAAAAAAGTTCATTTTATATCTTGGATCAAAATAAGTTGACATATCTTATCAGCTTTCTTATTAATTTCATTTTTATTCAAATATCGCAATAATGTGGCAGTATAGGGTATCACTTCAGAACTGCACCAGAAATGATAACCATAATGGCCGGATAGATATTCCGCATTTCCGGCCGAAGGGGATGCCGAATATCCGGCTTTTCTACAAATCACTATCCGTTCCATCACTTTCTAGGCAGCCGGCAAAATCTCGAATTTTCCTTGTGTAATTTTTGCTTAAAACTGACTGATAGCAACTTTTTGACGCTTCAATTTGAAAACACTTCTCCGAATTAAAAAATAGAGTATGGAAACATTCGGGTGTAGCATAAAAACGAAAGGCCAAAAAACTTTATTACTCTTACCGTTTTTTTTTATGTAATTTCTCAAAGATTAACCTTCCTCGAAATAACAAAAAAACCTTTGGTGATCCACTTTTAAAAACCTTGACGAAACCGTTAAAACTCGAAGTCATTAAGCAATGGCAACTAACGTTAACGCATCGCCGGTAGTTTCGTTGGCCTACATCCAACAATTAAATTTAACCAGTTTTAGATGGAACAATACCAGTGGGATTACTCAAAAGAGAATAATTATTTAATCAAGGTTTCAAAATTCTCCCACATTTTATCTTTGTTACAAAAAAGAATTAAAACGAATCTAATTTGAATCGGATCACTTCCTACATTGTATTTCTTTGAAGGTTTACCTTCAAGATCAAGGTTATTTTTATAAGTATCAAGACTTTTAATTATCACCACAACTAACACCTAAAACTAGAAACATTCGGGTTTATCCGAGCGTTTCTAGTGCTAGTGTAAGTTTTAGTTTAAAAATTATTTTATTTTATAATGTTATAATTGTTTCATTGGTTTATCGCTCAATTAATTTATAAAACTGGAGGAACCTTGAAGATAATTAATGATTAATTAATGAGAAGGAAGTTGAAAGGAAATAATTTTATTTATTTATTTTAGTTACGGTTTATTATAAATTACTAAATCGTCTAAGTTCCTTATTAATTATCACATTACGCAATCTTAATTTGTAAGTTAAATAATCGGTCGTATGATAAATGACGTTAGGTGATTAAAAAAAATGTTTCTAGGAAAGGGAAACAATTCAACAACCAACGTCATTATTGTCTTATAAATTGATGTATATACCTGGAATTACCAATAGATCGCTCGGAATGTTGCGGACGTACATAGCTAAATATGTACATTGTTCGATGACGTACATTTTCCGATTTACAAAACAAGTTAAATGAGTTTTATTTTATTCAAAAGAAAACTTATTATGTATCAGTCTTTGTATCCAATATTAAGTACAATTTTTAAGTAAAGAAATTTAATTAATCATTAATGATTCTTAAAAATTAACACAGCCCATTAAATAAAATCATATACAATTATAAACTTAAACTAACATCCAAACATTAATTTTTTACATTTTAATGTTTGCCGTTGTTGATGATGATCTTTCTCTGTGAAGTTGAAAAAGTTCAATGACGGAGAGTCTTTGAACCGTCGTTGGTTGAACGGTGGTTCCGGTGGCGTGGGTTCTTGGTGGTTCCGGGGGCACCGCCGCCGCTGCCGTGGTCAACGCCGATTCTTTTGAGAGTTCTCCGACCTTTTTCAATTGTTCCAAGGCCTCTTCGTACGTGGGCAAGCCGGAAACTATCGTGTAACTAGGCAAGGATTCGCATTCTGATACCGTTGCCTCTAAGTCTTCTCTTCTACGTTCTTCAACTAAAACAAATAAAAGAAATGTTTAATAAAAATAAAATATAACAAAAAAGTCTTTTTAGAAATTTATTTGGTTCGTTGGCGATTTTGTAATTTAATCCAAGGTTAAGAAATGTTTTAAGATCTTTTTAACATTAAAAAAATCGTCACGATTTATTAAAACTTATTCATTTCCTTTACAGTTTTAAATCAAATCCATGATGTAAAGATTTCTTAATGAATTTTTTTTTTGGATATTTTAAAAATAAACCTGTTGATTTGTTGAAACAACACCAAACCGTTTTTTTGAGATATTCAAAACCTTGACATATTAAAAAATTAAAAACTTCCACGAAACCGGATTCGCTATCTCAACGATTTATTAAATTATGTTCCTTTTCTTTTTGCGTGCCTTTTTTGCAGATTGATAGATTACACAAAGAAAGTGAATGATGTCACCCCGCGCCAGACTTTAAATGAGTCATCATTGCGTGGGTAGAAACTTTGCTTTTTCCCGTATAAAGAGATTGCGATTACACATAAATTGGACTACTTAGGAAATTGAGTCTGACCGGAAAGAAAAAGTAAGCGATAACTGTATATTGAACTTGGAAGGGAGCGAAGCGGAAGAGTGCTAAATTGAAAAGTAATGTTTAGGAGACATGCATCGCTAAGCTTTTTACTAATTAGTATGGTTTTGTTATCGTTTCAAAGGGGAGATTATCATAACCAAAATCATTCCTTGAGAATAATCAAAAATGTGCCTTTGAGATAATAAAAGTCTTGTGTTACTTTTAGTGACTTCCAATTTAATAGTGCAACTCAGTTTCGAATATCTCGATTAATTATAAAATTAAATTATTAATCAAAAATCTATTTTTGTTAAAAATTAAATAAGCAAATCAAGAAATGAAGAAACAATTTAATTTGGATTTCATTTTACACAGTTTCTATAAGTGGATTTAAATTGCAGCTTGTGTTAAAATCTTGTTTATTTACGTTAATAATTAAGTGTTAATGGTAATGTTTTTATTTAGTTATTTTCCGCTGTCTACTTTCTTTCATAATTTAACTAATACAATATTTTTCGTTCAAATAGTTGCATAAAGTTGGGTGCTAAACAACTAGGATAGTAAGAAAATATAATTAAAATGGAAAAATATTGGAAAGAAAAATATTATTGGTAGTTTATTTATTGACTCATCCCATAAAAACATTTTTCAATGATTTTGAAACAACTGCGACTTGGTCTCGAACAAGATAAACAATTTATTTAAAATTAGAATAATACTCAAATCTTAATTTAATCTTTTATTAACAATAATCTGATAAATGTAAAAAAACCTTTGCTATAAAGAATTCGATAATTTATTTATCATTGTTTAAAAGAAATTAACACCACTATAACAATAAAATTGAAACGTAATATCAAATCGATCAATTAGAATGTTACGCTTCAGTTTTGATAATAGTTTAAATTGACCAGACAAGCTCGTTGTATATTTTGTAACCACCATTTAAGATCACACGTTTATTTACGTAGACTATAACGAGCAAAACACTAAAATTAACCGCATGTGGCGAGTATTTGTAAAATTATTTAGCCACACGCTGCAAGTTCGGATTCTTTTTATTGACGGTTCGATTTTACATCGTTTTCGTCACCGATGTCGCGTCATAAAACGTACTAGGCTGTCTCGAGTACTGATTTAATGCGAAATTTAAACATTGAAAATGTAACAATGAGATTTGTAAACGATGATGTTTTAATTTTTTATGGAAAAGATTTTTTTAAGGAAATTTACTAAAACTTATAATGTCTTGGTAATGGAATCGTGCAAAAATTCGATTTCGAGATTTAGATGAATACTATTTGAGGGCACTTCAACTATTTTTAACAGTATGTGTATGCAAAAGACGTATATTACAAAAAAACTTTTAGAATAAAAGTTGTAGCAAATTCAATTGTTAACAATATTCCTCTCTTTCACTTTTACTGTCAGATGCATAGATATCACAAAAATTCGAATATATGAAAATTTGAGGAATTTGTTGCCTTTTCAAGATATTAAGGATAGCACTCGGGAATTGGAGCATGTTATAAGAAAACTTTTAGAATAAAAGTTTTAGCAAATTTTATTCTTAACAATATTGCTCTCTTTCACTTTTATTGTGAGATGCATAGATATTGAGAAAAATACGAATATATGAAAATTTGAGGAATTTGTTGCCTTTTCAAGATATTAAGGGTAGCACTCGGGAATTGGAGCATGTTATAAGGAAACTTTTAGAATAAAAGTTTTAGCAAATTTTATTCTTAAGAATATTGCCCTCTTTCACTTTTGCTGTCAAATGCATAGATATCGAGAAAAATTCGAAAATATTAAAATTTGACGAATTTGTTACATATTCAAGTCATTAGGGGTAACACTCGGGAATTAGAGCATGTTATAAGAAAAATTTTAAAACAAAAGTTGCAGCAAATTTTATTCTTAACAATATTGCTCTCTTACACTTTTGCTCTCAGATGCATAGATATCGAGAAAAATACGAAAATATAAAAATAAGCTGTGTTGCATAATACTTCAATTGTATCCTTTATTGAAGTTTTGAAAATCAGTAGATTAAGTCATACATCAGTACAAAATTTTAAAATATAAAATTGATGAGTTAATTCAAGGATTAAAATCACCGGATGTTTTTTGTAAGTTAAACCTAATAGATGTTAAGTATCCGCGGTATTTTGAAATTACAGTATTTTCTCAACATTTATTTTTCTTGCAACGTTTTTGCTAATATAATTCGATCAGTGCCATATTAAAGATGAGAAAATTGAGTGTGGGTCATTCCCGTTGTTTACAAGAACATTTTAAAAACATCTTTAAAAGTTAATTAAGAAAGATTGTTTTAAAAATATCTTTTTAAAACAATTAGTTTAGTTAGTTAGTTAGAATTAGTTTGAGTGTCATTTGAAAGTATCTCTTGAGAGTATCTAAATGTATTGTATATGAAATATGTTTCATAATAAATCGGTGCCAACTTTCTCTTGCCTTGACAGAGGAAAATTTTACAAAAATAAAATCACCATCATTTCAATTCAAATAACTCGGGTATTAATATTAAAATAGATAACATATTTTTTTATTAAACAAATTTAAATTGCATCTATTTATGCAAATTGTTGTCTACCTTGACTTATAGAAAAAGATATTAAAATTATTATTGTAAGAAAATTAAAACTATTAATTTCCATAACAGTTTTTATTTTTTTTATTGTTACCACGCAAATCATTCCTGTTATATCCTTATAACTGAAAGGTTACTCATACTTGGCAATGAAAAATTCATAAGAAATCGTAACTTTGTTTTCTTATCAACATTTCCTTTACAAAATGATAAAACAATGTGTCTTTGTTAAACTATTCCGAAGGTAAAAGCCTCGAAGCTTGTTACAAAAAAGAAATCATTTCACAAAGTTTTTTATTTGGCAAGAAAAAATCTCGGTGATATTGTTAAAAGATAAAAATTCTTTTGGCCTTGAAGACTACATCTCGAAGACTACAGCTGTTTTAATATATTGTGTTGAATTTAATTTTTTTTGTCCATAGGTTATTGTCGATCTGGTTTACCTCGATGGTCAGACGATAAACAAAAAGTATGGACACAAAACCAAACTGTGGTACAGGAGACTTTAGTAATTATCAAAAAAAAAGGAAATGAAGGTTGATTTTCAAAATTATTTTTGTGCCACAAAAAAATAGATTTTAATATGATGAGTAATACAAAAACAAAACCATTAACTTTAAGCAATTCACCAAAATTCTTAACATTTTTTTTATAAATCGTTTAAAAAATATTTAAAATAAATCTTACCACTTCTTTTCCATTGTTGAAATTTATGATAAAGTAAACAGCTGCACATACAGCAAACACAACACAAAACCATAAGGGTTAACACAATTCCCACCCACACATCTGCTAAAAATTGTTCGTATTCTGGATCTGTTTCGTGAGCTGATGGTAACTCATCATAAAAATCGAAGAAAAATGTGTAATTTTTCCGATGAAGTAATTTATCGACGGTATCTTTATCGTTAGGAATTTTAAAAGACACGCCAAATTCTTCCGCCATCCTCAAAATTCGATTTATAAACGATAAAATAAAATTTTATTTTATATAGATGAAGTTAAGTTGATTCTCGTGCCGCAACCGCACCGGTAAAAATGAGCAAAGCAGTTCAACTTGAAGATTATATGCGTGTTCTCGACCAACTGTTGCTCTCCCACTACTTTAGAAGGTTACTACAAATGTGATTTTTCGCTTTGGTACGTGTGATATCGCAAGTGAGGTACTTACTACGTGTAAACGTTTACACATTGGTCATCAACTCATTAAACATAGACAAAAAAATTATTAATTGGTGTTGTAAAGTCGAACGGATATTTTCATTATTCGTCATTATTTATTATTGCAGTTGGATTATGTTAGAGTTAAGATAAGAATTGTCATAATTAAAAAGGTTTTTTTAAGTCATTGTTGAGATTTTATAAAAAAATTAAGAGTTAAATGAACTGTAAAGAATTGTGAAATGTTGAATAAGAGAAAGATATTGTGATTTTTTTCTTTATTATCGGAATTGAGTTCGTGGTAAAAGCTGTGAATCATTTTTTTCTTTAATTTTATTGGTTTTAAACATTTATCTTATAGATTCTCTGGGTATTTTCATTTTGACATAATCCATTTTCTAAAAATTTATATATTCTAATCTCCATGTGACATCATCGTGCTTCAGTAATTAATTACATGAAATGTAAAAATAGCACAGGAAAAACTTCATCACCTAGTATTATTGCAACACCTCATGATTAGCATCTTTTGGATAACGAAAAGGCAACTCTTCAATAGCAATAAAAGGAATAACTAAGAAATAAAGCAAACGATACTTTTATGGAATCCTATTTCTGCGAAATAACACACTGCCTAACAAATGTCAGTGCAGATTGCGCAAATATTTCGACGTCAAATCTCCATCAAATAATAAAACCGAGTGTTCTAAGACTGCTTTCTGGTCATCAATGTTGGGTGTGTGACCTACTCTTCATTTCATTCTGTAATAATGCATTCATTGAGTCAATATACATTCCCCAGCCTCTTAAAGCAACGATACAGACTCCAAAGAGCTACAATTTAACAATAATTCAGCTATCAGCTTAACCAGAAGATATTGTAATTGTAAACAATGATGGAAAATATGATGGAAAAACTCAGATGAAGAGAAGAGAAACTTTTGAAATTTTAAATTGCTAATAACATAAATTATTATAAATTGATAACTTTAAAGTTAAAAAATATCATTAAACTCCTGTAACGCTTTTAAAACCATACTCATACATAAAAATTTGTAATTACGTTATTGGTAATAGATAGCATATCTGATTGTACTCCATGTCAAAATTCTGACATATGTCAAACAGATTTTAAGTTTGGTTATGTTTATCTTGATGCATTTATCTTTATTTATTTGTTTTAGAAGTAACAGTTTAGTAATAAAGTTTGTAAGTTATTTATTGCCTAATTACAATTTCATATTTATATTATTTTTTGCAGAATTAACATAAATTGAATATAAATTGTCATTGGAATTGGTTGTTGGATCCCTTAAGCTTTGTATTAAGCTAAGTTTCCTAAAAATCCGTTCTTACAATCATCATGGAATGTAATAAAACACTCTTCCTTTTAAATTATTTTTGAGTTTGCTACATCATCCTCATAAAACTAACCATGAACCTGAGAATTCTTTAATAATGTTGGTCTTCAATGCAACAAAGTAAGATGTTTCATATACAATTTTTTAATAATTATTCTTCTTTTATTGATTAATGTTCCATGCAAGTGGTTCATTAGGACTTTTTTAGGTTGGATTATTTATTTTCTCATCCTTGGATTAACCTACAAATTTAAATAAGCATTAGCTACAGAAGTGTTGAGATCCAAATTATGCCTTGTCAAGTTTGGAAATTATGAAACTAATCTAAAATTAGTTAAAACTCAATAATTTGGTAATCAAAAAAACTGGGTTATGTGTAATAATTTACAAACTCTGATACCTAATCACATTAAAAGTATTTGATTACATGAAACTTGAATTGCAAAAATTCCCTGCAATGAGACTTACATAATTCCTATATTGAATTAATTTGTTCCCAAAACGCTATATTTTCCGTTACCTCTTTAACCTATAAAATAAAATGATTTATTTTTAGATCAGTCCAAATTTTAATAGATCAAGGTTTCATAAAGTTTACAAGTATTACATGATTCATGTTTTACCGTTATATTGCATAATGGATTGAAATTTACGACCCATAACAACGTTAATTCTCCCCTAACAATATTCATAAATGCACTGCAGTAAGCAAAGTTTAGATACATATTAGTTGAGAGATTTTAATGTAAATAAAACAGTTTATATTTCATTGTTCGTTTTATCAAAATTATAATCTCAATGCGGATATTTACTCAACATCAAAGATTTCATTGCGAAATTAAAATCCCATTCATTCGTGTAAGAGTAAATTTTATAAAAAAATTGGAATGAAGTGTATGTGACCCAAATTGCATTGTTAATAAATATTTGTAACTTAACCTTAAAATGGAGAAAGAAAAAACGTAACAAAAATCCTTTATTTATTAATTATCTTAATAATCCTTATAAAAATATAATAATTACATTATATCAATAAATTGGCGTCTATGGCATTCGAAAAAAAAACCACCAAAAGTACACTTAATCGCGCCGAATCTTTCATTGTAGGCTTCACAGAAGCAATTCTACACAGCGCTATAAATCCATAAATCACCTTTTTACATTTTTTATTCTTAACTTTGTCAATTTTATTTTTTGTTATGCCACTATGTGTTGGTTGGTCCCTAATGATTTGGTTGAGTTGGTCATTTTCATTGCTTCGTCGTATGTGGGTAACCCGGAGGCGTCCGTATACGTGGGGGGAACCCCCAAATAACTTGGCCTGTTATCACATGGTGATGGTGGATAATAAGGCACTTCTAAGACACCGGGTTGTGGTAAAATGTACGGCGATCTGCTTAGTTGTGTGTTCACATCGTGGTTATAAAAAACTGAAAAATAAAAATAAATAATATCATCTCAATTTTATGCTTGATTAAGTTTATAAAAGATTGTTGGGTTTAAAAATAAATAAGTAATTTAAAATGTATTTTTTAATGGATTGTTTTTGACTTGTATTTGAAAAACATTCATAAGTGTTGTGAAAAACAATGTGTTTGTTAAGGTTAAATTTAAAAATAACTTTAGTTTTCATATCTTGAAGAAAATCTTTCAAAAAAAAAAAAAAAACAAGTTTATGTTAATTTGCTTCTAATATATACAATTTATATGATTAGATATTGTAATAATCATATCAAGTGAAGGTAAAGATCGATTAAGTAAGTGGAATAATAATTTTCTGATGCAAAAAGTAAGAAATTTTACTAATTCAAAATTCTTGTTTTCGCTATAAATCTCTTTTAAGACAAGTACTTCTTTAAGAGTATCTAAATTAACACGTAAAGTAATATATTAATAATTAAAATATATAAAAATTGTTTGAAGATCAGTCCCAAAATCAACAGGGAATTTTGTTATATCATGTTTTGAAATTAACATCTGTCAAAGTGACGTTTGAATTTATGTTATTCAAGTATTGGTTATTTTTATACACAAATAATTGAAATAAAATATAATATAAATTTTTTAAAGTCAAACATGTAGGTACCGAAAATATTACTAAACATCAGAAAATAAAATAAATTTTATAATAACCCTACGGAATAGAAAAAATCCTAAAATTTTGACTTTGACAGATAAAGGAAGAAAACTGTAATATGTTTGGCAAAAAAATTTGATTTTGAGAATTTAAAAAATGATGTGAATTTATTGGATTTGTAGAAAACTTTGAGGACTTTTTCTGATGTTCTCTACTTTGCAGATAACCTCGTAAGTTTAGCGAAATCAAATCTGGTGGTTTTCGGCAATCTCGATTCAATGCAGAGATAATGCATACGTTATATGTATAGAGTTATCTAGGTTGAGATTTGATATAAATATGGTTTTAGATGAAGGAAAGATCAGGCTTTCTAGTGATGTATTTAATATTCCACTATCTCTAAGTACAACGAAGATAAGAATATGGAAAGTACGTTGAAAAATAGAGATTAAGAGTTTGTTGTTTGAGATTTGTCGAGCATTTTGTGATTTCGATAGGAGAAACTATGGCGAGTCAAATAACGTATAGATCTCGATAATCGAGTACTTTATTTACAAGTTATTACCATTTAAAACAGGTCATTTTTGCGTTATTTCGAACCTTTGCAATATTTTGGTGTTTTGGCGGAATTTGAAAGAGATTTCGAATCGGGCATTTCCACTTTGCTTCTTACTCAGTTCCTCAACGAAAAAATTAATCTGTGTGAATGATTAATAATCATTGTGCTATTATCACTGATTGTTTCACTTTATGATTCTTTATGAAATCAACTAATTGTTTAAATATTTCTTTTTTAATATACTCATTTCCTGTATGACGCATTTCCTACAATAACATAATCGAATCCCCTTTTCAAGCTGTTTATACAAGAACCACCATAAAAAGTGAAATCAATAATTGTTTAAAAATTACTAGATTTTGAAATGTAATAATTTTTATGATTACTATTGTTAGTTTTTGTGCAACACATTATTTCAATAAAGATTAAGGCATTGTTTTTTCCTTGAAAATCCGTCCCGCTTATTAGTGAAGCTATTGTTGAAATTTAATAACCAATTTTATCGTTTCGAGTTTTCATTCATGTGCCTATTGTAGGTAGTTATTACATAAGAAATCCTAATTGTATTCAGTTAAATTTCTTGACCCATATGAAAATTTTATTCTCAAGGTCGGCTTTTAACTTAGTTTTCACTTTCATTACAAATGGAAAATTTGATTATTCTTAATTAATTTGAAACAAAAAGTCGTCGACCTTCAGAAAACCCAACTTTTATCTCAATTTGCACTAACGTTTCTGTTATTTTTTCTTTTATTTAAATGTAACTAGTTTTTTGTTGTTTAATTTTGTAGAATTCATTAATTTTGTCCTTGTAAAAAAAAATCACCAGGGATTTCTCTGCGGGCGTTGTCGCTTTTTTCTAATTAAATTAAAAACAATTATAGACAAATGGACCGGGAGAATCATCCCGATGACCTCATGATTCGTTAAAACGAACGAATTTAAAACGGAATTAATATCAATCGGAGAGGAAAACTTTGCATACGGTTTATATTCTCGGAGGCGTTTTAACGCCTTTAGCCTTGACGACGTCGTCGTCGGTTTTAATATTTTTCTTTGTTGCTTATTTTAATCGTGAGATCACCGTTCGCACCTGAATAAATAAATTTAATTATTAATTATCGTATCCACAAAGAATTTTATTTATTTGTTCTTTTGAACCCAACAATCTCAAAAAAAAATAAATTTTCCCAACTCACCGTTTTCTGGATCATTTCCAAACTCATTACTCTGTCGGCAACAAAATTTTCTTAACAAATCCAAAACGAATGCGAGAAAAATAATTATGACCACGTAGATTAGAATGGCCAGTATATGTCTTTGAAAACCGTCAAGAACGGACACCATCGACCGAAAACAGCTGCTCCGATAAAAAAAATATAATTAAAACACCGACTTTTAGGTCGCAAAAAAATTTGTTTCGAATTTAATTCAAAATCACCACGTGTTTTTTAAACGATTTAATCTTTTACGCACACTACACGGTGTTAACTGCGTCTTTATCGCAATATCGACTGGAGAAATCGCGAACGTCGCTTACGTTTTAAACGAAACAGAGTTGTGTATGTGTAGTTGAGACCCTGTGGAAACGAGGAGGTGGTCGACGTCTCGACGAAGACCATCGTCGTCGTCGATATCAGTTTTACTCGCGTGTAATTGTACGCCCAATGGCCCGTTTTATTTATAGGTTGGCATAGTTTTTGTCTTTGTCTGAATGCAGTACAAGAACACATCAATAATTAAATTCAAAAAAATACATCAATAAAATACTTATTTCAAAAAACACCGAATTCAATTGTGTTAAACAAAAACGATTAGTTTATTGTAGTGTGCGTCATTGATGAATTCCTAGATTTAAAATGTTTCTCAATACCTTGAAATAAATATAGACTCTTTTAGGTAAATAAAATAAACAGAATTTTTAGAACAATCTTGATTACTCATTTCGTTAAATTCTTATTTAACAAACAAATTTTTTTCTTTCCACTGTAATTAAGACAAGCAGAATTGTTATTATGAGGTCGTTGAGCTTCCCATGCTGACGAAGTGGCTGATTCTCAATTCTTGTAATTTGTTAGCGAGTTCTGTGAAATTCACGCTTGCTTTAATGACTGCAATTGTAGGTCTTTAACGATTATCTTCTAATTTTCAAACTTATAAAAGACACTTTCATTACACATCAAAAGCTGCAATGGGCCGACCACGTGCAGCGGAAGGAAAAACGAGAAAAAGCTGGGAGAATGCAGTTGATGAGTATATAAGTCGTTCATGAAATTTGCGATTGCTGAGATAGACAATTTGTCTATGACATCAACATATATACAACATATATCAATTCAATCCAACGCACCGAAAGTTCATGTGTTTTTAGAATTATCTGCAGATTTAGCTTTGATGTGCTAAATTATTATGATAGGCCTAGAATTATTTGATAGTTCCGAACTTCACGCATGTCCTCGAGATATATTTTTACAGAATAATTTGAACCACTCCCACACAGAACAATGGGTGCAGCTTGTAGACAAGAATCACTATAGATCTTTGTATAAAAAAATAATTACTTCTAGATAACTTTGAAGTAACAAGTTTAATGAAATGTTTATTTACTAAATAGGAGAAAATGATATTTAGGATTTTAGTTCAATAAGAAAAAAATTTTCAAAGTAAAAAAAAATAAATAATAAAACAACAAACGAAAGGAGTTAAATTTCGAATGTAAAAATAAAATGAGAACATCTTCCAAAAAAGTTCAACGTTCGTTAAATCGTAAACACGAAACACTTTGTGTTTGTGGCGTTTATTTCGTTTCGAATCTTATTTTTACATTTAAAAGTCACGACTGAACAAGAAAAATATCGATCTTTGTGTTTACTTTTTTATTCATCCACCTTTTTGTAAAGGATTAATAATGATTTAATTTAATACGTATAATTATCTTTCTTTTATTATTTATAGGCATATACAGGATACAACATACACAATTATTTAATTAATTAATTACATATAGTGAATCTCAACAGTTTTCTTTTAATCTGAGCCTTAACAACACCAAAAGACGTATCCTACAGTCTTTTTGAAATACATAGCTAATTAATCTCTCGTCGATGATTGTTATAATAACCATTCTACAGTAAAAGCGGGTGAAACCACTAATAATAATATTAATTAACAGAATTCAATAATAATTTCTGTATACGTTAACATTGCTTTTTCGTTTTTCTACAATACATAGATCGTGACAGTTAGAGTTTTAATTGTAGAAGACAAAGAATCACCGAAGACTTACTGTATGACTAGTATTGAATCAACACCGCAAAAATTATATTTTACAATTTTTTTATACAATAAATTACTGGATAAAACGTTATAAAAAAATGGAAATTTTAAATTCCTTGGAAAAGATTTGTTAAAAAGGAAGTTTACGATTTTAATGATTAAATGAGATAAATTAATTTTAATTTAAAAAAAAAATACTTTGATATGTTCTAAATCTTTCACTCTAAATCAATTATTTTTTAACATAGAAGTGGAATGTGATTTCCAAACCGAAAGAAATAGTTTTAAAAAAGTCTCCATCCATTAAAACTAGCTAACTAAATTATTATAAAAAAGGAAAACTTCTTAATTTGTATACATATTTTCACTTACAATTAATTTACAACTTATTTAAATATTTTTTTGTCTTTAGAGTCTCACTTATTATCTAATTTAGATACACGATCAATAATGAGGAGGAAATTATATATATATGTAGGGATTTTTGCACATACGAGAGGTGGAAGTCGTAATACTCAAGGATTATTGTGTTTATTTGGATGTTTTTTTTAATTTTCATATATTATTATTATTATTCTACGAAGAGGGTCAGACGTTGCTATCAAACATTGGGGGCCCTGTGAAGCTCATCGGCTGAGCATTATTCACTAGATTAGAGCGCATGTTTGTACTTGTTGTGTTACTTGTTGGTGGATTCGCATTTGGAACTCCCCTTTGATCTCCAGCTTGCGCGTTTGCCCTCATTTCTTCTACAGTTGCCCTTGAAAAGAAATAAGAACGATTTAATTCACTCAAAATAAATCGAAAATTTTAAAAGAAACAAACTAATTTAATTCAGCTTCTATGTGCTTTTTTATTCGGCCTGAAAGGAAATAAAACATAACTAGATGAGGTTAAGAATGTAGAAGGGTGTCTAAATGAACGAAAAATAAAGATTAAAGCATGCAAAGAAAGCTCTAATTACAATTAAAAACTTTGTTTGAATACTTCTGGTTAAAATTTTTATGTGGGACGCCAAACATCGGGGTCCTCCATGAGTGTAGACCGAGGATCCCCGGTTGTTACAGTAGAAGGAGATTGTGGAGAAGCCATAGCTGCCATATCCTGCCTAGACCCTCTGCGTTAGACATGGTAGGGAAAGTTATGATGCGATTATTATTAATTAAGCAATAATTAATTTTAATTAACAAATTGTTTTTAAGCTAGATAATTAGATATAGATAGCATCAATAATACACATTGTTTTTACAAGATAAGATACTCACTTTTTTCCTAAAGCCATCATCCCATAAATAACTCCCGTAAGGAAGATAAGACCTCCTCCAAAAATGCTACTAAGTCCAGTACAAAAAATAACGGGCGGAATCGAAATACTAAAACACAACATTAATTTTAAATCAAATTTCCAAATACAACAAAAATTACCAAACGTATATAATCGCTTTGTTCCAATACGGTCTATTATCAATCCATTCGCTTACATTTTGAACATAATCTAAAAACATACAGCAACAAGGAGCCTCGAAACAAATAAGAGTAAATCCGGCCAAAACTTGTAAAATTCCACCAATTAGACAAGATATGTTCATTGTAATTACAGATAAGGTTTCCACTAATCCTAATATTATGGCAACTAGGAAATAAATGTGTTAATTATAAATTTGGGCGCAATTAAATGATTTTTAACTTACTTATGCCACCCACAGTCCCAACACCTCTTCCAGCATACCTTAAATACCAAGGAACGTCGTCTTTGGCGTTCGGGTCTTGACCCGGCCTCGCCATAAGCGATGCTACTTTGTCGGAAAACGACTAAAATCAAAGATAAAGTGTCAAAAAAACGTTATTTACCAACAAATTTATTGTTTTAATTGTTTACCATGTTCCTAACCGTACGGCGAATGACGTTATGACAATTTGATCTGACAGCTGTCAATAACTGTACTGATTAACGGCTACCAACTATTTATTATAAAACACACCAAAATATAAATTTTATCAATACATATATTTGTTAAAAATATATAATAAAATGTATATTTATTTAAATATAATTATTAATAAGATGCTTATTTATACCATAATATCTTAATATAACAGTATTTATGCCTCAATTAAAAAAAATTTATTGCCAACTTAAAAAAAATTAGAATTCATAAAAATTTGCTTCAATTTTAAAAATTTAACATATAATATTGTTTTAAATAATATTAATTTCATTAAGTAATATTTATTAAGTAATATCAATCAATAATTAAAGATAAAAATTATTTGTTATGTAAAAAAAGAGGTTATGACACATAACCTATAAAACTCATCTCAAAGGTTCCAATAATAATATTCTAAGTAGTTTAACAAAGCGATGACTTTTATTGATTATATATCCGACTTATCGTCGAATCCGTATTTTGGTGCTGGGTTTGGACTTTTTGGATTAGGAGCTGGAGCGGCGATTCTTCGAAAAGGTTTACAAACATCTCTTATACTATTTCGAAGACATTACATGATCACATTGGAAGTACCGTGTAGAGATAAATCCTACCAATGGTTACTACAATGGATGACTCTTAAGGGGGCGAAACAGACGCAGCATTTAAGTGTAGAAACTAGCTTTGAACAAAAAGATACGGGTTATGTTAAAACCAAGTACGATTTCATTCCAAGTGTGGGGACGCATTTTTTTAGGTATGTATTCTAATTAAATAAGCATCGTTCATTTATTTTAAGCATTTATTGATTACATCATAAGAGTAGATAAATATAATGTACTACGGATCTGTTTAAGGTAACTCCTTATTTGCATGAATCGAAGAGTCCTTTTTCTCTCATTTCATCAAATTCCTTATCAATGTCATACTCTCTAAAGTATTGGGCGGTTCGGTTTTTGTATTGTACATTATGAAAGAAATGGAAAAGAAGACCAGCACCTGCTGTAAGCACGAACGTAACCGCTAAATTCATTTTTGTTTGATTATGGAATAAATTCCGTAATTGGGGTTTTGGTATCTTCGCACATTGGTCTGCCATTTTCTTTTATTGTTCGATACAACTTCTCGATGTGATTCGAATTTATACTGAGTTTGGATCACTGAAAATGGTTTACAGATAAGATTCTGTCAATCAAACTCAATATTCATTTGTTTGTTCAGGATTATTTGATAAATACCTGCCTACGTGACTTGATAAGAGGAGCTCTCTCTAGTTGTGTTCACCCACTTCAATTTTTTTGGTAGTCGTTTTCCAAGTTGGTATAGGAAGTGGGTAAATTTAACTATGACGTAATTTGTGGTAATAAAATGGTCATGAAAAACCAACAAACTTTACAGTTCTAAGAATTTTATTTATCTAATACGTTAGAGTAGAAAACTTCACTGGTCAAGTCTCAAGCTATAGTTGGGCTGATATTGATTAGTATTCCCCCAGTTTCTTCTTCATCTAATATTGGAATTTTTACGACCACAGTTATAGTGTTGTTGTTGTCAGAAAAAAAAGTTACTACGCAACCTAAATATTTTTTTCGCGAAGTTTATTAATACTTACACGCAATTACAAAGGAACCGAAATAAAAATGTTGAAAATTTATCTTTATGATAATATTATCTTATTAAAGATAAAGAATGGGTTATATAACTGGTTTTGTTGATTTTTTGTTCATGAAAAAGGTGTCTTAATAATCCACCCCATTGATCTTTTAAGTTTTAAAAACTTTTCTTTTTGATTCATTTTTTTATTGATTTTCCAACGTTAACTGATAACGAGGTTATGTTTTATTCAAGAGTGTTGTATTTAGATTTTATATATAATTTAACTCACAAATTGTTGAAAACAAACGTTGAGAAAGTATTTCTTTTGAATGTAACCACCTTCATTACAAATTTTCTACAAGATTTTTTAAATGAATATGTTAATATACAGGTGGTTCAAATTCGATGTCCGAATAGACTATCTCGATCTCTTTTTTTTTTAAATTCCAATGTCGAAAATCTCAAAGCGCTATCGTCTTTTGCTTTTCCTCTAGAGGCCAAAATTGAAAATATCATAAAACCAGCTAATGCAATTATCTTGGTTATTATTATAAGTAGAGTATAATAACTAAGACATTATATGGACACTTTTTTACAGAAATTTGATGACGCAGTCAAAAAAAATTGTTCTATGTTAGATTTGGAGATATGACAATTTTCCACTAATTATTTGCTTATTAAGTTCGTTATTTTTTTCTGATTACAAAAATATAGGGTTCGACAGGCCTATTTCTTATTGTTTTAGAATAAAGATAAAAATAACCTTTTTTTTAGTGTTGTCGAAGGAATTAAATTTACAGTTTCCTGTAAATTACGGTACTAACAAAAAATTAAAAAAACATATTTTTCCAATCCAAAACAATGCAATCCATTAAATATTTCCGTAATAAACATAATTATTTGTTTTTAAATACTAGAAGATATCTTCTTATTTAATTGTTAACTTTTTAGATTTTACCTACCGCCCCGTAATTTACAGGAAACTGTAAATTTCTTTTTTTCGACGATACTACATTTCGGCGGCGTTTAGAAATTTAGAAAAAAAGTTTATTTTAAATTAAGAAAACATATTTTCAAACTGGGAGAAAAGAGGTTTATTTTTATCTTTAGAGCCATAGATGAATGTACAGGATTCATCTAAGGCTCACTCTTGGTTGTATCTTGATCTCCATCCATCCTTCTCCCGAACTGGCCCAAATATTCTTCTCAAGATCCTTCTCTCGAAGATATTCACGCTTTCCACCGAATTTTGCATCAGCGTTTATTCCTTACTCCTATAGCTTTAATACAAATAAAATAAAATACGCTCTATTGGCCAGGACTCATCTCCTTTTCTGTACCCAGCCCACCAAGAATTCTACACCAAGATATATAAAGTGAGGCACCGCTTCTATGTTGTCATTTATCGCTGTCTCGATATTGATGTTTCTCCTCGTCTGTAGCAGTAACTGTGTCTTCTCCGTGTTCATCCTAAGCCCCACCGCTTCAGCACCATGTTAATATACAGGTGTACTTAAATAACATCCACGAACTTTAGGCGATAATGGCAAACAATGTACCGCCTCGGCCGCAAACGAGCTTGGCTTACTACACGAGGTGGCTTGCGGCCGAGGCGTTATAATTAACACCAAAAAAATTTTATTTTACTTAATTCGTGTATGATCAAATATTTAATTAATTTTTTTTTGTAGTTATGGAGGAACATGGATAAGAGTAGAACGTACAAGAGAACAACACACTTTAGATCTCCACATGGGTGTCCCATGGGAAACTGTAACATTAACAGCTTTTGGTCGTAACAAAGCGATTTATTTCAACATATTGGAAGAAGGTGGGTAACAAAAATTTATTTTAATTTTCTTTACAATAAAAAAAGATACAAATAACTCGCATAACATAAAAATTTAAATCTCGTCATTGCACCAAAAGTATTCGAATTATTTTCAATATTATCTCTTTGACGAAAATTGTTAACCCTTAAATTGTAAGACATGAAAACGTTATCGTTTAAATTTGCAGTTTGGTCCTCTGTAAATTGAGCTAATTGTTCATTAGTCATTATATCTAAAATGTTTGTTGTTAACCCTTGGAAAACTTGCGAGTTTAATTTTTTAAATTCTTTTGGTTTAATGATTATTACAAGTAAAGCGAGTTTTTCAAATATTTCTTTTGTCCATACTTCTAAAGGGCCGTAAGTATCCGGTCTTATTGCGATATTTAATAAAACGTTAACTTGTTCTGAAGTACACGGCCAAATATTTTCAAACACCTCTTTATTAATATTAATAAAAACATCGCTTGGGATGTTAGATAAATCAATTTCGGGAAATCCACAAATTAATCCTCTTAATTTATTTATTTTTTCCGAATCTTTAAGAATTTCTTTGTTACTTTTTTTAATCATATAAGATAAAATAGCAGCTTGACGTCGTTTTAAATACTTTAATGTTCCTAAATACTTCACCAAATCATCTTGGTGGATGTTAAATTTAACAAGTTCATGTTCGGGGATGTCGTACCATAAACCATTCGTTTCTTCAAGAAAATGTCGATTCATTCTTTCTATCGGAACACGTTTTCGAATTAAATCCCAAATAATCATCTTTTTTTGATCACTCAATAAAGTCATATCGATCAATTTCAAATTCCCCATTATCACGTTATAAGGAATTTTAAGTATTTCATCATCATCCCCGGTTAATAAAGTTTTTATAACAATTTCTTGGGGAAAAACGATCTCGTTATAACTTTTAACCGGATTATTTTTCGTTGTATTTTTTATTAAATTAGTTTTAGTTCCAAAATCATTCGAATACTTTGAAATGTTTTGAATTTGCGTTAAATTAACGCGTCTTATAATCTCTTCTATAGGAATATATCCGATTGATTTATTTGTTAATGATTGTATATGTTTCTTGTTAAACCCATCATTTTCATTTTGACCACTTCTAATTAACAGTAAAATAAAAATTAAAATCATAATTTTGTGTCAAAATTAATAAAAATTTGATTGATGATTCCTTTCAAATTGATGATAAGCACATTTTTGTTAGCCAGACAGATGGCGCTTAAAAAACACGAAGGAAAAACGGTGATGTACACCGCGATGGGGAGTGAATGGAGATTGTTTGGACATCCAAGAAAAAGAAGACCCATATCTTCAGTCGTTTTAGATAATGGGGTTAGTGATAGAATTCTTCAAGATTGTAAAGAGTTTATAAATAACCCCGGGTGGTATACTGAAAGAGGGATTCCTTATAGGAGGGGATATTTGTTACATGGTCCACCAGGATGCGGAAAATCTTCGTATATCACAGCTTTGGCGGGAGAATTAGAATTTGGAATTTGCGTATTAAATCTTTCAGAGCGGGGTTTAAGCGATGATCGATTAAATCATTTATTAAGCGTGGCCCCCGTTCAAAGTATCATTTTATTGGAAGATATCGACGCGGCTTTTGTATCGAGAGAAGATACTGTTCAACAAAAAGCTGCTTATGAAGGATTAAATCGAGTTACTTTTAGTGGATTATTAAATTGTTTGGATGGTGTTGCAAGTACTGAGGCGAGAATTGTTTTTATGACGACGAATTATTTAGAAAGGTAAAGAATTTCTTAATCAATATATTTTTTTTGATACCATTGCACCTACGTTTGTTAACAGTTCTGCCAATTATAAATTATCCTAAGTATACAATCTAGAACGAACAATTTTTGTATAAAATTCTATATTTTAAACAACATTTTAATAACGTGGATGCAATGAAACCAAAAAGAGTAGGGGGTTACCAACATTTTGGTTAATTATTTAACATTCTTAGACTTGATCCGGCTTTAATTCGTCCTGGTAGAGTCGATTTAAAAGAATATATAGGTTGGTGTTCCCCTCATCAATTAGAAATCATGTATTTAAGATTTTATAAAGGAGAAACAGCCGGAGAAGAAGCAAAAGAATTTGCGGAAAAGGTATCAAAGTTTAACAAAAACGTAAGCCCAGCCCAAATTCAAGGTTACTTCATGTTTTATAAACAAGCCAGTACTAAAGATATATTAGGAAATGTTAAACTTATTTGGGAATTGTAATAATTTATTTAATTCATAAAAAAATTGTTATTTCTTCTTTTTATCGAATTTCCCATTCTTTTTTCCTTTCTTTTTACGGTATGATCCCTAACCATGACGGCACATCGTTCCTCTCCACCAAGGTTGTCGGGGTTGCTATTGGTGAGTTTTAAGCAAAAATTACACTAGGAAAATTCGAGATGTTGTTAGCTGCCTAGAAACATTCGGGTTTAGCCACACTTCTCTCAGTATGGCTAAACCCGAATGATTCTAGTTCTTGGTCTTGTGTTAGTTCTAGTGATAGTTCTAGTTTTAGTTCAATAAAAATATGCAACATAGTGATATTTTATGCTAACTAGCGCCACCAATCACCTACCAGCCATCTTAAGAGAGGTACAGCTAAACGGAATGTTTCTAGTTCTAGCTCTAGTGTTAGATCTAGTGCTAGTATTAGTCTAGTTTTGTTTGATATTCAGCGCTAGATTATTCTATATTTTTATTGAGCTATAACGGTCACTGCCTTCCCCCCTATTAATTCGTTATATCAAGGTTTTAGTCAAATTATATACAAAAGAATTTAAAGTTGTCAAAGTTTAACAAAAACGTAAGCCCAGCTCAAATTCAAGGTTACTTCATGTTTTATAAACAAGCCAGTACTAAAGATATATTAGAAAATGTTAAACTTATTTGGGAATTGTAATTATTTATTTAATTTATAAAAAAAATCTTATTTTTTCTTTTTATCGGATTTTCCATTCTTTTTTCCTTTCTTTTTACGATACGGTCCCCAACCATGACGGCACATCGTTCCTCTCCACCAAGCTTGTATTTTAGTGGCGGCCCGAGATTGTATTATAAATAATTTTTCTTTTTCTTCGCGTAATTTCCTTGCGATTAAATAATCTATAATTTCTTTTTGTTGAGAATTATACTAAAAAAGTATAAAATGAGTAAAATAAATATTAAAAGTTGTTTCAAAAAACCTTTTTTGTTAACACTTCAATTTGGTCTTGTACAAATTCTTTGTCCCTCATTGCCAATTGAATCTTTGTATGCATTTGTGATAGATCAATATCGAATTTATTCGACCACTTTTCAATTGCTTTCCAATAATCGGCCATTTTGGCGGTTTGAAACGAAACTATTTGTTCGTGAATTAAATTTTCTTCCAATTGAGCTAATTGGGTTCTTTCCAAATCTTTTTTGATTTGTTCTCGTTGTAGTTTTAATTTCATTCGGTGTTGAAATTGTCTTGCTTCTTCCCATTTTGTAACATAACGAGTTTTAATTTTATTTTCAATTAATGTATCCTAAAATTAAAAAATTAATTTAATTCATTTCAAAAATTATAATTACTTCATAAGCATCTTTAAGACGTCCTAATTTATTACTAAGCGTTTCAATATCTTCTTTCATTCTCATTTTTTTATCATCAACCTCAAACGATAAATTTCCAACTCGTACTTTCATTATCGTCGAGCTGTTGAGTGTTTCTAACATTTCGGTGCTTTCGTTGAAAAGTTTGCTGGTTAATTTATTAAATTTGGTGGTGTTGTTGTTGATGGAAATGTCTTTTATTGCGGTGGAAATTAAATCTTCAATAAAGAGGCGATCTAAATTATATTTTGTGGTGTTGTTGTAAAACGGAGATTTCATTAAATCTTTGTGGGTTTTAAAAAATGATTTTAAATGGTTTATATCACCCGGAGCTTTAGGTCCAACAATCCCTAAAATTTGTAATTTTCGTAAACATTCGGTTAAAATAGTAACGTGAAGTGAGCTTGTCGTTGATTTATTTTTAAATGAAATTCTTCGTTTCTTTTTTAAATTTTCGTTTACTACACTGGGAGTTTTATCAAATATTAATTTTGGCTCGATTTCCTCCATTGGATACTCAATTTCTTCAGATTCTATTTCTTGAGATTCCAATTCATCCTCACATATCATCTTTCTTAATGATTTACTCTCCCATGTATGTTTCTGAACTTCGACGATATTAATTCTTTTTGGGGAAACTCCCGAGACTTTGGGTGAAGATGGTGGAGTGTCCATTTTGATACTTTTCACAAAACTTGGTAATTTTAATAAAACACCATGCAAAAAAATTATTTTACACCCCAATTAGGTAAATTTTGGGTAAGTACATTGATTTTTTTTTTATGGAACTTGATAATTTTTCAGCACCACATAAAATAAATCCTTAATAGTTACCCCCAAACAAGTAAATTTTGCTTAAAATCCACTTATTAATACATTGGGGAATTGGGTAGTCTTTTATGTTGAAATTTTATTTAATTGTCAATAATAGTAATGCCATAGTAACGACTTTTATTGATAATATTTAGGCAACCAAAATTACAAAATTGCGTAAATTGGGTTGCATACTTCATAATTATTATTTCTTCAGGTATGGGTTTGGAGTTTAAATTTTGGTCCATATCATACTCCAGCAGCTGAGGTTCTAGTTTAGTTTGCTATATTTCTTCAGCTCCTATCCTGCCCCGTGGATTTTTTTCTCTTATTTTCAATTCAATACAGTAACAAGCAAAACCTAAAAGGAAACAAAAAGATAGGATGTAAATAAGGAGGTTCTTCTGCGAGCCAGAAGTCCAGTGACTCGTTTTATGGAGGTCTAGGGGGACCCTCGGAATCATGTCACGATTAATGCATGGTCCATTCTTAATCTGACCATGAGCGTGGAGAACTGTCGCGATACTTCTAGCAAGTTCATCCACTTCCTCGTTACCCAGTACGCCGACGTGCCCCTGAACCCAAACCAGGATTACCTCAAAACCGGACTCGTAAACCGTTTGCAATAAATTTAGCACCTCTATGATGTAAGGGTACAATAAAAGATTTAAGATTGCACTTCTTTACGCGTTCAAGCACACTTCGGGAGTCAATAATAATCGCTTTTTTTGATATTGGTTTCTCTCATATAATTGTTAAAGCCCTTAGTATTGCATAGGCTTCAGCTACAAATATGGATAGTTGCTCTAGCATAAATGGCCCCCTCTATTCCCAGAGTAGAAAAATATATTCCACAAGATACGCTTCTATTTAGGTCGTGGACCAATGATCCATCAGTAAAAATAAACTGTGCATCGGGCCACGTGTCTTTGATGTATTTATCTATCTCTATATAAACTTATTTTTAATATATACAACGCACTGTTTCTAGTTCTAGATCACTCTAACATTAAAATGTCTTTAACACTACTTTGAAGTGCTCATTGAGAAACAAAACGGCTTGTGATGCAAATGGGTTAAGAATGAGTTAGATTTAGGTACAAAGAAAGAGTATTTTTAGAAAAAATAATCACATTTTATTCCATTTAAACCATTCTACTTTTTATTTATCATTAAACTTATTGTGTTGGTCTCAAGATTTGACGAAGGTTAACTTTTGGCATTTGATGTCCAATGGTCAATTTGGGTTCTCCTTCTAAATGGCGTCCCAAAAGATCTCCAAGATTTTCGTTGAGGTACTCAACGATGTATTCAACGACGGCGCCAACAACTTTGTTTAAGATATCAACAATTTGTTCGTGGAGAACATCTTCGACAACATCAATAAGCAAGTTAACGAGCCAATCGATGATTCCATATCCGTAGAATTTCAATGAAAGTTTGCTAAAAAATCGATGTTAAAATAAGAAAAATATTTTTTTGATTTAAATTATTTCTTACCCAGTATTTAAATTAAATTCATTCATGGTAACAGTCATGGCATCCGTATCAATGGTGACATCAAAATAGGCATCAACATCGTAAAGTTTTCCATGGATAGATCCGTGTGGTCCCAAATCCATTATAGTGGCGCTGTATAAGTAAGTGAGCTAAAAAAATATAAATTAAAAAATTGGTTTAAACCGATTATTATTTTTATTACAATAATGTCATCAAAACCAATTGGGATTCTAGCTCCGATGATGTTACCGTCTAAAGAAACGGTGGATGATCCAGTTCTATGGATGGTGATGATATCTTGAACCCAACCTCCAACCATATCAAGTTCCCCGTGATAAGTAATGAGGGCTGGTTGCTAAAAAATTAACTATTAATCATCATTTTTTAAGTTGAAAGAAACTTACATATTCGAAACCTAAATGAATTTCAGGGAGAGAAAGAGGATCCAAATTGTTGTCAAGCAACAAATCAACGGCTTCTCCTAAAACTTTATCGACGATGAAATCAATAGTCATATCAAGTCTTGGGCTACGTCTAAATGATTATAAATTATTAAAAATGATATTAAAAATACATTTTAAACACTTACTCTTGGACTGCTTTGGTTAAATAAGCTTGGATGGCTGGGTTTTTAATTGGGATGGTTCTTTCCAATTTAATGGAAATGTCCTTGGTGGATTTGCTGGTAACTTTGACATTGCTCGCCGCATAGGCGATGCCGACGACGGCCAAAAAAGCTAAAACGAATTTCATTTTGCTTGAAACTGACTAACAAACAAAGTAAAAGTCATCGTAACAACGATTTCCGATCGCCTAAATACCTACACTTCAAGTGATAATCTAATCGGAACTTTTTTCTATTTAATCATTTTAAATCGAAGAAGATAGGTTTTTGAATGAAATAGCATTTAAATTGTAACCACTTCAAAGATAGCAAACAATGAGTTTTTTGTGCGTTTGTTGCAAAGGGCAAAAGTTTGATAAAAATTAAAAATCAATATTTTTTACTAACTTCTTAAACTCAATCTAACCTAAAAAAGTCAATTTTTTGTATCATTAATTTAAAATCGTTTTTTTTGTGTAACGTTTTAGGATTTAAGGAATGAAACTTTTACAGGTTATAAAGCAAGAGTTAATCTTTATTTTTTTGAATATTTAAAGTTTGTATGAGTTTTCGTTTTGTTGATAAAAATTCTTAAACTCAACTTAACCTAAAAATGTAAATTTTTTGCATCATTAATTTATAATTGCTTTCTTGAGTACAAATTTGGGATTTAAGGAATGAAACTTTTTCAAGTTATAAAGCTTAATCTTTAATAGCTTTAGTTTCTACCAGTTTATGTTTCTTTGAAATAAATTTTGAAGCTCAACTCAAAAACTGCTGTTTTTGTATGATTATAGAGTTTCTAGAAAACGCCTTTATTATTTTCATAATTTTTTAATTTCATCAAATCTAAGCATAAAACTTTAATTGCTGATTTTAATCGGTTCCTTTTTATTTTGTTAAAGTGCTTTTAATTAGAGATAAAATAAGACCCTCATTGTTTTTTTTATTATTGTTTAAAATGCTTTTATATACTTAAACAAATCATTTTGATACTTTATAAAGTTCAATTGCCTTAAAATTATAGACAAATAATATTTTGAACTCTAAAATAATCTGGACCACAATGTGTTGTGTTTTTATGTTACTTTTTAATAAATATCGGGTTATCAGTACTAATACAAAACTAGTAAATAGAAACCTGTTAATTCTAATTGTCATTTAAGTTTACATTTTTATTACAGGTTCCTGTACGTGAATTGTCAAAAATATGTTAGGTTATGTTGATATGTTTATCATGTTTAGTCGAAAAGAGCAATTAAACGCAAAAACGGGACCTGATGGGGTTGGTAGACGAGAATATCTTCAACAATTAGTTGAAGAATTTAATAAAACTCAATCTTACGGTAAAAATAATCCGGTTTAGTTACAATTTGTCACTTTAAAAATTGATTGAATGTTTTAGATGCTAAGCAACAAATTTTAGCAAATTTGGCTAATTTTGCTTACGATCCAATTAATTACGACTTTATTAAAGAGTTACACATTACTCAGTTGTTTTTATCACAACTTACGGATTCAAATGAGGAATTGTTGGAGTTTAGTTTGGCGGGGTTATGTAATTTAAGCTCTGGTAAATAAATCAAGGTTTTGGTCTATAAATTAGCTTTAAAAATAAAATTTATTTTTAGATCCAACCATAAAAGATATTATAATAAAATCTAACGGAGTTTTTTTAATATCGCAACAATTATTACATAGAAATGAAGAAATAGCTTTAAATGCTTTAACAACCTTAATATTTCTTATTACACCAGAATCACAAGCTAGTATCACTACTCCAGATATTATAAATAAAGTGCTACATTATAAAACTCATTCAAACGCACGTTTTAAAAATTTAAGCACAATTTTTTTAGATGATTTTTGTTCTCAAGAACAAATCGATTGTGCGAAAAAGTTACAATTAAACACCGTTGATATTCCTTTACCACAGCATTAAATCCTTTCTTCTTTCACTTTAACATGTTTCGAAGGGCACAATTTAATAAGAAAAGTTTATTAAATTTTTATCGACACTCCAGTTTTAAAGTTGGCGATAAAGTGACCGTCGAAAGGGAAATTACGAAAAGCGATGTTAAGAGTTTTGGAGAAATCACCGGCGATATAAATCCGGTGCATTTTCCTGAAAATTCTTCTTCAGTTGGGGTCGTTCATGGCGCTTTTTTAAACGGTATCGTTTCTGGAATTATTGGCACGCGATTACCTGGTCCTGGAACTTTGGTAGTTTCACAAAGTTTAAATTTTCCGAATAAATGTTTTGTTGGCGAAAAGATTAGTGTTGAAGTTGAGTTAATGGAAATGAGGAAAATTATTAAAGTAAAGTTTGTTTGTGAAGTTAAGGATAAGGCAAAAATTGTGATGTACGGTGATGCGAAATTAATCAAAAAATAAATGTTATTTTATAATTTATTTAGATACTTTTTTTTTAATTATATTTGTTAAATAGGACATTTGTAAGGTGTGTTATCTTTACAACAATACTCCCTTCCTGCCGACATATTTGAATTAATCCATTTTTTAGAATGATTTTTTACAAATAAATACGCTTTTTCTTTATAACAATCCCTTTCCATTGTTCCACAAATTATATCAGCACTTTTTGGCAAAAATTTAACAATCTATTAAGTCAGAATTAAAAATTAACTTAACTCAAATTCAATAAATCACTTTTTACCTGCTCCAAACATTTATTCATACATTGTCTTAAACCAATCGAATTATCAGCAAACGTCGCCCCAGCTTCTATTGTAAAGGCTGGTTTTCCAGTTACTTCATTTTTTGATTCCTTCGAAATTTGACCACTTAAAAAAACACCACATGTACATGGAATTGGGTCTAAATCACCTTCAGCTGTGGTTTTGTGGATAAAAAATAATAGGGACAAAATAAGAAAATTTCTCATCTAAAACAATTAAAAATGATTTTGAGTCAAGTTTTAAAAGATGCTTTGTTTTACTTTTGTGTGAGGTTCAAAGAGTTCTGATTAAAAATGTTTGATTTTGTGAAATTGTTGTAGTCATAAAGGTTGAACAAATTGCTGAGTTTTTTATCTTGCAATAATAAACAAGAAAATTTGCTGAATTATAGTTTTAATTTGCAATCATACACTTTTGCTTAGGATGGGATTTATAATTTGTCTTTGCGTTTTGTTAAATGCAAAAATTGATTATTTAAAGATCATCCAGTAATAAACTTTCCAAGCTTTCTTGAATACCATGATTTTTATCTAAATCAGCGGCTCTTAACATATCTAAAAGATAAATTGAATTTATTTAATTAATTTTGTTTGTTAATTACTTATTTCCAATTATTTTTATAAATATTAATATTTAAATAAATAAATGTTAAAGTTAAAACATAACCTTTTTCGACAACTAATTTATCAGGAAATTTCTGTCATTATTACCAACCTTGAAACTCAAAATTCGTCAAATTATAAAATAATTGATAATTTTTCATTAAAAGTGCACGTCAATTTTCAAAGTGGTCCCCAAAATTTTTTTATACGCTAAAAATCGACGAGTTTTGTTCTATCTTATTCAGAATAAATCAAAGTTTCTTATTTTGTGCCTTTCAAGACTTTATATTTACTCATTAAAGAAAATTATTGATTTCTTAAAACGAAACATGCCGAAAAAAGTACTTGAAAAAATCACTTGAAGACTACCTTGCAGTTGTGAGGTTGGTAATGAAAATGATTAAATGTCACTAAGTTTAAATTTTTTTTTTAAATAATTTTAATTGAAATTAATTACATTATATACTACTATTATATTAATTTTTTGTTTTTAATTGTTAATTAGTTATTTCTATGTTAATTGCGTTGCAATATAATCTCAAAATTTAAACGTCTCCCAGATTTAGTACCTTAATTTTTTTTTTTTTAAATTGGTACTATAAAATTGACAACTTACATCACAAACAACTCATTAGAGGTTATACAGTTTTTATTTTTAACAATAATTAATACTTTCCAATAAAAATGAGTGGAAAACAAGATAAATCGATCGTAGACAAGTTAAAAAACACGTTTAAGAAAAATCGAAAAGGCAGGCGAAGATTTTAGTTTTATTTATACCTAAAAAGTGATATAACCAAAAAATACGATTTTAATTTACTTACATTTTCGTTATTTAACATTATTTAATTTTTTCACAGAGGGAATAAACATACAGAAAGCATTGTGATGTACCATTTTAGAGATTTTAATGGTTCAACATAGTTTAATAAACAAAATTACAGCTGGTTCTGATCTAGTTTTTGATTCAATCTTGGTGGTTTTTGCTGAATTATTCTCCTTTGAAATGTGCATCGTTGTAAAATTAATTTATTTAAAACGTATTAAGTGCAATTATTCAACAAAGATTATTATTATTACATCATACACAGATAAGTTTTAATCTAGTTTGGTTATAAAGCCTCATATTTCCAATTACGATAACGTATTATTAAGACGCATCTAAATCTTGTCATAACTTTAAATTAACTTTTTTTGCGTAATACTTAAAGTGTTTTAACCCAACACTATTTTATGGATTACTAAAAAATTCGTGAATACATAGGATTTAAATTGAAATGGTTATATGTAAACAAAGTTGTCTAAATTTGTATAAAATCTTTTAAAATTTCCCAACTAATTGATGTATTTCAAGTCCTCTAACCCGTTATAATGACAAAAGCAAACTGAAAATCTGCCCCAAATACCATAACAAGTCGAAATATAGCCAGCACGTGGCTTCAAATGGTGAACAGAGAACCACACAACCTGTTGTCGGTCGTGTGTGTCCATATGACCTTGCCTTTTGGCGTCGGTTCTAGCCTAGCGACGGACCCACAGTTGCATAATTTGCCCCCTTTCGGTCCCCCTTTAGGTCCCCTTCGACTCTAACCCCACCCGTCAACAATCCAACAACGCAATCATTTCCGCCAAGGATACTTGCCATCTCACTCCTAGAGATGCGACGTTAAAATCCATCTAAATAAAACGAATTTGACACAATTTTTAATATCTTTTTTCTTATCTTTTAGAAATAAATTGAAAATAAAATTAGTTTTTTTAGGGAGTAGGTGTTAAAGGCGTTGTGTTTAGGTAGGTTGGTGTAGATGACGTCACGGAGAATTTGAATATGAAATGTCAAAGGGTGTGCCGAGGTCTCAATTCGGTGTTTTTTATATTGGTGGAGGGGTTGACCTATTTTCCACTCGGTTAGATTAATATTAAAATGAATTCCTTCCTCGGGCTGATTTTTTTTAAACTTTACTATTATTAGCACCCAACAAGATATCTATCTATTTAAGTAATTAATCAAACGTTGCATGGAATTTTTTAATCCAACCAATTGAAGAGGAAATTATAATTAAACGTAAAAAGGAATCAAAAAAATATTTAATTGAAGATGCAATTTATTTTAAGATTCCACCATAACATCAGGTGTGAGAATAATCCAACAAGTTTTATGACTCAGACTTCTTCTTCACACAGCAACCACCAGCAGGAGTAGTTCGGTTCAGTTCTTATTACCACTTTTTCCATTTAGATCGTTCGTTACTCTCTTTGTCCTGGACGTTCGTTCTCAGGGCGCGCTCTCGGCCTTTGCCTATTCTTCACGGTCCCGTGGCGTGAGACGCGCTCTCACACCAAGAAAGAAACTTCTTCTTCTACGGTGCGGGTCCCGCTTCTTTCTTCTGTTGAGATGAAGTCCATCGGCGGTGCAAACGGTGCTCCAGCGCGAAGTGAATGAAGTCTCCACCGCGCTCTTCTTGAGATCGCGGGTTTTTCACCAACCAGAGAAGGAGGGGAACTTCTTGTCCGCGACGATTAGTTATGTAACAAACGCTGCGGCCAAACGTGAATGGAACGAGGAATTGGCTGAAAAATAAAATGAAAAAGATGGATGGTATGGGTAATGTGTGTACGAGAAACGATGTTATTCTCTTTAGAATTTCTTAATGGAAATTTACTCTTAACTGTGTATTTAAAGGTACATGATATTTTTTTTTGGAAGGAATGTTCAGTTAGATTTATGTGCTAACTCAACTCTTTACACATACAAATTTGCAAAACTTTTCTTCTTAAGTGTTTAGAAGATTTATTCTGGACTTTCGAATAATCTCTTCAGGTTTATTTCTGCAATCTTGGAGATACATGATTAAAAAGGAATTTGATTCATAGGTGATTATTACTCAGATGCCCTATACTTATTTTTACCAATTCTATGTGAGAAATTATGGTTATGGAGTCGCAGTCGATACTTGTATTGTTTCTGAAAGCAAGATTTTGTATATTTAATTAGAATTTTTGAGTGAAAAACAGGAAACGAAAAAAAAAAATAAAGAAATTTATTCTTAATAAAATTCATGTCGTGGTCGCATTGTAAATTCGTGTACACGTGCATTTAGAGGGAAGAAAAGGCGTCCACATCCTGCCTTCGAGTCGCTTCCCACATATTTATGCACCCCACGACTTTTAACCCCCGTCCCGACCGGGCTGGTCACGGAACAAATCATAGCACCCTCTATTCAACGTTTCAGACAAGTGCGTCCCGATTGTCCGCATTCAAATGCGCTCTTCCTGTCCGTAGAAGAGGGACCATTTACGATGAGTCCGTTTCCGAGTTTCACATCGTCCGACTAAAAATAGGGGTGGTGCTTAATGCAGGCATTTTAGAAAGTCCGGCTCGTAATTATCGAAGCGGTACCGTTTCCTATGTTAATTGTCTACTGCTACGCTGAGGTTACACAAAGGAGAACTTCCACACCAATTGATAGAAATTATTTAAAAATATGTAAACGAAAAAAAAATTTTTTTGATACCTTAAATAATACTGTTTTAAATAACTTAATTGATTTATATGAAAAACTTGTTTTTCGAAGGAATTAATTGATTACGCAAGAAAAGCACGTTGATCGGCCAATGTCAAGGCGTCTGCGAATTTGAATGGTGAGAGTTTGTATACATACATATACAATTCGCAGCTGATTGGGAACCCGCGAGTCGTTGATCTACTTTCGAACCTCCTCGAACGTTCTCTCGAACGGCAAACGTCCCACTTTAAAAAGATCTGCAAGCAATCGCTGCAAGAATTATATCGATTATTTCACTTTTGTTTATTAGGTTTGTTTGTTTTAACGGAACCGTATAAATCAAATTTACCACAAAATGTATTACTTACAGCGATTATTGGAACTTCTCACGTTCCATTACAAATCATAATCAAAGAAAAAGTACCGTTTTAGCAACTACAATGGTTGTTTTAAAGGTTTTAAAAAAGTACAAATGTAAATTAACTTACAACGGCTAATGCATTGGCTAATAGTGTGGTGGTTGGGGAGTTTAAGTTGTGAGTGTAGTATGTAAATTTGTTAGATAAACTGTTAAAGATTACTTAAGGGATTAGTTAAAATCTTTTTTAAAATTTAATTAAAACTTCTCATTTCAGAAATGTTCCTCTCAACCCACGTAACACTTTTCTTCTTCATCGCTCGACTCTGAAAGTATGCAAAGTACGGTCCACGTAAAGTACAGTTAGCTTCCTTGAGCCAAGTACGCGGTATAAAGTGGTTTTTACGTCGTTGTCGTCTTCGCACGCGGCGATTACCCTGCCCTCAAACCCAAAGCGAACCGGAGGATTCCGACTTCTCTTTTAGTCGATTTCTACGGCAGAACGGTTTTCGAAGAAGAAGTGTACCCGATATAAGCAGGTCAATTTCCGCCAGCAAATCAGGGTGAAGAATGATTTAGTCGAGGAGAATTTTGCTATGGCGAAAAAAGAAGAGTACCGTTCGTTTTAGGGGTTGACAACCTCGGGCACGCCTCTTGGCCAATCGTCACTAAGACTTCACCATAAGTACCTGGTTGTGGCGTTGAAAATGTCTCCATAAATCAACCTTTGTCTGTTTCTTTTTTTATTGGAGAAGAATTAAAATATTTGTTATGTAAATCTGTAAATGTTATGAAATATTTTGAACTCATCTTTTTATCTTTTAAATAAACAACTACGTATACGGAATTGAAATGAAAATAAATCAAAGTGTGAAAGTAAATGCCTCGCAATCAGTTAATAAGCGAACGCTGCTGGAAAGCATCACACCCCGGCTTATGGTTAAAAATAGATCTTTTTGAATCGTCTTTTATTGGGCGACGAAGAATAGAACGGGAGTAGATTAAAATAAAATATGGGACGACTACGGAATAGAAATTGGTTACAAACATAGTATTGCGAGGATATTGTTGACCAAGAGAGGGTCGAGATGGGTGGACTACTTAGTTGCGTCATATTCTAGGAGCGGTTTCTACACCCACATCCATCTCCATATACAACAAATCGAACGGGCCCAATCGGTTTTATCCAATTAGTTCCTATACATTTTATTCCTTTTCAAATATATACTAAACTATATCGAATTTAACTTTTAAGAAATTTATACCAATAAAATTATGGTGTATTTCCTGTATATTTCATTATACAGGGGAAAACAGGAAATATTTAATAACAAATTCTTTAAGTACGGGAACACGTTTTCCTTTATGGGAAATACTGCTGTGTAACTGTGTAAAGTATATGTTTCAACCGGAAATTTAAGACAATTTGTTTGCAGTTAATACAGATCATTAAATCAACAAGAAATAAAACCAAATTGATTCAAGAATAGAATAACTCAAATAGGAAGGTTAGATTGTACCAAATTATAAGCTTTTGGGGTATGTATTTTAATTAAAATAAATTTTTAAATCTCTTACATCACACTCAATTTAACGAAGGTTATGATAGTAATTGTAGCGTTTCGGGCGCAAACGACCTTATCTTATAAGAGATGAATTCCATGACTATAACCCATTTTTCTTGAGAATTGTGTTTCAGCAAAAAAGTTAATTTAAAGAGGATCAAAAATAAAAATCCATTCTTTTGTATAAACAAGAAATTAATATATACATAATTAAATCAACTTATTAAAATACTGACTCAACTGATATCTTAATAAAGTAAACAAATAAAACTATATTTATTCCTTATTTAATTAACGAATACATTAAGCCCCCGTTTAACCTGTATCATTGAAATTCCAAGTACGGAAACTTTTTTTAGTAGCTCAAATCTTTTTCTGAATTTCTGTTATTTTTGTGTTCTCACCTGATGATGGTTCATTCACCCCTGTGCTGTTCACCTACACGTTTACCGCAATACGTGTGGCTTTACCAACCATCTAAAACGCCTTAATAATTCCACATATCGGACATCCTGTATAAGGTAGTAGTTGTTGGTCAATAGAGGTTGAGGTAAACACCTCTTTTTATGTATTTTATGTTCGAAACATGTAACACGATTTTATTCGATACTAAACGAACGCGACGTTTTAAGAAAATCTCTTTCCAAGTGATTTGCATTTTCTATTTTTATACTTGGGAAGTTGTCTTTCTACAATTACTTTATATGTTAGTTTACTATATTTGACTACTGTTTTCTCTTTTCTCGTCACCTAAACAGTAATTTTACAAATTTCGAAAGTAGTTTTTTTGCTTGAATTGCATTTTATTTCTTTTAAGATAAATTTCGATAAATCCCCGAAATAAGAAATTAATTACTTGTAGTACAATGGTGTTGTGTTGTGTTGTAAAGAGTTAATGGAGTGAAAATAATGGCCTAATAAAAAATCTATTTTTATCAAAGCACTAAATTTTGTAGGTTTTTATTGGGTTAATTAGTTTTATGTTAAATATAATGATTTAGTGGAGAAATGATGTGCTCGTTAAGAAATTTTTTTGCGAGAAAAAAAGATTGGCCTTGGTTATTGGGTCCTCGTTAAGGGTATTTTTTCGGAATTCGGTGAAAGGAAGTTCCTTTATCTTGTGCCTTTCGAAAGATTGAACCAATTTAGTGAACAGGTTTCACAAAATCGGTGAGGCAATCAGGGAAGAATTCTCTTGGATATCGCGATTTTTATGTTGACGCGATATCTTAAACCATACGAACAAATTACCGTGTCGAACACAATCTTTATCTTAAAACACGACCAATCAAATAGGGATTATAACGAAATATGTGATTTATAATATTTGTTTAAATACTTATTGAATAAAGGTATGGGCAGATTTTTTAGGTTGGGCATTAGATTACGTAACAAAAATGGTAAAATTCCTCCTCTTCTTTGGTGAGTTGCGACCGTCGGGCATAATAAACAACAGAAAACGGAGGCCGAGAGAGTGTGACGGCCGTCGGACGAGGAGGTGATCGTCAAAGGGGGTCGTCTCGCTAGGCGTATACGGCAAGCACACCACCGGAGGCCGTTGAACCCGGGGCCCCGCGAGGCCGGGTTGCCTCGGCATCGGGAGTTAAAAGTGGACGCTCGGTCCGCTGCTGCTCCTCGCTCTCTCGCCCATTTAAACTCAACTCTTCCTGTGCCGGATAAAAATACGATAAGGCCCGCGGTTCGCATTCAAATCTGTGCCGTAATGCCCGAATGCCGCGTGGACCCCTCTCCACCTCATCTCCACGAACCACCCCCGGGAATCGAGCTCTACAAGTAAAGTAGGAGGAGGAGGAGGAAGAAGATTCGGTCGAGCTCATCTGCATGGGCACGTTTGGTTCGCCCACAGAACGTGGAATTATTAAAGTGTTTATACGGTGCGTGGGTTTTCCACGTTCTTTTTAAGGGTGAACGAACCCCGGATCATTTTTAATTCGGTTTACTTCAAAATAAACCAAATTAAAAAAAATTAACTTCCTCTTCGTTGTCTGCACCTTTTTTTATTAGATAAATTTATGACACCACCTAAACATATATTTGTTTGCGTGAACAGACCCCTATGCAACCTCCCCTAAAACTATTGTACCCAGCTACAAGGTGCTTAACAGGCAGGTGCAGGTTAAAGGTGACTTTGAGGGTACAAGGTGATTTTAAATTACCCTCAGCACTTGAGCGCATCGAAGGGGAAGATACTTGTTGATGATATCGAAACCAACGAACCCCAATTCCATAAAGAAAATTAATGAAATAAAATCGTATTACTGCAAAACTATAAATATTACAGTTATAAAGGTCGTAATCTTCTACACCTACGTTCCTCTCCAAATGTAGAGACTACATCGTAAATTGCTATATCAAGAAAAAACCCTAAAAGAAAGCTATCATGATTTAATATGTGACAAATTTTGTTAAAATGAAGTACTCACTCCGGAGATAATTTAGTATGATCTAATAGAATGTTTCTTTGTATCCTCAAAAAGTTAAATTTTTTAATTCCTTCAGCACTTGAGTGTATCGAAGGGGAAGAGACTTGTTGATGACATCAAATCCAACGAACCCCAATTCCATAAAGATATTTATATCAAAACTAATCGTATTATTGTAAAATTATAAATATTATAGTTATAGAGGTCATTTCCCCGTAATCCTGTACACCCACGTCCCTCTCCAAACGTAGACACTACATCGTAAATTGCCATATCAAGAAAATTCCCCCCAAGTGTTAACCAATAACATTCTCACAAGCAAAAAAAATCTAACTTATCGCCCCCTTATCTCGCCACTGAGTTAATTCCGGTAAACAATCGCAAAAACACAATAACAGGACGTATCAAATACACGTCATACGTAGTGTTTATTATTACATGCGGACACCGGTGGTCATAACCTTGAATGAACGGGGCAACCTCATAGAAACCGGTAGTGTTTCATCTAAAACGGTGCTGGATCCTTTGTTGGTCGACCGATCAAGGGGGCTCCCGGCGAAAAATAATAATGACCCGAGTTATTTTAGATTTCCAAAACTGTCCGGATTTACTTCAAGGAGTCCTAAATTCCAACATCTTTCTTCATAATTAAATTTAGATTATTTTTTCATTAATTGTAAAATATTCTCCCCTTTTTGTATATCTATGTAACTGTTTCAAAGCATATAACATCAAATTTGCTATTAGAACAGTACACCCACGTTCATTTAGGAACCTAACCATTAGCGGTATATAAGTTCGTTTCGTTTGTTCAAGACACGAAAGGTTAACCTGTGCGAATAAAGTGGTTTTCAAGTCGGGGAGCTGCTGTGCTGTGTGAGGAACGGTTGTTTCGAGTTTAGCAGTTCGGAACGGGGTCAACGCGAATGCAATTTGGCTCGGGATTGACACGATTGGAATTATTTAAACTTGACCATTTACATCGCAAGTACATAATCATAACAAGATAAACGATAAGATTAAAATGTAGAATAACATAATGAGTTATTTTATTTCAAATTTGAATCCAGATGGCATGATCCAAAAAAAAAAGTTGCTCAATCATTTCATAATAAAATTATTGTTCCAAACAATCAATTCTACAAACCAGGTTCAATTGAAGATGAAGAGAGTATTTTGACTTGAAAATACACTTTAAAGTAAAAAGAACTTTATTGTCAAGTGAGCATGCAATCTCATTGTTACAAAAGATCCGATGCTGCTTGCAGTTGAGGCATCACAATGTGACGAACAGTTTCAGAAAGATATAGCGTTGAGCCTTGGACACCTAACAACTCAAAACATCTATAACCTCAGTTGATAAAGTCTCCATCGCAAGCTACCTTGACCGAGGCGCCACATTGTGATGATCAATTTCAGGTTGATAATATTAATGATTGAACCTCGCCCACAAATAACCTGACTTGATAAGCTGAGACACTACAGATATGATGACCAGTTTCAGGATAATATAGTTAATAACTAACGATAACTTTTCATCTGAAAATATATTCGTTATATTTTCAAATTAATCTTTCATTGTTTATTAGTTTTCCATGATCCAACTTTCTTATATGATTTAGTGAGTTATATATAAAATAATTTTTTAGGGTTGATTCGTCTCTTCGTTCCCGCCGCATCCTCTTCTTGTCGTCTCAGTTTTTTTTTTGTAATCCGCCGGAGCGTGTTCTTCTCCTCCTTTTCACTTGGTAGACGGGGTTGTCCGGTTGTCGACCCGCGTACCTCCTCCATTGCGTACCTTTCCCTGTACCCCGGTGTTGAACGGCGAAGAGCCGTTCTTCTTTCCCCTGGGCCGCCCGGACGATGACCATTCTGATGTCATAGCACCGTTCGTGGCTTCCGTCCGCGAAGCTTTCCTCAATCCCCCCATATTTCCATCATACTTTTTATTTCCTACAAAATATTTAAATCAAAATGACTTTTTAAAAGATACAATTAGATCAGGTGGAGGAAAAGTTAACAAAAGGTGATGATTACACGTTTTAGTGGAGAGTCAACCCCTTTGAGTTTGTATCGATTCTTTCAGCGTATCGCATACCGAGTTCGATTCAAAGAAGCCCTCCGGGTTAAAAGACGTATCTAGCTGTAATGAAAAAGGGAACGCGGCAGATGGCGCCCACGGAGACTCATTTCAATTTGAAAACACAATTTCATCGCGTCATTCCGTTGCGCGGCGGCAGCGCAACGTTTATCCGTCCGTGGTATGATATTTCGATCTACTCCGTGATTTTACATGGTCGGCAGGTTTACGGTAGCGGGGTCATTTGTAGGTAATGGACTATTCGATGCCCGTGGGGGGCACCGGATTTGAAACAGGTGGTATAGAAAAAAAAATGGAACGGGGCGCATGAACGGTAAATTAGAGTCAATTTATATAGTTTTAGGGATTTCCACAAAGAAAAAGATTTTATGTAAATTCACCTGGTGACCTTTGTGTGAAATTGGTTACGTATCGTTTTCATTAACTACTTAGAATTGCACGTAGTTACGTAAGATGTATCTGATAACGTCCCGTTTGTTGAAAGGTAGTTAGGTCAGTATGATTAATTAAGCAGTAAATGTTTAAAAAAGTTTTTTAGTGCCACGTAATTACTGTTCAACACTGTACAACATGTTTATGTTGATGATAAAAATTGTTTCTTTAAGTAATAATATTAATTTATGGATACTTTGTGGTTTAATAAACTTGTATTTAAACCATCATCTTAATAATTGATATTATTGACTTGGTAAATTTTTTTGTGAAGATTATCGATAATTTATCTTGGTTCATAAGCCGGGTAGTGGAAGAGCAACTAAAAGTTAAATAAAGGATGTCAGTAATTACATCCTTTCTGTCTTATCTACATATTGATGAGTTTAAGCAATATTGCCGGACGCCAGTATTTAAGCTTAACCCATCAAAAACTCATATTTCTTCTTTAATTTTCATTTCGCCTTTAATAGGAAATTATTATATTACAAAAATCTTTTATTGTTTTAAGATTTTATAAATTTCAAAATCTTATAACCATAAAAATATACGATTTTTAAAATATATATTTATGGTA